TCTTCCAGCTCCAAAGGTAGATAAATGTTAATTGCCTTTCTAAAATTCTTTTCCCCTTGATATATCAAACATTTATGTTGGTTGTTTAGGGTTATAGTAATGAGCTTTCATTTAAATCAAAATTCTAACTGAATTATCTTTCAATGACAGTTAAAAGTGGGCAATGGTGAAGATTTCTTTCCACGAAATGGGAGGTGGAATTTTAATAATAAGGTCTTTGCTCTCTCTCTCTCTTTTGTTTTTTTGGTCAGCCTTCTATGTTATATATGTTTCATCTCTTGTTTCTCAACAGTTCAGTTTATGCTTTTGTAGAAATTAGTGGAGCCAACCAGGATTGAACGATGGGCTGTTGTTAACTTCTCAGCACGATGTGATATAAATAGCCTAGTACGGGATCTGATTAGATGTGGGGAAATGAAAGGAATAGTAAGTCCAGCATCTGATTTTTCTTTTGTTTAAGGGATTTGTTAGTTAGCATAGATAAAGTTTTAGAATTCAACTTGTTGGCTTAAGTTCTTTTTCATGTCTCTGTTTTAGCGTATAGATCCTCCATTTGATGTGTTTCAAGAGACGAACCAGAACAGACGTGCCCCTCCTGTGGTTAGAGTGGAGAAGATGTTTGAGGAGATCCAATCTAAACTTCCTGGAGCTCCACAGTTCCTTCTTTGCCTGCTGCCTGATAGGAAAAATTGTGATCTTTATGGTGTGCACAATCTCATCTGTTCGTACATTGGCCATGCATGTCTTTCTTAAAGTCTTTTCCTTAAATATAATGTTCATTAAATCTTTTATGGTCCATGGAAGTGAAAGAATCTTGCTGAGTTTGGCATAGTCACTCAGTGTATGGCTGCAACTAGGGTCAATGATCAGTACCTTACAAATCTGCTTCTCAAGATCAATGCAAAGGTCTGCTCCTATCAAATATGCTCTCTTTTTATTTTTTTTATTTTTATTTTTTAACTTTAAGCAGTTCTTCTTGTTGCAGTTCTAATCTTTGGTATTAAACCTGCTAACATGTCTATTACAATCTGCTCACAGCTTGGAGGTCTGAATTCGATATTAGCAATTGAACAAACACCTTCAATCCCTGGTGTTTCAAAGATTCCGACTATCATCCTTGGCATGGATGTGTCACATGGCTCTCCTGGGCAGTCTGATGTCCCGTCAATTGCTGCTGTAGGGATTATCTTATTCCTTATTGTTGGGTTTCTTGAGTTTCCATCAATTGCATGCAATTTGTGACAGTAGTTATAGAGATGTGATTTGGCAGTCTCTGCTTCAAATTTTGGGAGTTTTTTTTATTGTGTTTAATTTTTAGGTGGTCAGCTCCAGGCAGTGGCCTTTGATTTCCCGCTATAGGGCATCCGTGCGTACGCAGTCGCCTAAGGTTGAGATGATAGATTCTCTATTCAAACGAGTGTCTGACAAGGAGGATGAAGGTATCATGAGGTGTGTTTCAATCATAAAGTTATTTGACTGAACAAGGGACAAACATTGCCAAAAAAAAAAAAAAACGAAGGACAAGTGTTTTTTGTTGAAATTTAATTTTTATATCCTTTTCCTTTCTTATTATTTGGAATGTCAAGTGGTAGTTATTGAGTTTGTTTTAGTAAGAAAGTTGTGTGATATGTTATTCTGCTGGTAATCATTTATGTCTGTAGTGTTATAACTTTTGGGTCTAGTGATGTATATAGTTTGTATACCTAATCCTAATTTCTTTGATCTCAGGGAGATTCTCTTGGACTTTTATACGAGTTCAGGAAAGAGAAAGCCTGATCAAATCATAATATTCAGGTTTCTTTTCATTTTACATTTTACTGTTTATCAGATCCCATCTGTATAATAAAAATATTCTAAATCATACATAGGTGGAGGAATACATTTTTGGGGAACTCAGGGATATAAAATTTGGTTTTGCTAGTTCTTAATTGCCACAGTGTCTCTGCATTGCAAACTCTACTTGTATTGACTTTTAAGTTATTCTCTTAAATAATCTTTTACTTGTATAATGAGAATGTGTTAACTATTATTTGGGAAATACTGTTTTGATCTTCATGTATCTTTTATCTGCAAAGTATCTTCATTGTGCTTGCAGATTGTACAAGTTGATGTCCTTTAAACTACCTAGCATGTTTCTTTCTGCCTGCTATTTGAAATTCTTTGGATCTTTCTCATTTTCTAGTCTTTTCTATTGTCCTCATTTTCTGTTCTGGTTATATGACTTAGGATGTCGTATTCCTTCTCACAAACATTTACTTGTATATGTCATATGGTTAGGTTCTATGAATGTAATATCCGCTATATAAACTTTCTTATATGTTAGGATGCTGTGAATTTTTATAATACTATTGCAAGTGTTATGGTGCTTGGTGAATCTTTATTGCATTACATGCCCTGTTTTTGACAGTTTTTTTTATTGCAAATTTTATTATATCTTCTTATGAACCATCATGTCTCTTGTACATTTTTCTTGTAAGCTAGTTTGTTCTTATCTGTTGATGTTTCTGTTACATTTTCTTGCTCATTATTCTTGCCTCAACTCAGGGACGGGGTTAGCGAGTCACAGTTCAATCAAGTTTTGAATATTGAACTGGATCAAATTATTGAGGTATGCAATGCTGCCTTTCAATCCTGGGAACTAAATTCTATGATTGCAATTCTTTTTAAATTATTCATGCAAACTAAATAAGACAACAGTGCTAGTGATAAAACATTGTCTTAAGTTGATGGTGCTGGGGATAAGTCATCTCTTGTTAACATTTCTACTTTCTAGGCTTGCAAGTTTCTTGATGAGGCATGGAACCCCAGGTTTGTGGTCATTGTAGCACAGAAAAATCATCATACAAAGTTTTTCCAGTCGGGATCCCCTGACAATGTCCCACCTGGTGAGGCTTACTAATTATTTGATGCACGTTATTTGGTACCTCTGTTATGATTGTCAAAGTTGATCCTTTTCTTTTATTATGCAGGAACTGTGATAGACAACAAAATCTGTCATCCAAAGAACAATGACTTTTATCTTTGTGCACATGCTGGAATGATTGTAAGTATTTCCAGATTTTTGTTTCAGTTGAACAATCACTTTTATCTTTGTGCGCATGCATGATTTTCATTCTGGATCTGTGATGAATCTGATGTATTAATATCTACTAACTCTAGACATCAGTGTATAGAGTATAATTGTTTTTTGGGAGAAACACATTCTTGCATAAATATGTTTCATGCTACTTAATACACATTTCAATAGAGAATAGAGATGGGAAAATAAATAAGCAATGAAGTTCAATGAGATTTATAACATGCCATTTATTCAAAAACTTCTAAAAAGGGAGATAAACTTTGACACCAACACATCCAAAATACTTGATTAGTGAAGACGTTGCTGACTACATTTTTCAACTTGCCTTATCTGTTCAGAATTCAATCTGTATTTAAAGTCAAGTTTTTATTGTTATAAAAAATGTGATCAAGATTAGAGTTCCTCTTATGGTGATTGTATTCTTCATCCAAGTTTTTCTTAATGCCTTGGCGATATCTTACGGCGATGTATCTGTATAAAAGAGCCAAAAGTTGTTAAAGTGAAGATGGTGTTATACAGAAGCCAATTTTTAGTTTAAGATGATATTTAATTTCTACCATGTTAAATTTTGTTTTTGGTTAAAACAGTAATATTTGTAAGTTTTAGGCCTGTCTTTGTGAACTTTGTTCCTTTTCTCTTTGTTAAATGTGATTCAAGGCTCTGGGTACTGCCTCTGACTTGTTTTCCATGTGCTGATCTTGCTCAATCATTGCAATCTTTTTTCTTTATTTATTTGATTGGCCAAGTCTATATTTGAATGTTCGTTCTAAACATCTTTGATAATTCATGACAAAAGAAATTGCTATTATAGACTTTTGATGTGTTCTAAATCTTGGTAGCCCTCCATTTCTTTAATTGTAATGTTCAGTTGCTTATATAATTTATGTTTGCTGTTCAGGGAACAACAAGGCCTACTCATTATCATGTTCTGTTAGATCAGATTGGATTTTCACCTGATGATTTGCAGGAACTTGTCCATTCTCTTTCATATGTGTAAGTTAATCGTGTATTATAAAAGCTTCACAAATGTATTAAGCTGTAATCACTATTGCAATCCTTATAATCTTTGTTTATTGCAGGTATCAAAGAAGCACCACTGCCATATCCGTAGGTAAATATTCTCGATGAGCTGCTGCCCTAGTGTTTTTGATATGCTTTTTCTCAAATGCCAAGTTTATTTGGTTTACCTAATGATTTTCCCACTTGAAGAGATTTGCCCTAGTGTCTGTCGGTTATTTACTTGATTTTGTAATTCCATTTCTTAAAGGTGTTTGTTTCAAATCTTACCTTGGATTGCATATCACAATGTCCTTTTGGTGCAGTTGCTCCTATTTGCTATGCGCATTTGGCAGCTTCACAGTTGGGTACATTTATGAAGTTTGAGGAGGCTTCTGAGACATCCTCAAGCCATGGTGGGGTGACCGCTCCTGGAGCCGTTTCTGTCCCCCAGCTGCCCAGATTGAAGGAGAATGTCTGCAATTCCATGTTCTTCTGCTGAACCTGAAACCTTTTGAACCATGTTTTTGTATAGGCTTTGGTTTTTTACCAACTGAAGTAGGCCTATCCTAGACTTTTCTGATGATGTGCTGTTCTCTGAATCATCATCCATTTTGATTAACTTATTGGATATTTGGCCCTTATGTATCTAAAGACATGTATGGTTGACTAACGAATGTTCATGTTTTCAGTGCCGTTTCCCCGTCTGATTTTTAGATTTCTTGTCGTGCAACCTTTTACTGAACATCAGTGCATAGCCCCGGGCATTAATAACTTGCAGCAATTTGTATGCGTTGGATGATCCTGCTGCTATCTTTATCAACTTACTCAATATGTTGCAGTTCTTCAGAATTCAGTTCGAGTTACATTGGCCAAAAAAAAAAATAATAATAATAATAAAATGAAAACTTGGAAGAGTCAGATGTTGTGGTCAAAAAATTTTAAGTACCCAAAAAAATGTAATGTTTCAAAGGAGCATCCATGCCGAAGTGGAGGCAACCATAACAAGCAGGACAAACTTTCCAGGAGAGTTTGATGCAGAGCTGATGGTAATAGGCAAATAACCATTTGTCAGCGGAAAAGGCGGGGAATCTTGGACAACGATGGCAACTTTCATTCCTTTGAAGCAGTAGCCTCGGCTGCTTATGAAGTAATATGGTTTTGCCTCTGTGAGATTAAACACATCCCTGCCTCCCTTTGTGATGTTCTTGATGAAATTTTCATCAATGCAATCGCGATAGCTTGTCTTGTTCACTTCTAGAACAGTATATAGCTGCTTGTTGAATCCAAAATCTACACAATGAAATTCATGACTGTCAAATGCAACAGCTCTCTCGCTTGTAATATCGAACATGCTCTATTTACTGGGTTCTTGAAACCAAAATCAAAGCACATTTGAAATTAATGGGAGAAAAAGAAAAAAAAAATCAAAGAGAGAACTTACAGAGCCAATCACCAACATAGAACTGCTCATGAATTGCCCAATCAGTGAAGTTAACATTTGGTTTCCAAGTAAATCTTCCTCCTCCAACCCTGTGTAGAACTGGCTGTCTGCTTTCTGTGTTCACAACTGTTACCATAAGCAGCACCAGGCAGGCAAGTATTATTTTCACGCACTCCTTTTCCCGCCAAAACTTTCACTCTTTTAATGGCTCTTTATTGATAACAAGGCTAATGAGTTACCAGCACATGCATTTTACATTCATATCTATAATCACATAAATCTTAACAGTTTGTAGCAAGAAACCTGGCGCCAGTTAAAAGAAGCACATTTTAGCATGACCAGACTAACTAGCTCACAAAATTTCCATGGTCAATAATCACCTTAATTGTTTTCAAACAGATCCTTTTATGTGAATCTTGGGTGATTGTGTTTATTCTGATTCTAGAACATCTGCTGTGGATAATCAAAGATATGCAGAATGTTAGAAACCATATGAAGAACTTAGCTGATATAGAACTTGGATTGAACGTTACTCCACTCTTTCTAACAGGAACAGACGGGTATAATGAGCATGCACTTTCTTTTTCTCTATCTTTTTTTCATTGATAATTATAAGGTTTCTATGAACCAGTTTTGGCAGTAAAGTTGGCATGAAGTTACCTTGAGGATCTATTTCTTAGTTTCCTTTATTTTTTTTAGTTTATCTCTCAACTTTGTTGCGTAACTAATATGGGATTTTGAGCGTGGAATATTTACATAAAGCACCATCAAACAGGCCAATTAGAATGCCCTACTTACCACCTACATATGTAACATGTTGACAAACTCTGGGCAAAGCAGATAGATATTGCATTTTAGCAAGGTAAACATGAGATGACGAAAAAGAATTACAGACAGGATAAAAATTGAATCTCTTATTGTTCAATTTTCACAAAGTTTCAACAACTTTTTTTTTTTTTTTCAGTTTCAGTTTCCCTTATGTACAACAATGCTGGGGGAAGTGGAATGAAAATGATGATCAAAGAAAAGCACAGGCACCACCTCTACAAGCTTGCAGACCACTCAAGAAAAAAGATATACCCTCGTAGCCAGAAAGCCCAAAAAAGAAGAAACAATAATGGAAAGCCTCAGGAGTAAGCAGCCGCACAGAGGTGTACAACCCCCCAATGTACAATATACAAAATCCATCTTTCCTTGGCATTCAAACCAAATGATACATAGACCATGAACTCCTCCAGTCATCAAGGTTGATCTACAAAATTGGGATTCAGTGGCACTAAGGATCAAGGACATCACTTGGTAGATAATGGCTGTCCTCTCTTGTGCTTGTATTCCTCTCTTTGGCACGGAAATCGTCGATGCCCCGGTATTCTTCTCTCAGTAGCCTATCCAATTCTGGGTGTTTCTTTAAGGGCTCTTTCTGGTCTCGGAAGTGATGGAATGCCCTACCAGACATGAGAATTCTACATTTAGAAAACGATGAAGTGGAAAGACTCAAACAGCTAATTCTAACAATAATAGAGAAATAATGTTCTCTTTTTGGTGATCTTGAACTGAAGAGAATGTCTAAATATGAGACAAGAAAAGGTTCTTCACAAATATCATTTAGTCACCACAAACCACAATCCTAGATTTCATATTGATGTTTGTCCCCATTCCCAGACGAGGGGAAAACATTTTGACCAAAAGATTCTTGAATCTTAAACATGCATCTTGGCATGATAGTTTTTTCCAGTTCAGAAATTTGAAAGGAATCCACTTTCTTAAGCAAAATGTTCCATGATAATAGAGGAAAAAAGGAAATTACCAGTATTTTTCAAGGCCATAAAGATTGCCTTTATGATAGAAATCAATGGTAAGTTGCTCAAAATCCTTATAAAGATCACCCCGATATTTCTTCTCCAAACCGTAACTGAAAAATGGAAAAACTTAAATTAGTCTGCATATAGACAGGAAAGAAGAAGCAAAACCTTCTCTTATAGTAACGAGAAAATAGTCTGTAAAGGAAACAAACTAACTAAAAAGGGGTGAAACAAAAGCAGAGTCAAAAACTGCAGAAGTGCTTCAAACAGCCATAAAATTGGGCATAATTATCAATTTTACCTATAAAACCTGAAAAGACACTCTATCCCATAATTGTAATTAGCAGCCGCATCTTCAAGAGCAAGTTTCTGGAACTCATTATACATTGAAGGGACAAATATGTCCCTAAGGAAATATGTCCAAAACCTGTACAGTGAATTCATTTCCTGCATGCAAAACCATGGAGCATCATAAAAAAAAAAGTTATAGTTCTTTACGTCTAAAAAATGCATGTAAAGAAAACCTTAAGACTTTGAAAAAATGCACATGCTCAGGTGCTGTAGACTGGCAGGGTTTAGACTACATACAGATCTAAGAGGACAAAACAACAGTGACAACAGTAAATTCAGGGCTTCATCCTCAATTAAGGCACACTATATTCAATTTCCTTCTATTACAAATGGTCAAACTGAGGACGTAGAACACCAGACAACCAAGTTTCAGTGCAACGACTGATTACCAATACAAAACAAGAGAAACTCAAACAAGAGGAATAAATGTAAATATTTTGAGTAGAGATTACTTAGACATGTTAATCAATTAAACAATTGAAGTTGTGCAAAAGTTGTGGTTTCATTTCATATAAAACAGTTATTTAATAGCTTAGAAAGTTCAGATATAAAGTCCACCTCACTGCAACCAATTCCCAACTTCTTCCTGTCACTCAGGCAGCGCTTGTGAAACTTTAGGTACCTGAATGTAACAAAAACATGAATTAGCCAACTTTGCTTTACAAGTGCTCTTTCTCTTTCTTTCCATCTCTCCCTCTCTCTGAGCAAGCACAAGTGCATGCAGAAGGGCTCAAGCACAGATCATAAAGAAAAAGTCTTTTTTTTTTGGCACAACAAAAATCTCACAAAGTCATGATATTATATGTGGAACTGTGCAAAAGTATACACAAATACATACATATATTAGAGAAAAAATCTACCATCCCTTACTTCTGTTGCTTAAAACCATTTTCTTCTAACAGCTGATGACTTGGATGCTGAAAAGGTGGAAATGACTTTGGCAAGGAACCAACCGGTGGACTGCTAGAAAGAGTTCCACGTGGTGAACAGCTCAACTTCGAAGGAGGCCTAGGGCTGTAAAAGTTTGAAGCCTAGTAAAAAATTAGGTTTCATTTATATTTGAAACCTGTAACAACCTATATTCTTGCAATCAAAAGCTAAAAAAAACAAGTCAAAAGAATTTCAGTTAGTCATGATATTTAAAATGAATAAATGGTCACTTGGAACTAACCCATGACTATCAGGAGGAGTAGAACCAAAGAAATATCCGACTGAATTACTCGGTGGACTTTCTGATATTATTGCATTTGAATTACGACTAGCTCCATGGTTTTTTAAGTTGCTGGAGAAAAATCTCTGCTTATGGAATGACTGTTGCTTGGGAAAACCTTTATTTTGCTTCCTTTGGGAACTTGCTCCTCCAGACTCTTCAAGACTACTGCTCCCAGCAGCATTTTCACCTGTCTTCAAATTTAATACTCCTGATACACCTCTTGGAGACCTTGGATTTCCATCTTTATTCTCATAAATAAAGTTATTCTTTCTACGACTAGATCGTTTAGTTTTGAGCTCCTGCTCATAACAATCATGTTCAAATAATTTGATTACAGAAAAGGAAATGCCAAAGGGAAAAATTTTAAAATATTTACCATAAAACAGTGGGAAATGAATTAGAAAAGCTAGTGCCTCAACCTGTTCATAGAAGTAAAGACCATCATTTATCACAGCAGCAAGCTCTCTAGATATGGACTTTGAATCTTTTGCACCAGCTTTTGATCCTCCACCAGTCCCGCTATTCTGTACATCAGAAGGAGTAAGTGCATCAAAAGGAAAACAGTAACATTTGACTGTTTAATATGAGTAAAACATGATCCAAACAAAACACATGCTTAAGGGCATAACCTAAAAACAGAGACAGAACATTGCAGTCTCAATTAAAAATAAGAAAATTGGAAGAAATTGGGGGAAAAGAGATGCAATATGAGAGGAGAGGACTGGAGTAGAATGTCCTCTCTGAAAGTGTCCAAATTCCAAATCATTGCTGATATGAAAAAAAATGGTTATCTTTCAATTTGCACTTGAGAAAGAACACTGACCCTTCTGAATCAAGTTTAGAAAGCTTCAACTTCACAAAATGGAAGCATTAAATTGTTCAATACCTATGAAATAACTGATTTGGATAGGGCAATTTTTTCTATATATATTCTTTTAAATTGGATTTCCATTGATTTATAAGTAAAGTCTGATATTCTTATCATTTTCTCATGACATCAAACAATCAACGTGATACTATTGAAATGTCATGACATCAGATCAACTATCATAAATTGCTAAGTAAATACTAAACTTAGAAGATCCAATGAAGGTACCAAAATGACCCACCCTTTAAACTTTAAATATAAGAATAATGTGGCGAAAAAAGAATTCATACAAAGCAGGACCATATTACCTGGGTAACAATCACAAGTCTCTGAACATCCTGATCGTAGACAACATCATCATCTTCATCATCCATTCTGAACAAAAATGCCACTCAGATATCAAGCGAACATTATTAATATCTAGAAGCATTTAAATATGCATTCTGAACAAAAACAATCTAGTACCTGTTAAGTGCTGAAAGAGTTTTTTGTGTTTTTTGCTCAACTTCTAGCTCTTCATCCAGCATAAATGTGTTTGTGAAATCATTTGACAGTTCAGCAACATTTTGCATTGTTAAGTTTGATAATAATTCCACACTTTCAGTTCTGTGGTCAATAAACCTTACAGGCTCAACTCTTTTTGACTGATCTACATCTGAGAATTTAATGTGGGAATCAGCAATTAATTTCCTGCTCAAAGCACCATTTATACCACAAATGCTTCTTCCTCACCATATAATAGAACGTGTACAGCTTCATGTTTGCTGTTACTTTTACATGTTACATCTGCAGGATTGCCCTCAGGTGAAACATGCTCCAAGTGTGCACTATTCAATGGATCTTTAACATTTTCTTCAGAGGTTTCCCCTGAATTATCTTCATTCACATCACCATTTACACAGGAATCAGTAACATTCTCTGCAATGTGGTATTGAGTAACCTGAACTTCTGATGACAAAGTTGTCTTTGAACTTGCTGGAATCCACTTGGACCACTCATCACGTCTCCTTATCTTGTCACCCTATAATCAATTACCAAGTAAAGACAAGGCCATTGAAGCAAAGAACAGCATCAAATGCCAATCTATCCAACAAAAATTACAGATTCTCACCAAGAATCTGCCCCTCTCAAATTTGATACACATGATGGAACACACAATTTATAACTATAAGGTATGATTACCAGTATCAACAACAACATTAGTTCATAATCATAGCCCCCCAGCAACTACATTAAAATTTGTTCTTTGCCAAAAACAATTTATGATAATTTATTAAAAAAATATAGATTACAAAAGGGTATCTGAATAAAGAAACGTTATTATCTTACTTGCATCATATAAGGATCTTTCAATTTTTGAAAATAAGAAACTTGTTGAAAAGAAACATTTTGGTCAAAACTATTATGAATTTGATAAAATGGGTAAATTAAAGCTAATCATGTGGAAAAGATTAATAGGTTGATTCTGTGTTCAAAATTAAACATCTGGCGTGATCCCAGCTTGCATACATACAGTACAAAATCAAATTTCAAACAGTAACAATGAAAGATAGATAAAAGTCTAACCTGCACTTCTACTGTACTAGAACTCAGCAGTGCATCAAGGATAAATTGTATGTCTGTACTCATTCTCTTAACCTGTGACTCAATGTTAAAATTATGCAAAAGCTTTAAACCAATACTCCTCAAGCTACAGAAAAAGAAAGATTATAGAAAATTTAATACAATCAGTTAATGATGCAGCAACCATGAATAAAACAGTAATCCTACAAATATAAAATACAGCAGCCGCATATAATCTGTGCTATATGACCATAAGCATTATATGGTAGTGAGTTAAAACATACCCTTTTAAAGTCTGCAATTGAAGAGATTGGAACCCATCCTTGATCATCCATCAAGGAAGTCAGGTAATGGTCGTTTTGAAGATTTTTATCACTGCATAAAAAGTTTTTAGGGTCAACAAGTAATACAAACATGCACACATTATATATCAGTGAAAAAAACAAATAAATTTATGGCATTCAATTAACGTAACAATCATCTCCCAATGAATGGACTAGTTACATTGTCCATGAAACTTATGCCAAAAATCTAAAAATTTGATTTACTATATCAAAAACTCACAATGACATGCAACAGATAATTGATATAGGTCAGAGGTTAACAAAATTCTAAAGTGGATACCACAGCATCAGTTTTTGATAAGATGCCCCGTATATAACATCTGTATTCAAACTGACTCAGAAGTGAAAACATTTACATAAGGAATGGATCAATCATTTTCACCAGAGAAGTGACAAATCCAAATACCCATAAATTCCAACACTTGTAAGGGCATCTATAGACTGGGAAGAGGTATAATTTGGCAACAATTCTAGACAGTGGCACCCAGCTATAAAGAAAACAGAAATTAAACCATACATAAAAATTATTAAATAGATAAAAGAGACAGAGAGAGTCCTTCCCTTACCTGAAATAATACTCAATTTGTTTCACTATATCGGCCCTCAAAGTTACTATCTCTGGAGGGAACAAGGCAGTCCCTGGATTTATAGGGTATGAAACAAAGTGTGGAGGATGTGGTCCCCTTATAGAGCCTGGAGGAGCAATAGGCACATAGCATACAGCTCCTGGATGGTGGGCATAAGTCATTTCAAACAGAATTCATTTTATGAAAGGCATAATATCAACCAATAGCTCAAACAAGAACCGAAGGCAGCATCACCTGAGTGGCTGAGACCCAGACCTTACCTTTGTGGCATACATAATTGGCAAGGAAGCTTAAAAAAGTAAGATGTAATAAAACAGGTTGTAGTGTTTTAAATGAAGGCACCTTTTCATGGGGATTGAATAATTACCGGGGAAATTTGGACCAACAATGAAACCTGGAGTTGGACCAAAGAATGGGGGTCTAGCAAAAGGTCTTAGTTCGATACCCTGCTGCATGGGAATAGGCTCTCTAGGATTATATGCCCGTTGATGATTCCAGCGAAGATTCAAATGGCTACCAGGTTCTTGCATGTTGGGTCTTCTGTTAGAGAAGTTGGCAGGATATGCATTGGGATCTCCTCGTGGAGGAGGCTGCATTTTTCTGCTGGCATCAATACCTTGAACCGGGGGACCAAAGGCATGCATTGTTGTCTCAGATCCAGATTTTACCAACTGAGGTTCAATACCAGGAAAAGGTCCAGGGACAGGCTGGTAAGCATACCCAGGAACTGCAATGTGCGGTGGAGGTACCATAGCCTGAAAAACAGGTGGCATTGGAGGTTGATAATAAGGTAAGGGTACAGGAAAACGAGGTCCAGCATTAGGATTGCGCTTAGAGCCTGACTTCTGATGGCGTGCTAATGAATGCTTATGAGAAGCATTGGTGTTTCTGGACCCATTTGACTTCTGCTGCTTGGCTGCTCCCTGGAAGACCAAAAAAATGATAAATACTTAAATTAAGCTACAATGAGATAACAATTTATTCATTTTTTCTTCTTTCTTAATTGCTTGGAGAAAAAAACAGAAATATATTGCCAACAACCAAATAAATCTCCCACTTAATATGACGGCCCAGATAGAATCATACACACAGGCAACAGCACATGCAAAAAGAAGCAAACACAGACAAATAGACTGACTGAGAGTCAGAGATCGCTAAATGATGTGGGGATTTCTTCACAGAGAAGTTATATTCCATAAAGGTTCATTAAAATTATCATCTGAGATTATGCTTCAGTTCTTTCTGTTATATGGAAACAACTCCTACGATCATCTAATAAGAAGGGGAAGGAAAAAGAGGAGGGTCATGAAAAGGTAGTACTTGGTCAGTATAGCTTAGTCTCTCCCAAAGATTTTTAGTTGGCACAAAATCAACAAAGAATTTTAAGAAACCAGAAAGGCAGTAGATCATTGGTTCTCAAGATATTATTCTGGGAATTAAAACCATTGTATGTGAGATAAACAACTAACATTCAAATAATTTATAAGTTAAAAAGGCTTAAAATCTGGTCTTTCAAGCTGACCATTTGAAATGACTTTTTAGCAAAACCACATTACAACTAACAATTACACTTTGTCACACAGTTTACCGAAACAAACTCAAATTACACCTGAACATTATCAAATTTCATCCAAATTTAACATCCATAAAAGTGATTGATCACCAATAAAAGCAAATCCAATACCAATAAAAAGCAATGACTAACCTGCTCTACTGATGGAGCTGGAGTAGACCCATCAGCAGCAAGCTGAGGATTGTCGAGTGTTTGCTGCGATCCACCAAGGTCAGGCCAAGATTGGGTCCCCATAACAGTAGCAACAGCCGTTTTGTCCCCATCAATCACCGGAGTCTTCCATGATGACTTGACCTCCTTGTGATCATCCCCTGCCTCATTCTCAGCCATCACCATAATCGCCACCAGTAAACAGCCACCAAAAAACCAACAAATCGAAAACAACCCAGATGAAAAGAACCAAAACCCAGTTCAAAAATCACCCCAAAGTTCAACTCGTGATAAGCAAATGAAAGGAGTCTTTTTGTTTACTAAAACTGAAGTTGGGTTTTCAAGATTAGGGCTTTGGTGGTTTTTAAGAGTTAAGTAAAGTTTGGTAAGAGAGTGTTGGGAAGTTTGAGAAAGATTGACAGTTGCAGACAGAGGCCAACCAAGTTTGCAAAAGTGTGTCTGCGTTAGTTTTGCTTCTTTTACATCAAAGGGAGAGAGAAAGTACAGTTGTCAGACAACTTTTTACCATCTCCAGGTGTGCAGTAAATCAAACAATGAACACTGATCAACGCCGGAAATAAAGTGGGGTTGGAGTGGAAATAAGAAAGAGTGGTCTTCAAGCGATCTGTCACGTCAGAAACCCTAGATCAGAAGCTTCTAAATGGGGCCGGATCCTTTTTTTATAATAACCCTGTGATCTATATCTTAATATCTTCAATAATACATTAATATTTTATTTCTAGTTTTTCGAAATTAATATTATGATTATTATATCATAATTCACAATTCATATCAACATTTGAAATACAAAATTTTAAACTATAATATTTTTATGCTATTTTTATAATATTTTTATATAATAAGGTGCATTTACAATTGCAAAGTCTGTCAATAACTCTTAAAATTGATAACTTTTTTTCTCTCCATGTCTATTACAACCTAATTTTCATATGATTCAAACATGTTTGATGATGTTTTATTTTACCTCACAGCGCTGCTACTTCAGTTTATGTAATCATGAAATTTTGCTTTGTATCTGCACATTGCCATTGAAGGGAGATTATTTCCAATGAAACCATACAAGAAAAATCCAAAATTTTTTATCCATCAATCGCTTCGCTTTGGCCAGGAACGTATCATACATTTAACTATTTTTTTGAATCAAACATCGTATCCAGGACTCATGAATTACATGCACAAAGGCATGAATATCAACACGAGAGCATTAATCAGGGGCTATAATTTTCAGATCAAGGCAGTCATTTGGTGAAAGTTCAGACAGGGTCAAAGGAGCAACCAAGACCAGCTTCATACCTTGGACGAATAGATGCTTTGCCTGTCCCATCACCTCATCAACCAACAAATTCTTGCCCCATGAATCCAAGTCCCTCAAACAAGATGAGGGAGACATGTAGGGCAACTATGTCAAGAAGGCTTGACATGCTACTTCGTATAGTTTGGAAATAAACAAAAGGTTATATGCAAAGCAATATCTAGGACCTTCCGTGTCAGGAACAACACAATCTGGTGGGCATCTCAGAAAATTAAGTTAGCTGATACAACTCCCCATCACAAATCACAGTTTAGAACATGCTTCTGGTTTTACATGAACAAAGAATTTGCCAATGAAGACAAAGAAACCATTTCACAAATCATTGGCAAAAAGAACACCAACAACTCAATTTGTTCCCATTCCTGAGGTAAAGATTCTCAGTACCAAACTACCAATGAGAGAAACACAGGGGCAAGGAAGCAGATCCGGGAAAGAGGGTGTGGGTGGGGGTGGGTGGCGGGGTGGGAGGAGCTGGAGGTGCTGTTAAGAAAACAATAAGCATGAAAGCACCAGTCAGAACTATATAGCCATTGTACCTGCAGTTTGACATCTCATCTCATCCAATATTGCAGTTAATGATTCATAATCCCTAATGCTACAGCGCCCATCATCAAAGTAATGAACACAGCAATCTATATGAAGTTAAAATGGGGGCAGAACTCTACAAGCAGAAAAAGATTCCAGGCAATTTATGACAAGGTAAAAAGTAAGTTTACAAAACCACAAGAAATCTAGAAAATATACAAATAGCCCGAAAAAGTTTTGTCTAACGTAAAACTAAATTAAGAACTTTCTGATTCACCTAAGAAATAGAGTCACCATAAAACGAGTGCGTCAGTCAAATTAAGAAAAAAAAGTACAGAAAAGGCATTGTTTGAGTAACACACTTGAAAACTTGAAAAGGCAGAGAACAAGGCATCGTGTCCTCTGCCTGGAAATTGTACCTGTTCCCCAACACTTTTCAAGAAATAAATCTTTGAGCTGAAATAGTACATCTTTTTGAAAACACATGAATAGGCAAGGGTACTAAAATAGAAATGAAAATACAGGTTTAAGATTTGGGATCTTTATAGTAAACAAACGGTAACAACTTTTGGTTACAAATTTGAAAGACCACGTTTGCATGAGTGCCTGGAACTTCAGAATCACCATAGTCGAAAACAAAATGATTGATGCATCTATAAGAGAATCTGCACAATGAATAATAAACATAAACAGACAAGTTTCAAAAGCAAAAGATTTTGCAAAAAAAGAAATGAGAAAGATGAACTGAATTCATACCCTTGGCAAAAAAAAAAAGATTTTGTGTTAACATGCTTTTATCCAACTAATATTTGAAGGATGACAAAGAAAGAATACAAAATGAAGTTCGATAAACATCATAAAGTGAGATGAAAGCAAGAGTAACGCTTCATAATAACATTAGAAAGAAGGGAGCTCAAAAATCGAATAAAATTTAAAGAAATATTGATAATTATAAAATTTGATAATAAGCCTTCATATTAGCAGAAAGTAGATAAGCCAAGACTCAGTAATATCCTTGTCTCGGGAAGACCAGTCTTTCTCAAACAAACAAAAAAAAACTTAGTTTGTAAAACTAGAATTAAACAATTAACTTAAAAGTTACAACATAATAAGAACTGTTGTCTTTCAAATTACGCCACCTGTAAATATCAATCAAAAAAGAGAAAAATATAAGTTCCTGGGGTAAACAGCAAGCCATCAACAATTAAATTCCCTTGACACTTGAACTACTATTCAATTTTATGCAATTCTTTTCCATCTTCTCAATAACCAAACCTGAACTACCCATCTCACATACTGTGAGATCATTTCAGCAGTATGCAGCAAAACATGTCACTCAATTAGATTTGACTTCTAATTTGGTAGGTCTATAATGCATAAAAAACATTCAAGTGCAACAACAAACATTAAGTATATATGTGACAAAAAATCCAACATAAATGATTATATACAGTTAAGGGCTTACCTAATGTCCCATATAAGAAGCACCGCCACCAGGTTGACTCCTACCAGCGCCGCCCTGCCCCATTTGTGGGTTCTGATACCCACCCTGAATTCCCATCTGGTTCCCGTAGCCTCCTGCAACCTGATTCCCATACCCTGCGACAGGTGCTCCCTGGTTCACAGGCGCTCCACCAAGCCCTCCAAGCAGATTACCAAGCCCCAAACCAGCTCCCTGAGTAGCAAGCAATGCAGTCAAAGCCTGTCCAAGCGCCGGGTTTAAAGCCGGTGCAGCAGCAGCCACCCCAGGGTTAAACCCAGCAGCAGCAACTCCGGGGTTGAACCCCACAGCAGCAGGCCCAGATGGAGCCATCAAATGACCAGTCTCTGATCCACCAGATGAATACTTTCCCTTCTTAGTATGATGGTAATGAGACTGAATCTGATGTTGTCCTTGCTGATGCTGCTGGTACTGCTGATGATGCCCACCAGAAGCACCACCTCCATAACCACCTTTACTCGGTTTTGGCCCATCAATGGCCTTTTGGCAATGCAAAACATGACCTTCAAAATTCTTATGAGGCTCCTCTAACGCCTTTCTTGCACCCTCAATCGACCTGTATACAAAAAGAGCAAACCCTTTAGGTTTCCCTGTCTGCTTATCAAGCCCCAACGGACCTTCCTCAATTTCCCCAAACTGTTTAAAAAACTCAAGCAACTTCTCCGGCTCCAGTTCAGCTGACACATTACTAACAAAAATCTTCCTCTGGGTATACTCAGAAACAGGCGGAGCAGTTGGAGGCGGTGCCGGAACCGGTCCTTGCGAGGCCAACTGGCAGGAAGTAGTTCTATTCCCAATCTTCTTCTGGGGCTCTTTTAAAGCCCGGCGTGCACCACTCCGATGCTTAAATAGAATAAAAGCGTAACCTTTCGATTTCCCAGAAACCCTATCGGTAACCGCTTTGCATTCTTCGATTTCACCATATTTAGAAAACTCGGCGATAAGGGTTTCAGCAGTGGTATCCCAACTGAGCCCATGAACGAAGATCTTTCGATGGGCCGGGTCCTCATCCGCAAACTCCCGAACCGACGAGATGAATTCCGGGTGTTCATCGACCGCTTTCTTAATAAGGGTAATCAATTGATCCTTCCCAAATGGTTCTAGAAGTTTCTCGAACGGCTCGTCGTCCAATTCCTCTTCTTCACCCTTTTCTTTCGATGTTCCATTTTGAAAGGCGGCGTTGAAGGAGCCAACTAGGGTTTGGTTTTCAGCTTCTTCGTCATCGTCGTCTTCGTTGTCCTCTTCTTCCTCTTCCTCTTCTTCTTCAACTTCCTCTTCTACTTCTATTTCTTCTTCTACTTCCTCTTCTTCTTCTTCTTCTTCTTCTTCTTCTTCTTCTTCTTTCTGGTTCGGATCTTCGTCGGGTATGTATTCGGGTCGCTGTTGCTCTTCTTCCTCGATTTGTTGAGGATCCGGCGCTGGTCTGGTGGGTTCGGGTTCAGAGGATCGTTGCTTTCGCTTTTTGGCCATGGAGGAAATAAAGATTTGAAAATTAAACAAAAAAAATTATAAAAATTAGGGTTCTGGGGCTCTGGGAAGTTAGGGTTTCCAAGTGAAGGACGAAACTCGGCAATTACTTGATTTGATCTGGCTCGTTCTTGATTGGTTTTCATCTTTCAGGGTCGGATCTAGGTCCGAGATATAATTGGGCCCAATGAAACATGAGCTGGGCTCTTTTGTGTCAGCCTTCTTTATTACAATATACATAGAACGACGTCGGATGATGACCTCAGTAAGGATGAAGAGGTAAACGTGATTGGATGATGGATGGCAAATCCCAAAAGGTTACACGTCATCAACCACGTGGAATCTTCTTATTGGCCATGAACACAAAGACACATGGGTCATTTAACTGGGTCCACACACAACGCTCCGATTCTCCGATTACTGAAATCTATAGGGACCCGTTTAAAAACCCGCTCGTGCCTTCACAATCGCATTTAAAATTCAATAATACGTGGAGTTTTCACGTAACAACAGCTTAGCAGAGAACAAAAGTTTTTTTTTTTCGAATCCAAGATCAGAATTTCCAGGTAATACTGAAATTTTCATTGTTATTTATTTATTTTATTTTTAATTACACTAGTAAAAATTTGAAATTTACAGTTAATTTGGTTGCTTTAACGATTAATTTCAATCCATCATCTTAATTTTCATTTCTTCGTAATTAAACGGTGGGAAATTGGGGAAAAACAGAAAATTTTGATTATATTGGCTTATTTGATTTACTATTTTAGGGCTTTTAGGGATTTTGATTGTAGACAAGTTTGGTAGTGTTGAATTTTCAATTTTAGTTTAGAAAAGTTGCTTTTTTTTTTTTTGTTTATACAGGTGATCAAATAAAATACATTGAATTATGCTGCTGAAAGGGAAAAAAAAAAGAGAATCAATTTTGTTAGTTATTGGAATGATGAGTATGGTTTGTAGTAATTCTTTTGGGTGATTTGTGTTTTGCAGTTTGTCTTGATAGGGTTTTGAGGGTGAGAGTTGTTGTGAATGGGGATTCAAACAATGGGATCCCAAAGCAATGGGCAGCAGTCCCTTTTACAGCCGTCTACGTTGGTGAGACAGAATTCATGGTATAGTCTTACTCTTAATGAAGTTGAGAACCAACTTGGGAACTTGGAGAAGCCCCTAGGTAGCATGAACTTTGATGAGCTTCTTAATAATGTATGGAGTACAGAATCAAACCAGTTCTTGGGGATGGATACTGAAAGATCCTCATCATCTTCTCTCCAACGTCAGGCTAGCCTAACCTTGTCTAGAGCTCTTAGTGGGAAGACGGTTGATCAAGTGTGGAAGGAGATACAACAAGGGCAGAAGAAGAGGTACGGTGAGGAGATGAAGGATCACGGAAGAGAATCAACACTTGGTGAAACCACATTGGAGGATTTTTTGGTACAAGCTGGCCTTTTTGTTGCTGAAACATCTTTAGCTCCTACTATGGAATTAGATAGTACCCTGCAAAGTTTTTCACAGCAGATCGGATTGTCACCTACCCCATTGATTGGCACATTATCAGACAGACCAATGACAGGGCGGAAAAGGGATAGCGAAGATGCACTCGAGAAGAGTATTGATAGGAGGTTAAGGAGAAAGATCAAGAACAGGGAATCTGCTGCACGTTCACGAGCCAGAAAGCAGGCAAGCCTTTAACATGTTTTTGGCTAATTTATATTTCTAAACTACTTTTTTCTTTAATTTATGCAGCCTTTGTCTTGTGGTTTTGCACAGGCTTACCATAATGAGCTGGTGAGCAAGGTTTCACGATTGGAACAGGATAATCTAAAGCTCAAGAAAGAGAAGGTAGAATCATCATCCACATTCTGTCTTTCTTGACATCCACACCCAAAACCCTTTTTTTAGTGACTTTAATTTGTGCATTATATGTTGGTTACTTCTTTTCAGAGATTCTGTTAATGAATAATGGTTTTTTTAATATCATAAGAGGCTTCATGAAGTAAGGGATTAGGGTTGCCCCCTCTACAATTTTGAAGCCCACAATAGTAGTCATGTAAAGATTTTCTGTCAAGTAAAAATGGTTTTGTATATAATGAATATCAAAATAGATAGCCTTTATTTTTGCCAGAATTAGATAGCCTATTCAAATCATCTACTTATAGCTAGTGGAGACTGGAGAGAAGTGAGGCTTGACTTTGTAGAAAATTTCTAACAATGTGCTATCAGTAACCGGTCCCTAAACATAACTAGGGGATATGGATGAAACTGCCAAAAGGAGACAGGAAAGAGGGTCCTTCTCATAACTGAAGAAATCTGAAAACAGAGAACGGTAAAAGTTACTCGGTTTTGAGTTTAGTCCAATCAACCTCAATAGATTGCTATTCATAAATAATATAACAAATTTAGGGTCATAAATAGAATATAAGTACCTTGTCCTTTAGAATTATTTAAGATACTTTCTGAGATGCAGCCTTCTACTGGTTTTGGCGGTAGTTATATGTAAATTGTAATCCATTTAGTTCTGTTTGATATTTACTGACAATGGTGCCTGAGTCATGATTCTGTACCTATTTAATATGGGTGCTTACCCTGGTACATTATGTTGAGTCTTTAGTTTATAAAACTTTACATATTTGGATCAAGACTATAGAATACCAAATAGATCAATGCAAATACATTATCACTTATGAAAGGGTTGATGGATGAAAATTTTTAAAAACTCACTGTTCATCCTCAGTGCATCTATGCAAGCCTGGTGGTGCCATTTTCTTACTAGTTTTATATATATATATATATTGCATTTCCATTGCTTGCACAAGAAGTGCCAGAACTGAAGCTATATGTTGAATGTTTTTACTTCTCAGAGCTTGTTCTATCTGACTATATATTCTTTGAACATTCTTGTAGGAATTTGAGAAAAAGTTTCAGTGTGAAACATCTGAACCTAAATATCAGCTTAGAAGAACAAGTTCTGCCTCTTTCTAACACATGTCTTCCGCTGTTAAGAGTTTTGTAGTTGCTGAGAATGTTAGGCCATCCCCTTGGCTTGTTGATGGAGCTGCTCTGAGAATTCATCCTAGGGTTTTCTGTATTGTACATTTATGATCATATGTGTTGGTGTTCAACAGCTTCCAAAAACCGCCATGTTTCTAAGTTAGGCTCTGTTTATTTGGCTGAAAGACAACTGAATTGGTGCTGATTAGCTTAGTTTCTCCCTTTAAGTTAAAAGGAAAAAGGGGGTTAAATTATAAAAGTAGAAAGATTTGAAGTTGTGCACTAGAAGATTGTGTCTAACAATAAAAAGGAAGTTCTGCAAACGTTTCAAGGTTATATTTCGCATGGAATACAATACGTGCAGGTTTTTCATTCTCAAGCTCCACAGAAAGGGTGTAAATGAACATTTGACAAACAATTCATTAACATATTTGAATTTTGCTTATGTTTGTTTATTAAGTTTATCGATCAGTAAGGTACAAATGTTCAAAATTCATGCATGTTGAGTTCAAAAAAAGAGGGTTCTCACTGTAACTTTTTTTTTCAATGAAATAACTGAAATAAAGATGAATTCATTGCATTACAAGTTCATGTTATTTAAGTTATAATGTTAAGTTTCATTTGACATGCTACAAGCAATAATTAGACCTCCATTCCAAAGCTCGGGGTTATCATTTTACATTTTTACAATCTTAATAAAGGTAAAAAAAAAAAAAGATTATATCTTTTAACTGAAAATATAACAAAATTCATAAAGCTAAAAACAGCAATAATTCATAAATGAAGCACAACAAGAAAGACGGTTATGCGAATAGAAATAGGATCTCGTACAAATTTCTACTCCCTTTGCAGTGAGACACCAAATATAGTCTATCTCACCACCCTCAACACAATTAAACAGGAAGCTCCTTGCAAAAATACTCCGAGACTAGTTTCCAACTCTTCTTCTTGGGACAAGGTATATCAGTAAACTGCTCTGAAATTAAATTTTGATGTTGAAGTAATCTGGGTCAAAATGGTGTAATCGCACGTATCCATCCTCGCCACCGCTTGAAAAACTAGAAGTTTAAAAGACAAGGAGATGAGTAAAATGGTTGAAGACTCAGGGATAAATACGCAAATACAAAGTAGAAACCCTCTTGGACTTTGGTGGCGTATAGACATGCAAGGAAGTTAGTCAACATTAGACAACATGATGAGATACTAGATTAATGTTGAAATGGAGCTAGCAGGATAATGCCAAATATCTTCACAAAACATGGATAATACTAACAATTTATGCATAAGACATTTTAACTTCAGTTAAAAATAACAAACAGATTTTTATAAAGAGATAGATGGACAGGAAACTAGGTTGTGCTTCATAAGCAAGCTATAAATGGGAAAAGAAACTTTAAAAGTATTGTTGGCTTAATACCTCTTCCCATCTGGGTTAAAAGCCAAAGCATTTATTGGCCCAAAATGCCCTTTCACACCCCCAATTTCTTCTTGAAGTATCTGCAAGACAACCAAACATTATGATAATGCGGGAAGATCGCATAATAACAAATCTTTTCTACAGAAACATTCTTTAAACAAAGTTAACCTTGTCATAGAATTTAGCTTCAAACTTCCCGGCACGATGATCAGTCGTTGTGACAGCTGATGCATCCTGACCACCTCCAAGCACCACCTAGAAGAACAAAAGGCATTCAGAAGAAAGATTAGAATGAGATGTAATACATAAGGCAACAAGAAAGATTCCCGAATGCTGAATGTTAATTATTGAATCGGTTCAACCCCCTTATCCTGGACTAAATCCAGTATCCTACAAATATATGTACTCATTGAAATATTATGACAAGACAATTGAACATAGGCATTTGACTATATAGATAATCAATTTTGCAATGCTTGAGGTGCACTACAATATTAAACATCTTTAGGCCTTAATGCAGCCAATAAAGGAAAGATGTGATCAGGAACAAAAGAAATTGCAATACAAGTCATGTCACTCATATTTTATTCATACTTACATGGTCGAGAAGTGGAGACATTGCAACAGCGTTGACTGGGCGTTCTGTAACATAGGTCTTTATAAGAGTCAATGTTCGCATGTCCCATAGCTAAACATTCACAGATAAACAAAAAAAAAAGGATCAGGAAGAGAAAAAAATAACTACAGGATAAAAAATTTGACGTTTTCAGAAAATATTGTCACAAATACTTAAAAAACTTAAGGGTTTAATAAGATGCATCACCTTGGCAGATTTATCCAGGGAACCAGTAAGGAAGTGAGAACCGTCTGCAGATTTTGCAAGTGATGTTATTGTCTTTTTGTGGCCAGATTCCTTGTCAGACTCCCTCAGTAGTTTTCCAGTCTACAAGACAGATAGGAAATTTCAAACCAAAAACTAAGGCTATTCCTAATGAATCAACTGAACTTAGAAATAAAGAAAGAAACATGACGGAGGAAAGCGAAGAAGGATAATTCAAAAATAAGAGAGATTTAATTTGAAGCATATTGAAAAGAAGCCAAAACCAGCTATTACATCAGAAGTTTTTTAATATTGAAGCCAAACAGACTAATTGTGCAAAATTGTAGAGCAAAAATACCCCTACCAAAGAAATTATCCACATCAAACAGCAATTTACCTCAGAATCCCATATACGAATTACAGCATCTTCTCCAGAACTAATGATAGTCCTATTAAGGGGTCCCCAAACAGCTCTGTTTATTCTACCTTGAGGGCCCTTTATGACAAGCACAGATTCCTCAGTCTCTGCATGATTATGCCACAATGTAATGAACCAGAGTTCAGGCATCAAACACGTCAACAGACCATATGCTCAAAGTAAAATTTGTGTAATAAAAAATCAGTAAGAAAACAACAATGCCGGACAGGTACAAATACATTACACGTCAACATTCTACTCTAAGTCAATATACTACACTTTCTCATTTCCTAACTTTATTCATTACGTGAACAAACGAATTACATAAAATCCAGGAACCCAATTAATGCACAATAATTTTCAAAATTCCCACCCAAATTTAACAAATTGGATAAGCAATCACTGAAAAATCACATTAAAGTAAAGAAAGATCAAAACTTTAAGCTTACGTTCGGTTGGGTCTCTGGCAATGCGTTTAACATGAATAGCAGAAGTCAATTCCATGAAAGGATCCGTAGTAATAACAGCAAGCTTATCCCCTACGGCAAAATCCACCGACCTCGCCGGCGAACCGAAATTAAATGTATACAATTGAGCTCCCGTCTGAACATTCCACAGCTTCACCGTTTGATCAGCACTTCCCGTGATAAGCCTCGTCGAATCCCCTAAAAATTTGGAACTTCACTTTTAAAGGTTACAACTTTGATAAAAATTAATGAAGAAACAATACGAGGGACTTACTTGAGACATCGCAAGACCAAACGGCACCGTTGTGACCACGGTAAGTGCCGAGACGCTCGCCGTTGTCAGCGAACCAAACGGTCGGAGTGTGGTCCTTGGCGCATGAAAACAAAAGATCGCCGTCTCTGTTGTACTTGAGAAATGTCAATGGCCTTTCATGGCCTTTCATCAAAATTGGCCTCATCTTCTCTTTTTCCTCGCAAAAATTAAAAAAATCGCTTAGCCTCTGCCTAACAATCTAACAAAATTTTTTGACTCCTGACTCTAGGGTTTTCAGCAGTCATCAATGAGTGCCACAACTACAAGTGTCTTCCTTTTTAGGGCCGCTCTTTGGGCTGCTTTTGCCCCAATATCTTAGGCTCAAAGCCCAATATCCCAATAAATTGGGCTTGTGCTGGGTGGCGTCCCATAAAAGGTCCCCAAGGTGTATTGTTTACTTGGGCTCATGGGCGATGAGCTATGAAATGCCTTACAATTTACAAATAAAATGGTTTGAAATGGGTTTGGAGCCCAATATTGGCCCAAGTTTCCTTTAACTTTAAATTAGTTTTGGCAAATGCTACCAAATTTTTATTTTATTTTAATTAAGAAAATGTTAGTATATCTCATTTTTAAATTATATTAGAAATTAAATTTAATTTTTTATACATTACATTTTAAATTTCACGAATGGTATTAGAAATAAAAATATTATTTTGTATCCCATTATTTTTTAAATAAAATTATTAAATTTTTAAATATATATTCGATACGTGATAATCTTTAATTCATTAGCGGAGAAGATATGAATTACAATGAATGGGATTATTTTTCAGATAAAAATGTGTTACCTTAAAAGCAACATAATTTTTTGTTAGATAATAGCACACTTAAAATTAGAGATTAAAACATTCATGATTTATAGGTTTTGGACCTTCGGAGTAATATGTTATATTTTAAACAGTTGTTGTGTTACAAAGTTTGGAATAATTTCTTTTAGAAATTATCAAATATGTTAAGAGTAAAATTTTTTAATTTTACGAACGGTATTAAAATGGTGATATGATTTTTTAATATATATTTTAAAAAATAAAAAACATTTAAAAATAATGAGATTTATGTTATTATCTTAATTTTTTTATTTATAAAATTAAAAAAATTTCACTGTCAGTATATATAATATTTTTATATTTTTTTAAAATAAATAAAAAATAAATTATAAATGTTAAATTTTAAATTAAAATTTGTTAAATATATCTCATAAAAATGGACTGTCCTTTAACATAAATCCGACCCAATAGGCAGATATTAATTCTCAAAATATAAAGTTTAAACAAATATGTATTTATTTGTTTTAACATTAAGGAAAAAAAATATATAAGAAGTCAAAGTAAAGATAAGATCGACATGTCTTCTCGAAGTCATTTGTTTATCTAACAAAATGTATTCAAAACATTATCTGATAAGATCAGCATATATCCTGTCTAGATAACCATATCCTCAAGCTTCGTTTGTTTTCAACATTTTTTTCTTCATTTTTTTATAAGATTGGTTGCCAACAATTTAATCTTTATTCTTATTACTTTTAAAAGATTGCATTGACCTTTTCTATCAAAATTATGCTTTCGTCTATTCTCAAAAGTTATAACATAAAAAAAAAAAAAAAGAGGACTCACGAAATCAATGGGAATGGTTTTATATTAACGTTTGCCCTTTTAGTTTATCCGGTGACGTGGAGTTGTTCGTCTGCAAAAATAAGTTGTGGTCAGAACAACCGTTTCCCGGTACTTGCAGTTGATCACGTTGTCGTTCGCAGTGTCTATTTCCGTAACAAACCGAAACCAGTGTCCTTTTAAGTCCCCTGCTTTATTCAATAACCAAAATATTTTTTTTCACGTAATTTTTGTTTTCTCTGTAGATCTCTCTGAAGAAAAAAATTAGACTGAAGATATGGGAAATGCAAACGGAAGAGAAGACGGAGCCAACGGCGGCCTCGACGATCTCTCTGGGAGATCCAACAGCATCGGGACGGTGGTTCGTGGAGCGGCTGCGGCTGCCTCAGCAGCAGCAGAAGTTCGCGTGCCATCGTCTGATCCAATGGAGAGCCCTCGCCAGTCTCGACCCCCTCTTTTATTCCCTCCTCAGGTTTGCATCTTCAAAACTTCAATGATCTTTCCTGGACTTTTAATTTATTGTATTTTTTAATAATATCAATTACTCAAATATACAAAAAAAGAGTTATTTTGTTTCAAAATGTATTTGACTGAGGAAAAATCTGAGTTTGATTGTAAAATTGATTAACTAATTGAAGAAAAATCTGTGTGTTGCGTGACAGATAGGGAAAATTAAAATTTTCGAATTGTTTCATGGAATGAGACATTGAAGATAATGTTTTTGGGCGTGTTTTGATAAAACTGGAAATGAATAGGATTAAATTAAATAATATCATTTTAGTTTATGTTTGATGTGTGTAAAGATTAGAATAGGATAATTTTATTTATTGGTTAAAATTATATTTTTTTAATGTTTATATAATTTAAATTATTGATGTAATTTTTAAACATGTAAGTTTAATTTTTTGGATTAAAAATAATCCTTCCCACTTTTGGATTGAATCATCTTATGTTAAAGAAATTATTAATTTTTCTTGTAATCTTATCCCTTTTTTTTATATACAAATCAAATATGATATAAGATGATTATAATCATTTCTTATTCATTATCATATGCACCAAACATAGCCTTACTGTATTTGCACATGTTATAATTATTGCCTTCTTGTATTTGCATATGTTATAATTCTTAAGAGTGGATGCTTGTATGTTTAAATCTTAATTATCAACTTTTGAGCTGATGATTGATGAGAACTAACACATATGTCAACACGTGGAGTGAAGGGGGTTTGATAAGACTAACTAATGCCAATACCCCAAAAGTGTCCAACTTTTGGAAACATGAAACAGAATCTTCTTTACTGTTGGAATTCCCCATCTCTTTGGTCTTTACATTGGTTTTTGTCCATGAGAATTGTTTCCCTCTTACATATGTGTGGTTTTGATTTCATATATAGATTCTTGTGGAGCTCTAGAGTATCCACATTGATTGCAAGTAATTGAGTAAGTTGTGTTATTTCAATTAGTTTCTTTTGATTTGTTAATCTTCATCCTGTTCAGATAGTAATTTTTCTTTTCGTTTTAAACAAAATTGTTTTGGGGCCATGCAATACCTTTTGATATCTATTCATTAGTTTGTGGTCTGTTATTGGGATTGCCAATAAATGAGGAGAGGCAGGAGAAGTGTGCCGATGATTTATTTATGAACTAAAGAGTTTCGTCTATCTAGGCTGTAGCCTTTCAACTGATAGGTTGGTTGCTTTCGGTGCATTTTCAGGTTCCTGTAGCTCCCTTACCAAGGGGTGATGGTCATTCCTTTTTGAATCAAATTTGGCATGATTCTCCTGGGGTTGCTGATAATCCATCTGAGAAAGGAATCCCTGTCATCATTACATGGAATTATGGTGGTAATGATGTGGCCGTGGAAGGTTCTTGGGACAACTGGAGATCAAGGTAGGTCTTTAGTTCCTTAGTGTTATAGAAACTGACATTTTCATGCATAATAAATCCCACTGTTTGTCTTTTTGTCTGAAACCCAAGCATGGATGGCATATAATGGAGTCTATTAGTTTTTCCTTGCAGGAAGACACTGCAGAGATCTGGTAAGGACCACTCAATTCTCTTGGTCCTTCCATCTGGCATATACCATTACAAGTTTATTGTCGATGGCGAAAGGAGATATACGCCTGATCTGCCTTTTGTAGCTGATGAGATGGGCCATGTTTGTAATCTTCTTGATGTTCATGTACGTATCTTCTTATATATGCCCCATTTGCTCAAATCTGAATCATGTAACTTTCTTTTTTACTTCATGTAATGGTGCTTTCATAGTGTGATGTAAAATAAATAGCCGACATGCAAAACTGGGCATTTTCAAACTTAACATACATTGTTGCATAAAAAGGGAGGTTTTCATATATTGTATTGAGCATACAAGAAAGAATAGGAAAGACGTTCGTTACATAGGTTCTGTTGTGTTTAAAACATTTCAATAATGGTTTTTTTGGCTCGTCCCTTTTTTATCGGCCATAACTAAGATCTCAGTGATACTTATCACTATTTTTGTTGCCTTCATTTGCTTAATTACTTGTCACTATTTCTTGCAGGACTATGTACCTGAAAATCTGGATAGCGTAACTGAGTTTGAAGCTCCAGGATCTCCAAATTCCAGTTATGGTCAGGCATTTCCATCGGAGGAAGATCTTGCAAAGGAGCCTGTTGTAGTTCCATCCCAGCTGCATCTAACTGTTCTCGAAACAGATAACCAAGATGGAGCATCATCCTCGAAGCCTCAACATGTTGTACTCAACCACCTCTTCGTAGAGAAAGGATGGGCATCTCAGTCTGTTGTTGCCCTGGGATTGACCCATAGGTTTGAGTCCAAACACGTGACTGTTGTACTCTATAAGCCACTCAAAAGGTAACACGTGCTTTTCCCATGCTGTACTCTGTAAAGAAATGATAGGAACTTCACGTTTGTTTGTGAAGGTACCTCTGTTTTATAGATCTGCTTTGACACTTCAACATGCGCTTTGTTTTGTTATACTTTATTATTTGTTTGTTTTCATACGGAAAATTTTGCCACCTTTCTAGCACGTCCAAATTAAAATAGATACGATAATTTAAAATATAATATAATGATATAATATAAATAAAATATAAAAATAATATGATTTAAAATTTTAGTAATAATTATATATAAATTTAACAAAATATAAAAATATATTTTTATGTTTTACAGTGATATAAGTATGGAGATCTACGTTGAATTTATGAAATATTATTTATTTTGATCCGAAAGTCTTATAATTTTATCTTATAAAAGCATCTTATAAATTTGAATTTAAATTTTTACTTAATAAAATTTTAAATTATTTTGATATAAGATTAGAATATCATAAATTTTTTTAGTTAAAGCTTACATTTTCGTCAATCTCAACATAAAGTATATATATTCATAGAATTATATTAAATGTTGAGCAAGTTTAACATAAATTATACATAAATTACAAGATCACATAAGATATCAAAATTTTAAAGATAATTTTCATCATGTAACACTTAACTTTCATCCAACTAGTAATCTTACTTTGATATTATTAATAAAAATTTATATCTAATTTATAAAGTATTATCCGTTTTTATTTGAAAGTCTCAATATTTTATTTTATAAAAAATATTTCATAAATTTATACGTAAATTTTTACATATATATCATAATAAAATTTTAAATTATTCTCGTATAAAAAAAAGTTTTATAATAAATTATAATATATAATTTTTATAAAAATATCATATAAATATATAAATTTTAATATTTTGTGCGGGACGAATAGACAAACCGGTAGGTCTAAAGTTTAGTTATGCTATTTTTGCATATTCCCAAAACATATCATTGTCGTAACGACAGTTCAAGATTCACGTGTCCTTGTGAAACATTGGATCGTGATTTTGGTGGAACCGAACTGTATTTTTTTAGCTCTTTTTAATCTTAGGAGATTCAAGACAGTGTTTATTTTCCACGCGCCAATCGAAAAGAGCCGCGTCTTCGTGTGAGCAGAGCGCGTGGAAATAATTAATTTTTGGTTGGTTTTCCCGCGACGGAATCTCATAAACTGCCTATAAAATATTCCTAATTTTGGGTAACTACTGCTTGTTCGTTGTACCATTGGAAATTTGCAGTTAAACCCTTGTATTATGGCCTAATTGTGAAATTGGATATTTGATAATTGAATTTAAATCCTAAACTTTCCTCTCTTTGCGATTTATATTGAAACATTGAAAGTTAGGTTTATATATGATGTATTATAAGTGTATAATAGTTCAAATTGTTGATAAATTATAGATTATCACATATTTATTAAAAATTTTATAATTTATAATCTTTAAAAATAAATATTTTTAAATTTAAATATTTAATTATATTAAAATAAATTAATAATATAACAATTAATAATATATTTATAATATATCAAATATAAATTGAAATATAAATTATAAAATTATCAGGTTAAAATTATTTAAATTGATTAAAGTTGGTTTTATTTATCCAAAATGATTTAAAATTAGTATATTGGATAATATAAATTAATTAAGCATGAAAAAAATATAAAGAACTTTCTTAAAAATTAAACAATGACAAGGATAAAAATATCAGGGACTTAAAAAAGAATATTCCAAAACACAATGAGTAAAGAAAAAAATCTTTCTGTTTTAGCAGTCCAATTTTTCATGGCCAACTATAATCAGATGCTCAATAAATGTTTTTGTCATGTTCCTACATAAATTTCTCAGATAATCCAAAATTCACCTATTTATTCTGAAAATCCTTGCAATCAGCTGCCACCAACAAATTTTTTTCTTCTCCAGACCTTTCCATTCATCAATTTTTGGTTCTCTTTCAAGTCCAAATCACCGCTTAAGGTAACCATAAGCCTACTTTCATGTTCAATCAGTTCCATTTTTTTTTTACCTCTCTAAAAATCTCTTCTTTTTATCTACATTTTGGGGAAAATTGCTTCTAGAATGTAACAAAAAAAAGTCATTTTGAATAAAAAGAAAAAACCCCACTTTTTCAAAGATTGATACAGTTACAAAGTTGTTGTTTTTAAGGTAGATTTTTTCTCTTTCAAGATTTTTTTTTTTTGGGTATGTTGAGTTGATGATCATGTAATAATAGAGCTCGTACTGTACAGTTGATGATTAAAAGGAGAGTTTTTTAAAGTGATTCTCAGTTGTTTTTATTGATAATATAACGAAAACTTTGATTCTTTTGAGCCAATTAATCTTGCATGTCTTTAAATTTCACTTTTGGGTTAAAAAGAATTGTTAATTCTGCCCTTTTTCAGCCACAAAATTGGGTGGTGGTTTGATTGATTGGCTTTTATGTTTTTGGACAGTTGAAGCTGAAGGCATTGTGCTGTGTGGAAATGGCGACTGGAGCTGTACCAGCTTCCTTTTCGGGTTTGAAGGGCAGGGACTCAAGCTTAGGATTTGCAAAAAGCATGGATTTAGTCAGAGTTTGTGATTTGAAGAGAATTAAGTTTGGTAGAACAAGAATCTTCTTGATTAGGAATCAGAATCCTGGTCCGGATATTGCTGAACTTCAGCCTGCATCAGAAGGGAGTCCTCTCTTAGGTATAAAGTTTCAACAGAGGAAAAGAAAAGAAAAGAAACTAAATTTGGATTTGTATGTGATTTCTTGGATTATATGTTGATCTTTAGATGAACTGCTACCACAAACTTTGTTGAAAAGAGGGGTTTTTTCCCTTAATTTAACTTGCGTTCCGAATCATAATGAACTCTGCTTCATTTTCCCATGACTTTTAACCATACCAAGTGCAAGTTAATTTTATTTGTCAGTTAAGCTTGGTTTTTAAGGATTAGGGTATTCTGGTTACTTCTATCTCTATTTGTATACTAGGAATCTCATATGATTTAAGGTGTCACTCAGTATCAGTTCCATTTTCTGTGGTTAATTAATTGTTTTAATTTAGTTCCCAGACAAAAGTATTGTGAATCCATACAAACAGGAGAAATACACGGACAGTAATGGTTGGGAATGTGGCTCTTGGTAGTGAGCATCTTATCTGCTTAAGCTTTATTCTGTTCAAATAATGGGTTTGGGTCTCTCTTCCTGCATTGTCTGGTCATTAGGATCGGCAACATATATCTGGTGCATGTTCAGATTTGTGCAATGTGATTCTTTTGTTTTTGTTCTAAGGTGTCACTAATGTTTCATCTCCTAACTAATGTTATAATAGTATTAGCCTTTGGAGGATTTACCGGAGCTCTAAGACTTTTGTTAGTAATAACTAATGTTCTAATTTGTATGCAATGATGCTATAAATTAGTCTTATAAAATTAACTGCTGCTATGTTTCATTAGGTAATGAGAATAGCAGACAAAGGAGCAGATACAGTGCGGATAACTGTTCAAGGGAAGAGAGAGGCAGACGCATGTTTTGAAATAAAAAACTCTCTGGTACAGAAAAAGTAGGTCTGATTCTTTTTAAGAACCATTTAGCACTTTTTAAATGTTCAGTCATGTATGTAATGTGGAAATTAATCATGTTACTAACTTTTTATTACTGCAGCTACAATATACCTTTGGTGGCAGATATTCCTTTTGCGCCTTCAGTAGCATTGAGAGTTGCCGAGTGCTTTGACAAAATTCTAGTCAACCCAGGAAATTTTGGTGAGTAATTTTCTGTATGTTCATATTTGTTCTAGATCCTGTTTCAGCTATTCTGAATCCTAAAGGTTGGTTAATTGCAGCTGATAGACGGGCTCAATTTGAGAAGATAGAATATACAGATGAGGACTATTAAAAAGAACTTGAGCATATTGAGGAGTTTGACCACTCTTCTTTTAGATTTCAATCATGCATTATCCAGCAGGATTTGGATGAAACTTATTAAGAAATAAACTGAGGACTCGATAGTATCTAACCTCTTGCAGTCTGATTATTTATGCATGTATCAGTTTCACCATGCGTGTTGATTTTTCCCCACAATGTATTACTACAGGTTTTTACTCCATTGGTTGAAAAATGTAAAAAGTATGGAAGGGCAATGCGTATTGGCACCAACCATGGGAGCCTTTCTGACCGTATAATGAGCTACTATGGGGATTTTCCTAGGGGAATGGTGAACATTTATCTTCTCTTACTGCCTATCAGTTTTCAAGTGTGTTTTCTCTTCCCATGCATCCCACTAATTGGTTTTCATCAAACAGGTTGAATCTGCATTTGAATTTGCTAGGATATGTAGAAAGTTGGACTACCATAATTTTGTCTTTTCAATGAAAGCAAGCAATCCAGCTGTCATGGTCCAGGCATACCGTTTGCTTGTGGCTGAAATGTATGTTCATGGTTGGGATTATCCATTACACTTGGGAGTCACTGAAGCTGGAGAAGGTGAGGATGGGAGGATGAAATCTGCAATTGGCATTGGGACCCTCCCTTAGGTACCTCCACGATATAAATAGCATAACCAACAGAAGCAATGACCATTAAAAATTTTCATGCTGTGGTCCTGCAATGACCCATGACTATGGTGATTTTAAAAATGTATTCGACAACTCTGGCTCATTTGTTGATAATATGATCTTATACCAATAAGGCTGAATTGAAAAAAAATTTGATTATGGGGTTCTATGAGCCAGAAACCGCATGTTTGCCATAATTGAACAGGAATCGGTCGTATTGGTTGCCTTTCTGTCTAATTTCTCTTAAAGATATGTAGCCATAATTTACAAATTCAAAATCTTGTAATAACCATAGTGCTTTGAAATTCTGTTGACTTGCAGGATGGTTTAGGTGACACAATCAGTGTTTGACTTACAGAGCCACCAAAGGAGGAGATAGATCCCTGCAGAAAGATGGCTAACCTTGGTATGAGAGCTGCTCAACTCCAGCAAGGCGTGGTAGGATTCTACAACCTCTGTTAATTAGACAACATGTTTTAGCCCTTCAAATACTGTCATTTTGAGAACCTTTTCTATCTCAAACTCAAAATTTCATCAGGCACCATTTGAGGAAAAGCACAGACATTACTTTGATTTGAGGCGTCAATCTGGTTAATTGCCAGCACAAATGGAGGTTAGCATAAACGTCTTAATAACATAGTGTTAGTCATGCTTGTGCCCTGTACTCTTTTAAATGGGGAATTTATTTTTTTATAGAGTGAAAAGGTGGATTATAGAGGCATCTAGCATCGCGATGGCTCTGTTCTTATGTCTGTTTCCCTGGATTTGAAGGTAATCTCTTCACACCAGGCTTCCTCGATTTCTTTGGTTAGATGGGTAGAATTTTAGTAATTCCTTTTTCCCCCTTTGCAGGCACCGGAACTCTTGTACAAGTCACTTGCAGCTAAGCTGGTTGTTGGCATGCCATTTAAGGTCTACTCTTGGTCTATTTACTCATATAAAGATTGGCTACGTAATGTGTTCTTTCATTACTATGTATTATCATATTTTGATGTAGGACTTGGCAACAATGGACTCAATCATACTTAGGGAGCTTCCACCAGTGGATAAGAGTGATGCTGTAAGAATCTGACTTCTTTTGCTTCTTTAATGAAAGAAGTCTGGGCCTCATCTCTTGTCCTGCTTAAAAAAATGGAAATGACTGGTATTATTCTTGTGTTATAACCAGCGGCTGGCTCTTAAAAGGTTGATAGACATAAGCATGGGAATCAAAACTCCTTTGTCGGAACAGCTAACAAAGCCATTGCCTAATGCTATGGCTCTGGTAAACCTCAAAGAACTATCAACTGGAGCTTACAAGCTTTTGCCAGAAGGTGCTGCTGCTTATTTTTAATATTGAATTCTTAACATATAGATGGTTATCCTTGTTTATTCTTGTTTGATATGAGATCAATTCATTACCTTGCAGGTACATGCTTGGTTGTATCTGTACGTGGTAACTAGCCATATGAAGAGTTGGAAATGCTGAAAGACATTGATGCTAAAATGCTTCTTCATAATATACCCTACAATGAAGGTAAAATTGGCAGAGTGCATGCGGCAAGGAGGTAATTTGCTCATGACTTGAATTTGTTTATCTGTTATATGATTAAAGGTGTAAGGTGGCTTGTTTAAACTCTAGGCAGAGTCATTGATAAACTAAAGGAGTGAGGTGGCTTGTTCAAAGGCACTGTGTCAATTCATTGCTGAATTACTGATAAAAGACATTTGTTGCGTGTCATGTTTTGCCGAACAGAGGTGAGCTGAACTCAAGCTGCTTTTGAATAAAAATTTATATGATGATAAAGGAAAGGGAAAATGGACAAGAGAGAGGGCATAAAAACCACATTTGCTTACTCTAATCATGAAATAGATGGAGTGAATTTGTCTTATGAAATCATCCGCCATTGCTTGCCTTATGACCAATTACAAATATTTTGAGCATGCCAACTTAAATCAAAGTCCAGATCTAGTTGTTGAGTCCAGTTCGTGATTAAGCATGACCAAGGAAGCAAGTTATCAGCTGTCTCTCTCTATTTTGGTTATGCTAGTTTTATCATTCCATTTTATTTACTTGTACGATTTTGCCACCCACTGCCTACCATTCTTGGTCTCTGATATTTGAACATTATATGCCGCAGGTTATTTGAATATCTATCGGAGAATGCTCTGGATTTCCCTGTAATCCACCATATTCAGTTTCCAAATGGGATTCACAGGTAACTTAAAACCCCCATATTGCTTGTTGATTGAGGTGCAGGGTATGAATAGTTTTGGCTTATAATATTTTTCTCAACATGCGAGGATGACTTGGTCATTCATGCCGGCACCAATGCCAGAGCCCTTCTGGTGGATGGACTTGGAGATGGTGCTTGTTGGAAGCCCCAGACCAGGATTTTGATTTCCTCAGAAATACTTCTTTCAACTTACTACAGGGCTGTAGAATGAGGAGTACCAAGACGGTATGAATCTTATCTTTGAGTCAAACAAAAAAAAAAAAGTGAACTTCAAAATATTTCAATGCAACAACAATCTTCAGAGTTATGTCTAACATTCCTGAATTCTGGTTGCAGGAGTATTTCGCATGCCCATCTTGTGGCAGAACTTTGTTTGAACTTCAAGAAATAAGTGCACAAATACGAGAAAAGACATCGCACTTGCCTGGTGTTTCCGTAATTACTCATTCGAATCATCATTTTATTTTAAATATCATGAGTAAATAATGTAATTCCAATTCCCTTTCTTTGTCAGATTGGAATTATGGGTTGCATCGTGATAGGTCCGGGGAAATGGCTGATGCAGATTTTGGATACGTGGGTGGTGCTTCTGGAAAAATTGACCTCTATGTTGGCAAGGTACTACAGCATGTCATGCATTCTAATCCATGAAAATAACTGGTTTCGAAGTTTAACGTACCGTAAACCTGACTCAAATTCGGATCATCTTTAAGACTGTTGTGAAACGTGGAATTGCAGTGGAGCATGCAACTGATGCTCTGATCCAATTAATAAAAAGATCATGGCTGCTGGGTGGATCCTCCTGCCGAAGGAGTAGCATCGTTCAAGGGAACTCTCAATATACCAATCCACATACAGTAAATCACAGCAGCAGCAGATCATATTAATATGATCAATGCCTAGTTGTAGGCCGCAGAGAAATTGCATTATGCAATGTTGTTGTATCACATTTAGACATTGCGAAATGTAGACAGTTCTACGTAGTGTTCCCCTGATGATAGTAAGTTAACCTTTTCACTTTTGCAGTACAGGATGCTTTCGAGGATAGTCATTTCGCAAGTGTATTTTACACAAAAATTATATATCATAATTTATATTATATATATATTTATATATATAACACAATATACTTTTTATTTTTGTTAAGTTCATATATAATTTTTATAAAAATTTTAAGTTGTGTTATCTTTGATGTATCAAATTTGATTTGATTTTTTCAGATAATATATAATATTATAAATATTTAAAATTTGATTTAAATTTGAACTGTTTTTTCATACAATCCAATTTTAATTGAATTTAATTTGATTTGTCAATTTTTAAAATTTTTAATATATTATCTTAATATAAAATTTTAATATATTTAAATAATTTTATATATATAATAATTATTTTTATTTTATAACATTTAAAATATATATAAATATATAATTTGATTCAATTCATTCTTTTATTTTAACCTTTTGACCAAAATTCAATTCAAATTATATATACATTTAATATTTAAATTTAATTTGAATATAAAAAAATCAATCTAAATCGAACAAAAAAATGGATCTAAATCGATTCAAACATTGCCATTCCGAAAATTCAAATAGATACTTTGTTTTAATTTTTTTCCTCACCCTAGTGTTTGTGTCACCTTTGTATTTAGGTTTACAAGTCTACCGGCCGGGCCCAATCCCACGCATAGAAATGGCGGAGTCCAAGACAGAGCGTGATACTGCTACTTTGACCAAGCCTTGCCGGCACCATCTGGCCGAAGAGTTCAAATGATTCAGTCGGTAGATTCGTCTCAATCAAAAATTCAAAATGGTATTGAGTTCAAATTCTATAATGGTGGTTCTTTATTAACAAAAGTAATCTTCTCAAACAAATACACATCGTCAGACGAATCTTTATGAAGAATCAAAAATGATAAATTTCGAATCGTCAACTAATCATTACTGTAACAAATTCAAATCAAACGCATGTAATAAAGTTGAATACAACTATATAACCTCTTCTATTCATTGTTTGAAATCTGTACTCGTCTTTTTCACAGGATTTCCCTCCTGGCAGCGTATCCGTACTGAGATCTCCTGATGTTATCTCGTCTCTTCTTGTATACCAATCCACCGAAGCCAACCAAACACGCTGCTGCAACCACTGCCACCACGATTCCCGCCTTTTTCCTGCCGCTGATTCCTCCGTCACCACCGGTCTTCTCTTCGCTTCCCTTTGCATTGCTGTTGCCGTGGTTGATATCGCTCGCATCGTCCGGTGAAGAAGCAGGAGAACTCGCCGGTGAAGACTTTCCATGAGCCAGATCTGATGGAGATGGCGCCATTGGCGCCGAAGGCGAAGCAGCATTCCCCGGTGACGTTGCTGGTGCAGAGTCAGGAGATCCAGTCTCCGGTGTAGGACCGAGTTGCGGTGAAGAGTCTGCACCAAGCGACGGCGCAGGCGCTGGCGAATCAGCAGCGAAGGTGAGTTCAAGAACTAAGCACAAAACAATGGCAAGAAATCCAAGATTTGACATCTCAAAAATCTGAAAAATTTTCAAAAAAAAAAATCGAAGATAGAGAGAAGTAAAGCAAGTTTCTAAGTGAAGGAGACTTTGGAAGAAGGAATTTAAGAACAAAAACGACAAAAACGGGGTAGACCTAACGGGACGGAAATTTATAGGGAAATAAAGTAATATTTTGTGTACACGTTAGACAGACGTACGCACAGTTAGAAACGGAGCCAGACACTGAACGTGGAAAACAAATTAAAAATGATTTTTTTTTATAGTATATAGGGAGGGATTTTGAGGAGGAATTTAAGGGACTTAAAGATTACGTAAAGGGATAATATGGGAATTTAATAAGAGATTAATTAAAAATGCCTTGAGAAAAATGACGTTATATTTCTCTATAACTTGTTTTTTTAATTTTGTCTTTATTTGATTCATTTAAATGTAATTTTTACAAAATTAGTATTTTATATATTGATAATAAAATTAAAATAATATATGTTTTATTTATTTTTAAATTAAATATTTTAATATATAAAAAATATATATCATTGTTTTAATTTCATTTGAAAAATTAAAAAATTTTATTTTTAGTGTATCAAATTTTTTTAATAAAAAAATGTTACGTGTCTTGATTTTGGAACTCATAATTTTTAACAGCTATTCCAGCATTCACGTTATCTGGCTGAGAACAATATTTTAACCCTTGAAGAACATGCATGTTTAATTTGAGAAGCTTATTTATGTGCATAATCAATAAGGTTATTACTTTCTAGGTGAAGTAAATATTTATTGGTGAGATGAACACCAAATAATAGCAGATTAGGAAAAGGAGAAAATCAAGTTTTAAATGCTCTATAAATTTGTTGCTGGACTAGCTGGATTTGGACCCACATTACAGAAAAAGAATATGGTACCCACTATCCACTTTCCATTTAACAAAATCTGTGTTGTTTCTGGCATATTTACTATTACCAATAAATATAATACATTTAGATCATATTTAATATATAAAATTATTGATAAAATAAAATAATAATTATTTTATATTATATTTAATTTATATTTAAAGAGAGAGATAAGAATTACAAAAAAAATAATATTCTCTTGGTATAAAATTATTTAATACTCTTCAAATAAAAAATTATTTTTAATTTATGAAATTAAACTTACATATTTAATTATATATTTAAAAATTATATTAATAATTTAATTTGTATAAATTTTAAAAAAAATAATTTTAACAAATAAATAAATTATGCTATCATAATCTTTACATACATCAAACATAAGATACGATGATATTACTTAATCTAATACTATTTATAATATTCTCTTATCATATTTTGTATTTGATGTATGTAAAGAATAAAATAAAATAATTTATTTATTAATTAAAATTATCGTTTTTTAAAATTTATACAATTTAAATTATTGATATAATTTTTAAATGTATAATAAGATATGTAAATTTAATCTTTTAAATTAAAAGTAATAATTTTTACTTTGAGGGAATTAAATAATTTTATGCTAAATAAATGATTAATCTTGTAATCTTATATTTTTTTTAGATATAAATAAAATATAATATAAAATAATTATCATTTTATATATTAAATATGACTTTAATTCAATAATTGATATATTATTTTTTATATAGTTTGAACTTTCATATATATATATATATATATATTCTTTTCGGTGTTTAATGTGAAAATATGAGTAGATATAATGTAACATGTGAACAAAAAATCATCGAGTTCAAGAATTCTAGATAATCATGCGCTGGTGGTCGTGGTCATTTGGATTTGTAGGAAACAAAATCCAAGTCTAAAGGGCCGTAGCACATGATTTCACATGCTCAGCCTCAGGCTCCCTAGGGCCCGCCGAATTAACATTAGTCATTGCTTGGGATCTACTTTATGTAGTAAAAAGTCAAAACAAATGGGAGAAAATGATTTCTATATGGATCTAAAATCCATGCTCTGAGGTACTTCCAACACGGTTAACACTAAACAAGGGGCAGAAAGCCATGGCAGCGAAGGAATACGGAGCCATTTATTCTGAAGTAAATGTTTCAGAAGATACATAGGTGAAACAATGGCTAAAAAAGCCAATACACCCTTTTTGGTTTGCCTCTTGTCCTTGATAAAAAAGGGGTCTAGGCCAAACGTTTGAACCATGACCATTCTCGGATTCCTCTTTTGAATCTATCTTATAGCTATTCCCTTTCTAACTATTGATAACACATAGAAGGCAGGCATAGAACTTGGGATGTCATTAAAATCCTGCTTTTGAATCCCTTTGATCGGGTCACAACTCATCCTTCAAATCCGCCCTGCTGCTCTTGTCGCTTTCCTTGGTGTCAGAAGATTTGGTTTCGGGTGTTGAAGCTGGTTCATCTTTGGGAGCTGAAACTGGTTTTTGGAGCTTAAAAGGGATTGAAGCATGTTTCTTGAGGAACTTATAACATGCCACTACAGTGCGATCGGTGTCCACAGTTATCTGCCAACAGTTTCATTCAATCTTTTGGAAAGACAAAATGATATGTCATAGGAGGATTGATTGAAGCAGAATAGAATACAGTACTTACAGGATCAAAACTCTTGTTTCCTGCTGGGAAGAACAGAATCGTAGGGAAACCATCAGACTGCAAAAATAAACAACTTTTCACCATGAAGTCTCATTCTAGGCTCAAGTGCAAAATAGCATTGAATCTTATCCTTTTACATTAAAACAGGTTATTGCTCTCTCTCCTTCAGGTAGTTCCAACTTAACAAGTAAATGTCGAGCAAATCACCCATGAATCTGGTAAAAGTGCATTATAGGTCGGAAGTGCAGATTGATTTAAATTTTACCTTAGCTCTAGGATGTTCATTTGTTGTCCCATCCATTTTGGCAATAACCAGAGAGTCAATTCCTCGAAGATGTTTGGCAAGCTTGTTGTACGTCGGCTCCAATGCTTGGCAATGGCCACACCAAGGTGCATATATCTGGTATTTAGAGCATTCAACAGAATAAGCCTATCTAAAGAAAGATTTAAATAAGCTTATTATTTTTTCATATTGGGCTACAACAATACCTCAAGAAGGACATCCTTGGACTCGTCTAAAACAATTTCATCAAAGTTATTTCCGACCACTACTTTCACATCCTCATCATTCTGTTTCAAATAGAATTTTGGAATAGAAAAAAAATAAGGGAAAAAAACCCACAAAAAGAAAAATGAAAGTTAAATTACAATCAACGATGACAAAGTCAATCACAGGAAAAAAGATACTTACAGTTTCGGGAATTGGGTCTGACTTATAGAAAGGTTTAAGCTTGTCTTCTGAAAAATCCTCTCCAAAAGCCTAAAGAAAGGTAGAACTCTAAAATTTAGTCAAACCATTACAACTTACAAGTTTAGTGAAAGATATAGGTAGTGTCAACCAACCACATTAATGAAAGGCTGATAAACATAAAAATGGAGAGAGAGAGAGAGAGAGAGGGAGGGAGGGAGAGATCACCTTAATTTTATCCAATGTCACTTCTCCATCAAGGACAAACTTCCTACCATCATCATTTCCAGTGTATGCAAGGATCTGTGTGACAAAAAACACCAGAAGAGAACGGTGGCAATCAAATTCATTGCAACTAGAGCATACAACAAATATCCCCCCCCTCTTGGCCACATCTTCCGTCCAAAAACAAAATAAAATTGAGGGGGTAAAACCTATAAGACTTACTTTGGGACCATCTCCGCTAACACCAAAATAATCTGCAACAGGTGCTCCAAAATCTTCATTATCCACTTGCACATATACAAAGATAAGCTGCAAGTAAACATACAAGACAAAAATTAGTAACAATTCTTGAACTCATCACCTATAGTGGAGAAGTTTCCACACAAAGTACACTTCAATAGTTTATTAAAACCAGCACATACAATACTAAAGAAGACTTCTATCTGATATATACAATTTAAAGTTACCTTTCCCTTGAAAAGTTTTGCTGCTTCTTGGAATACTGGGATAACATTCTCAGAAATGTTTGATGTGGCAAACAACAACAGCTTCAAGAAAAAGATTATTATGTATTAATAAGGCAATTGTAGAATTGTTAAACAGCTTGATTCAAGGCATATGTAGTCCAAAAATTCACAAGTAGGAGGAAATGCAGAATTATAACATGCACACCTGTTTCTTAATTGAACTTTCAAAAATTGAAGGAGCACTCTCCCTAGTAAATATTGTAACCAAAGGAAGCTTGTTGGAAAATACAAACTCAGATATTGCAGTCTTCACAAACTCACTATCTGCAAGATGAAAAAAAAAAAAGGATATAAAAGTTCCCCTAAACAAGCTGGATCAAGATTCCAACCAATATTACATTTGTTTAGAAACTAACCAAAGTGACTTATTTTTTCAGCCTCCTTTTTAAGTAAGACCAAAGCAGGGCGTTTAACTTGAGGGTCTATGTGGAAAAGCTTTGCAATATTAGGATTCACAGTTTGATAGAAGCTGACATCATCTTGGAGTCTTGAAGCAGCAGCAAGCTCGTCACTCTCATTACCCTGTTGACATTACAATTTACAACAGGCCAAATCTGAATTACAACATCATCTGAGAAAAGTTTTACATATATTTATGTTAAACATTGATAGATTGGATCAAGAATATCATGACACAAAGACTCGATAACCTTACATGCCTCAAAACTTTGAATCGTAATTGGAAGATGTTGATTGAACCAGCAGGTTTCACCCTACTCTAATAAGACTACAATACACTACAAAAATATAACAAGCCAAAGAGAAATCTTAGTATCATACCACCAAAGAGTTCAAGTAGCCCAAAGCAACTATAGTTTCATTAGTCAAAACGCGTTCAGCGTCCTCCATAGTAGTAATGTTGTATATACCAGGTCCTATTTTCTTCTTAATCCAGGTCACTATCGCCTCCCTGAATTGTCAGTGAATAAATCAGTAGTCTCTTAAATTTAAAAGAACAATTTAAACCTTCCATTGAACAAAGACAATACATTAACCAAAACCAATCATTTTCAAGAAACAACATATAATAAAAAATCATGATCTAATTATCCACATATTAAAAAAAAAAAAAAGAAAACCCATGATCCTAAATTTGTTTTTGTATTCCAAACTTACTTGTTTCTAGCACCAGGATAGGGCTTATGCTCTCCATCAACGAAGAAATAAACAGTAGGGAAACCCTGAACGTCATACTCTTGTGCCAACTCATTCTCCTCTGCGGCATCCACCTTGGCCAACACCACTCCTTCTCCTTTCAACTCCGTCGCCGCCGCGGCATATTCAGGAGTCAACGCCTGGCAATGCCCGCACCAAGGCGCGTAAAATTCAACCATCACGAACTTGTTCTTCTCGATGAAGTCACTGAAGTTTCCTCCCTTTAAAACGACCACGTCCTTGTCGTCGACTTCGGGTATTTTATACGGATCCGAATCGGAGTCGTCGAAATCTTGGTAGTTTCCGAAGTCATCGTCATCTAAGTCGGGGTATTGGTCGTCCTCGTCTTCGCTGAAATGAGAGTGTGAAGCGGCGTCGTTTTTCCCCTCCGTTTCTTCGAGGAACCGCAGATCCTCGTCGTCCTCAACGTCGTCATTTTTATCCGTCTCGGAGATGGAACGAGGGATAGTCGAAAATAAGAGGAGAGAAACGAGGGTGAGAATTAAAAAGCACCGAAACGACATCATTTTCCTGCCACAATGGGGAATTGAGAAGGGATCAGAGACGGTAGAGAAACGGATCAAGAGGAGAGATCTGAGTAGGGTTTATAGTGAAGAAGGAAACGGAAAGCAAGTCAAACTGAGCAAGAAGTCAACAATGTAGCGCAACGTCGTCGTTTCAATGTTTGATTGGCCTTAATTGCTCTGACACGACAAGATTAAATCATGGCTGGAATCCAGATCAATTCGCTGGATTCCGACTTAAAGTAGTATTTTCACATTTTGTTTTCTATTTATGAAAATCAGGAAATTGACTCAATAATTTTTTCATTATGAAAAAAAATTCTCATTTCATGAATATCCAATCCAACTAGTAATCTGATGAAAATCAAATTGGAATTAAATTCAGTCATACTATACTAAAACATTTTCAATATAACTATGTAAGTAGTAATTTTGAGTGGCTTTCATAGACACAGATATACATTTACAAGTTGATTTCATATTGAGTTAGCATTGAAGTCGTGATCGACTTAAAGGGCCTAGAAAATTTATTAAGAATAAAGGTTGGAAGGTTTTTTTATATTTGTGTTTCGATATTCAAATAATTGTTGGGAGAGAGAAAATATAAAAAGAGCGAGAATCTCATACTTAAATTTTGAAGGGTTTTATATATGAGAAAACATATTTGAATTTGTGTAATCCAAACTCTAAATTTTGGATGTTTGATTAATAAGATTGATTCGACTCAATATGATAAAAAAAAGTTTAATAGGAGAATGATAAATTATTATATTTATGTGTCGTCAGATGAATTTATATAATTAATCAAGTTGATATAAATTTTAATAATGTAAATCGATTTATCACGTCAGTTTAAATTTAATAATCAAAATAATTTTGGTACAATGATGTGTCATTTTCTTACAAAAAAAAGATTATTATACTATTTTTTATCATAAAATGTGGATATCAATTAGGTTTCATGATTATACATTAGTTTGCTGTGACATGATTTAGTTAAAATAATCAAATGCAATTAATAAATTAAAGTGTTTCTTTATAAGTAATTATGAGATTTTAAATTCAAGATTCATTGTTTGTGAGTTTAGTTCAATTTTGATTTATTTAGTTATATTAAAGTTTGTTAATTAGTTTATTTGATTATTTAATAATTAGTATATATAGATGTAATACTTATTATAATTATAACTTGTATTTATAATTAAAAAATAAATTAGAGTGTAAACTAAACTAGAAGTGTTAACAAATTTAACATATCGAAGTACAAATTTTGTAAAAGAAGTCGAAATTTAAGAAAAAGGAGGGCCAAACCATAATATTACCTTATTTTCAAGTGAGAAATTAATGTACTCTCAAGTACTACATATATAAATGTCTGAAGAATATGGTATTAAATGTAAATTTTTAATTTTAATTATTTCGAATTGAAAATTTAAAAATAAAAAAGAAAATATTAATTTTCTTTACAATTTATAATAAATAACCAAAACGTAAAATCCAAAATCAATGTTAAAAAAAAGAAAAGTAGAACTGACAGTCTTAATCTGGTTTCTTGGATGGTCCACGACACAGCCTAACGGGTGAGGGCTCAGCCCTATAATTGTTCATTATTTCCATTATCGCCCACTTTATTTATATTTTTTGCCAAGCCGCCACCAAAACTTTAAAATCTCATAATTTCCGCACTGTTTTTTCCAATACAATTAAAAAAGTACAAAATCAGTATAATAAAATCCGCTTCCAAGCCCTCTCTTTCTCACTTCCTCTCTTTCCGACAAGCTTAACTTTCTCTGCATCTTCCTCTCCTTTCTCTTCAACTTTCAGTAATATTTTCTTGCCTCTTTTTATTTATTTATTTATTATTTAGTTGAGTAATTTGCTTTCTTTTTAATTAGAGTTGAGATTTATAATTTTATGCTCTTATTTGATTTCTTTAATTCTCAGTTTTTGTTTTAATTGCAAAATATCTCATTATTTTTTCTATTTTTTTGGAACTTGTTCTCGTGAATTCATTTTCGCTATTTTTTCTGAATTTTATTGTTTTTATTATTATTATATTTTTAAATTTCTTAAATCTGTGCATTTCTTGAATGTTTTCGTTGATCTTGACTGTAGGCGATTTGACTCTCTTAAGTTTTATTCTGTTGCTCTTCCCTAACCCAGTTCTCAAATTGAAACCCTATTGTCATTTGATCTTAATGTTGGGTTTTTTTCCCTTTTGGTAATGTGTCTAATGTAGATTTATGAAGGATTAATTTGGAATAAATTGTAATTGTCTTTGGGGAATGTGTAGTAGTATTAGCCTATTAGGGAAAACTTTTCTAGATTTTTATCTCAAATTTTTTGGTTCATTTTACTTTAAATCCTAGGAAACAGAGGCGCTGAACTTATAGGTGAAGAGTAGATCAGACAATTCCTGTATTTGTGTAGTGTAAAAAATTGAGCCTGTCATAATTTATGTCAGACACGAAAACGTCAAGTATACTTTTATGGTTTTGTCAAACGCGTGTATAGTTATTATTAAAATTTTAGGCCGTGTTAATTTTGTGTTCTATTTTCATATCATATTCGTCCATCATGTCGTGTTTTAAATTGCAGGAGCAGTGGGATTAAACAAAGTAAAGGAAGAGGAAAATATGCATTCTTTTGGGTACAGATTAAATGTTCTTCTAACATTTGCCGTGACGATTCTGGCACTAATGTGTGCCATGGCGTCTCTATCGGACAACCTCAACACTCCCTCTCCGTCTGCTGAAATCCAGGTTCATCTTTACACGCATACTCATATTTGGCTACGTGTTTAGATCAATGATTTGTTCTTTTTTTTTTATGATCCCTTTGGATTGTTACATGTTTTTGTCTCTGATTTTTGTTTTGTTGGGTGCACTGTAGATTATGAACATTAATTGGTTCCAGAAGCAGCCGCAGGGGAATGATGAGGTAATGTTGTGTTTCCACATCTTCCCTTCTTTTTAATCTGTTTTTTGGGTTAACATTCTCTTATTTTCAGCCATAGTTTGGCTTTTATCTTGCAACTGTTGCTAGTTTTTGGTCAATTCTAAGTAAATGCATTTGACTGTATGTAGGTCAGCCTGACAATGAATATATCAGCTGATTTGCAGTCATTGTTTACGTGGAACACGAAGCAGGTTCGCTTCTTCATAGATCTTTATATTTTCTGTTTTTTGGACTTCATCTCATTTGCTTCTTCCATAAATTATTGGTGCATGAGATAATTCTTTTGACAATGGACTTTTTGAAAAGATTTCATTCTAATATTTGAGTACTTTCTTCTTTTGATTTTTCTATTGTTTTTTGTGTATGTCAAATTTTCAAATTTGTAATCAAACAATTCCATTTGTGATGGGTGGTAATACTCTTAGGCTTCCCTTTTGTAGTCAGCTGTTATTTTCTCACAATCATCCATCATTCTGAAACTAATTTTAAATATCATCACCTTGTTGATCATCATAGGTTTTCATATTTGTAGCAGCTGAGTACGAAACCCCAAAGAATTCCTTGAATCAGGTAAGGTTTAAATGCCTCTGGTATTACCCGTTTGAGCTGTCTCGGACTTGGATTACTCGAGGCTGAGGCTATCTATGTTCGGGTCTTAGCAGAAAGTATGTTCACCCATTGATTCTTTTTGGCATGGTATTTTATAGGTGTCACTTTGGGATGCTATAATACCTGCCAAAGAGCATGCAAAGTTTTGGATCCATACCTCAAACAAGTATCGTTTTGTTGATCAGGTATGCCCATTAAGATGAAGTAGCCTATTATTGTTCATCTAGATTTACATAAATTAATTAGGGCTTTTTTTACAGTAGAGAATTAATTCTCTCTTTTCTTTAATCTGCTCTCATCTAGGGAAACAATCTCCGTGGCAAAGAATTCAACTTAACATTGCATTGGCATGTCATGCCTAAGACCGGAAAGATGTTTGCCAACAAAATAGTCATGACCGGTTACAGTTTGCCGGAGGAATATAGATAAGGTTTTCTTGGGTGTGTATGTATTGAGGTTGCTGTAACTTTAGCTTTCTCAATATGCGGAAACTATAGCTCCTGAATCAGGGAACTTGAGATGTAGCCTCCTCTGACATTAAAAGCTCAGTTAAATTACAGTTTGAAACACTGACACTTGATGGTGGAGACTGTCTCCTCACCTGATTCAAAATGCAAACAACCAATTTCGTTCTAGCTCTTCAACGATGCTTTTCATGTATGTTCTTCTAGGACTAAGTAGGGGTTCAGATTCCACCGCACTTTCAATGTGGTATAATTGAGTTTACAGCACCAGTTAGTATAAATTTCTTTATAAATATTTGTTTTCAATTGTAAATACAATAAATTCTTTTTAATCGCAATTAGAATAATTTTTATTACTGTTTTTAATTTTGCCAGAGTCAATGTCACCATCCTTCCAAATGAACACCAAATTCCACACATTGCAATGCCAAATCCAGTCCCTGTTTTACACCATTCATTGAGTTTTATCGACAAAATTGACGATATTGTTGTCTTTGGCCCTTCAAAACGTAAGGAGAGTTTGGTTTTTTTAAGAATGGAAGGTTGCTATACATTGTTATTCCATGACAATGATGCTATTGGTAATCAAGGTGGTGAACTGAAAAGGTAATAAATGATTAAAAAGTGATCAAATTTTATTTCCAATACTCCATCAATATAAACATACGAGAAAAAAAATATTCTTTCTATTTTTTATTTTTTATTTAAATTTTCACTTTCATTTTATCTAAAACCTGGGAATGAACAAAACTAGGCCTCAGTCCATTTCATTTAGGTAATGGAGTGAACCTAAATGGGGGAAAATGGGCCATATGCTTTTTATTTTGGGCTTTGGAAATTGAAAACAAAGCCCAAATTAGGGCATTATCGGTCGTCTTCCTCTTTTCCATTTTCGTTTTTTAATTTGAACCAAAGATTGAAATTTCCCCAAATCCGACGCCAAAATTCTAACCATGATCAGCATTCTCACTCAGGTTCCCAATCGAATCAATTTGAAAACGCTTAATCTCTTTGCTTTCGTAATTCTTCTTATTTCTTTTTTAAATTTCTGATATTTGATGAAAATGCAGGAGCGTCTGCTTGGTGCCGCACTCGGATGCGCGTTGACGGGGATCGTAGTATTCGAGCAGCGAAAACGCATCTATGAATCTATTGCAGATCATCCATCTCAACTCGCTTCCCAATCTCAGGTCCCCTTTTCTCATTTCTGAAACCCTAGGAATATGCTTAGTACATTATGTCTGAAACCCTAGGCATATGCTTAGTAGATTAAAGTTCTTATGATTCCTAAAATAAATCAAAAAGCTATAAGCTTTTTCCGATAATGTAGTTGTTTATGTAAGTGCTTAAGCTAATGTCTAATGGTTTCTGTAGAACAAGAAACTACGTTGTAGTCAACGCAGGTGCAAAGTGTTCTGTTGAAAGTTGAAACATTTGTTCTTTAGCTCAAATGATAAAAGATGGGAATTTGGTAGGAGGCTGGAAAGGATTTAAAATATATAAAAACTAAATGCGTAAGGAAAACTGTAGATTTTTAGCATGGAAAGAACAGGTGGAAAAGGCTTTTTTTTTCCTTCATTTTGAGGATTTCTCCTTTAACTTGTTCTTCCTAAAAGTGGAAATTGAACAAGTGAAAACTTGTGAGGTGTGGAGACTCACGCCCAACTTTAGGAGGAATATTTCCACTTTGACCCAAAGATCTCATGTTTTTGTCTCATAAAAGGTGCCTTACAAGTTTGGATTTAAGTTTATATTATAGCAGATCCTCAAAACATCCCGATATGAGATTGGGGTGTCACATCAGAAATAAAAGAGTTGCTTGCTTTCCAGTATAAGTTTTCTATGGTCTTTGATGTAGGAGACTGGGAGATGTTGCCATATTCATAAAATTTGAATCTCAAAATCTACCTCTTATTGTTTGTCAATGCTTTAGAAAATAATGACTGAAATTGGTGATTAGACTGCCTAGCATTTCCCAACTGCACTTTGCATAAATCAAGGCAATTAATCTGCTCTGATATTATTTATTAGTTGCAAGTTTCATTCTAGTATCTTTAATAGGCAAAACAGAATAAACTCGTAGTTAATGGTTTAATTAGAAGGGAGATCCTATTGCTAGAGATGTTTTGGTTCCTTTTGCAATCTTTAAATATGTCTTATACGCTTGTTTTATTGACTGTGGAAACAACCTAATATCTTTGGCAATCTTATCACCCTATTGAAGAATCATTTTATTCAAACTTCTATCTTGTATATAATTTATGTTACCTTTACTGGAAAAAGAATATGACCTTATGTTTAAGCTCATATGCCCTGTGATTTGGGACATATCTTATGAGATCTATTAATGCGATTTTGCAGTGTTATCTGAAGGAATTTACAGCAAGAGAGGAATATATTTACTTGAAAGAAATGGTTAACCGCACCAAAAATGATGAATTTATTATCTAAAAATTGCTATACAATCAGATTTTGCTTTCACAAGTAAAAGTTTGTTTCATCGTTTGCAGTGTTTGGGGTTTAATTTCTCACAGTTTTAATTTGAACTTCTTCCAGATGAAAGAGCCGATATTAGGAAAGAAATCTCGCTCAGAGTTTGCACTTCTATGGAACAAAGCTGTGGACCAGATATTTGTGCCGGTAATTGAGTCCTTCAGTTCCCGTAGATGGTAGAAGATTTGGAGCCAATTTACAGTATCTTTTGATGTATACTTTCATATTATTGCATCCATGGCTTACAAGCAGTTGTATCTCTCTAGTTTTTTGAACATAAAGGGGGCATGCATCCTGGGGCTATCCTATGTTGTAAGACATAACATATAATAATGGTAAATGCAATTCCTGATTTATGGCATTGAAAAGATTTACCGATCTATTTCGTTTCGTTACCTTCTTCCTTGAGACTTCATTGTCCGAGGGTGAAAGTTTTGTCCCTGCCACAAGATGGACAACGTTTCGTTTTTTACCAGCATTGAATTATTAATTGGATCATGGAGGTTGCTTCATGGTTCACATCTCTCGATATGATGATCGATGATAGATTGGTGGCTGATAGATACCATCTTACGGAGTTTTCCCGATTTGAACCTTGACCAATAGAATTAAGAGTTAAGCGTTTTATAACAGATCATGCGACTGTTGGTAGTTATCTCGTGGTTTAGTATGGTATCAAACATTTAAAATCTGAATCTGATCCCCGCTAGTACAGTTGTGGTTTAGTTCATAAAATCAAAATATGAAATGTGTCTTTATGGATACATTGGTGTTAGTAATGAACGAAAAGTAGTTTGGCGTAGGGCTTTAAAGCCCCGACGGTGATGGATGCTTAGAACCACACAATCAGCTATCAAAGAAGCACTCTGAACCACACAATTTGGAGTATAAAATGGGAGAATTACAGCACTATATGTTGTAGCTTTTACCAGACCTGTCGATTTTTTCAGGTTTTGGCATAATGATTGGAAGGAGGAAAAACCAATAATAAAAGCTTAATTCTAGCTGCTACTACGTCATTATCGAGCCTTAGCCTATATTATACAATGGAGAATTGGAGGTTGAAGAGCACATGATCAGGCATCTGGTTGAACAGAGTTTGCTCGATTAGCATTAGCTCGACGGGTGTTCAGCACATAGTAAACTCCCATTGTCAAAAGCACGGCAAACGCCAAACCAAAAACAATGCCAGCAATTCCACCAGCTCCCAGTTGATGTCCAGATTTCTGTTGTGTTGATATCTTGCTTTCAAGTGCTTTAGTAGCGTCCACTTGAGCTGCTACTGGCAATGGTGAGCAATTGGAAGCTGCACAGGGGTTTTGGGTGTCTGGCTCATGGGTTTTCGGATGGAAGAATTCATAGGCTGAGGGCGAGAAGGCCATGGGATTCTCGTAAGAAATGCCATGGGGAGCTCTGTCTTGACCCCTGGCAATAGACAGAAGAGCTAGAGAAGATAAGAGAAGCAAGAAAGAAGCAAATGAACTCATGTTTCACACTCTTTGCTTTTTTCTGATTGAGGAGAGCCAAAAACAGCAGTGGCCTTTTGAGTGAAAATTTTGTGTGCCTTCTCAATGGCTTTTATAAGCCCTTTAAAGTGGTTGTTGCTTGGCATTTAATTTTGGTAAGGCAAATAAATGATGATGTTGTGAACCTTGGAATTTCAGTGTACAATATGAATATTTCAAAGGTGCATGCCAAAGAGGGTTACCGTTTGTGAATAGGAAAAAGAGTTGTAAGGGTAAGAATTTGAATTATAAATTTGTTATATATCATTTCTTAAAAATAATTACATGAACTAATGGAGTTAAATTGAAAATTTTTTTCCTTCATTTTAAACCTTAAGAGAATGTTTGCTCGTTGAGTCATTGTAGTCCTAATTGAGATCAACCCTTGAGAAAGTGTCCAAAATTGCAAGTTGTTCTTCCAATCTAAATGCCTCATGCTCCTAGTTTTCTGCCCCTTTTCTCATCATTGTAAAATATAGCTAATGGGTTATTATCATTATGCTTGTCTTCAATATACTTTCTCTCAAAGCCAAGTTTCTATGTGCTTGAGTGCCTTCTCAAGTACTTTCATGGACTAGGGACTGATAACAAAAAATTTATTTTACCTTCATTATATTCTTTATTATACATTACAAAGAAAAAGTCATGGAAGCATGGGGTTTTACTCAGCTTGAAGGTTCAGCAAAGGGCCTAAGAACACGTATTTGATGTGAGTAATTATAATGCCTAGCCTGTCACCTCCCTCTACTATTATTGCAGGAGGGGGTAACTGGTAAGCATGCCCAAAATCCCCAAAGCTGAAATCAATGTAGCCACCTTCCCCACATGTAATATTTAAATCACGTCACTTTGAATGCTTTATTATAGTATCTGTTATCTCATTTTTTGTGCACATTTCTCCCCCCCCCTCAGAGCCCATTTAACATTTCCACAAAATTCTTGTTTTTTAGTAAATGGGCTTTTTAGGCTTCACATGTTTTAGTCATATGTGTTGAAGATTTACTTTGGGAAAGGGACAGATTTAGTGGTTCAATATGATTAACCCAAGCCAAGGTAATTGGGTTGGATCAGGCAAAGATGCCAAGCCAATAGCTAAAATGGTTTTCTGGCCTTGACATTCATTGGCTACCGGGGCTTCAAGACATAAAGATTAATTAACCAAATCAACCAGTCAGAAATCAAAGGTGATAAACAGTAAAATTAATTTTGATGAAATTAAAAATAATAGTAAAAATTATTATAATTACGACTGAAAAAATTTTTACACTGAACACACCTCACTGAACTTTCATTTGATTTTCAATAGAGATTTTTGGAGTTTAATTGTATCTTACCGGAAGTGCAATTGCATCCAAATCGCCTAAATCAAATTAATTATTTTCTTTAGACTTAACTTGTTTGGTAGTTGGCTTGTTAATATCTGATCTTAATACTAATGAACAGCTACAGGTTACCAAACAAATTAAAGGTCCTAAACATTTACACCATCGTTAATCAGAATCTAAAATTCTGACATTAATTAAGAAATAGATATGAAGATAAATCAGTTCACAGTGGCAAATTTCTAGTCATAATCTAGACATTTCTAGTTTGATAAGTTACCACCTTTGACAATACTTTCCTGATATGGCATTTGATTGAATAAGCCATGAAAAAAATAGGCTAATTTCTTCGGTTTCGCTTCAAGTTGATGGTTTCACCACTATCAAATTTGAATATTTTGCCTTCCAAAACAAAGGATATAGTGTTATCAACAATGATATCCAATTAATATTTCTCTTTCATATGCAACTTCAACACCAAAAACTCACCTTCATTGTAATTTAAAGCCAACTTTTTCATCATCAAGAAGCTAAGGGCTCACCTACTTTGCCCTGGAAAATGACCAAAGCGCCATAAAATAAGGACAAGATGAGGTAAACTAACTATAGCTTATGCACCAAACACTATATAATAATACATAAGGAATCAAATTAATCTCATTGCCAAAAACCACTAATCTCTTTTGGAATATCATTATCAAGTACAAATTTAAGAACTAGTATTAGTTTTAGGGTAACCAACTGAGCTTTTATTTTTTGTGCAAAATATTAACCTCTTTGATCAGTGCTCTATAGTGTATTAATTTAATGCCCTAAACCCTAATGCTATTGAAAAGAGGAGAAGGTTCTCCAAAACCCATAAATAAAAAATTAAAAAAAAAACCCAAACACAAATTTTTTGCAAAGATAAAGTAGAAGTTTGACTGAGATAGAGTTGTTTAATAAATTTCTTGGTGCATAAATTGTACACCCTAGCTCAAGTGGATGATCACTAGTCTAGAGGGATTCCTTCACAATTAAACCTTTTTTGGACAAGCTTGTTAAAATGTTGGTAAAAATTATAAGATTGTTCACAATCAACTGTTTGATTATTTCATCAATTTTAATTAAAAATAAAATTTGATTCAAGTCATCATCCAGCAGTTGGCTAAGCTATATTTTATAGCATGCTTAGCTTGATTTGCAAGTCAATACAATGGATTGATGTGAAACGGGTGAAGAAAGTGGTTGAGACTAAAGAAGACAATATATATTTTATGCATGAAAAACATTTATACACAACATAGAAAAAAAAAAAAAAAAGATATGATAAGGATAAGCAAATTAGGTGACAACACAGACAACTTTGATACATTCAAACAACAGGCATTGAAAAGACACCCTTTGTTCATAAATATTCTTATTTACAGTTCTATGGCTTCCTCAAGGTTCTCCTTCCAACCCCATGTAAGAGACAGAAAGAAAAAGCAAAAGGGAGCCCTCGCATAAAGGACTTGCTTTCTTCTTCATTTGTTATTCTTTTGGAAAATATCTGCATCATAATTCATGATCATTTTTTTTTTTTGAATTATATATCTGTGAAAATAAAGCTGAATTTAAGCGTTGCTCCTGAAAGATCCAAGGGCCTTGATGGCTGCTGCTCTGAGGATGTATTGGTGGTAGAATGCAGCAATGGCGGCTCCAACGAAAGGTCCAACCCAAAAGATCCACTGAACAACAAGAACACATAATATCAGCACACAAAAACTATTGAAATTGCTCATAAAAGAATAATATCGGCAAGAAAATATATAGAGAGGAAGGGAAATAATTTACTTGGTCATCCCAGGCCTTCTCCTTGTTGTAAATCACAGCAGCTCCAAAACTCCTAGCAGGGTTGATACCAGTGCCAGTGATTGGGATTGTGGCAAGGTGAACCATGAACACAGCAAATCCAATGGGGAGTGGTGCCAACACCTTGAATTTTTTTATATCCAAAGAAAATTAATCAGTCACGGTTTCACAAATTGAAGGAAAAGGAGGGACCACTGTTGATGGCAACCCTCCTATTCCTAACCATGAAAGTTCCTACAAGGAAAAGTTGAAAACTTAATAGTAATAGAATCTACAACTTAAAAATGGATCCCTTTTTCTTATAGAACCCTAGAGGATTGCCTATGATCTCTTTCAAGGGTTTAAATTAAACCATCAAGTGGCTAAAAATTTTTACTGTATTTAGAGTGATCCATGCTTGAAAGTGAAAGTCCTCCAAAAATCTAAGTGAATTGTTTGCAAAGAAAGAAGAAAGGCCAGTAAGAAAAGGACCTACAACCTAAAATGAAAAGGAAGTGGAGATAAATAAAAGATAAAACACTTAACAACAAAATAAAAGTGAGTGGATTAAAGAGGTATGATAAAGTACATACAGGAACATGGGAATCTCTTGCATTCCTCTTGGGATCAGTGGCAGAGAAGACTGTGTAGACAAGAACAAAGGTTCCAATGATCTCAGCACCCAATCCAGTGCCCTTGTTGTAGCCAGTTTGGAGCTCGTTGGCACCACCTCCGTAGTTGTTGTAGTATGTCTTCTGGAAAGCCTTGACGAACCCACAGCCGCAGATGGCACCCAAGCACTGAGCTAACATGTACATGATGGCTCGGATGAGTGACACCTTGCGCGCCAAGAACAGTCCAAAGGTCACAGCCGGGTTGATGTGTCCTCCTGTGTCCACAGTTTAGAAAATTATCATCAGCCAAAGTTAAATGTGCATTGAACAGTTACATGAGCGGATGCTGCCAACTATTGTTTGGTTACTGGGAAACTTCCTTTTGGCTTTCTCAGTCAAGAGAAATGTAGAAACAAAAACAAGAGTTGTTGTTGTTGTTGAAGATGGTTAAAAGGAGAAAGAAGACTCACCAGAGATACCAGCAGTGCAGTAAACAAGAATGAAGATCATGCCACCAAAAGCCCAAGCAATACCAAGAACACCAACACCACCACAGTCAGGGTCAACAGTGTTCTTGATAGGGTCGGTTTGAACCTTATAACCAATCACAGTCAACACTGTGACATACAAGAAGAGAAGGGTAGCAATAAACTCAGCAATCAGTGCCCTATAAAACGACCATTGGGCCAGCTCTTCTGCATCAATTAATGGTGCAGGTGGTGGATCACGGTAGTCCTTGCCTGAGTACGCCCCTCCTTGCTCTGCAGTCTCAATATCCTTAGCCATATTTCTTTTTCCTTGCTAAAACTTTTTATTGAGGTTTGCAATTAAGCTGTGGATGAAGAGAGCTGAGTGAAGAAGGGTATATAAGGGGGGAGAGAAGATGATAATGATTAAAGAGAGTGATTATGTGCAACACATTATTCTAACATAAATTTATAGCCGTCCAATCCACCTTTGATCTCAGTTTTCTTCGTTTTCGTGGACCCACAATTAGCTATGCAACGGCTATTTCTTGTCTAATGTCCCTACAGTCTTCTTCTCTACACAAATTTTAATCTTATCAATTATACCGATATAAATATAATATAAAATAAAATATAAAAATAATATAATTTAAATTTTTTATAATAATTATATATAAATTTAATAAAATTAAAATATATATTTTATACTTTTATATAAATATAAATTATAATATATAATTTTTATATAAAATATAATATAAATACATAAATTTTAATATTTTATAAGATAAAAACATATAAATTAAAATTTTTAACAAATTTTATAACTACCAAAAAAACTAAAAATTCATGGAAATTCAATTTAAAAAAAAAAAATTATCCTATGCTGTCATGTGAAGAGAGAATAGTAGTATATAAATAGGCCGGTCCCTAGAATTATTAAATTGGTAGGCTGGTGATGGCTTTTCCAGGTAAACTTATCTGGACATACACAAAAGGCAATTAAATTTTGCAGCAGACATGGAGGATGTTTTATGGTTTTCTTCAATCATGAGATTGTGCATGGTTGTGATCATAAAGCATCTGAAATTTCATAAATAAAGGATGTTGCAGATCTTTTATTTTTTTCTTTTTTTTTTCTTCTTGCACTGTTTAATTTCCTCATTTTCTTGGCAGCCAAACAGATTTGGTTGCTTATAAAAAAACAAAAACTGCCCAACTTATCATCTCTTTAATTTGTATAGATGACTTGAAAAGAGGATTGAATTTGTATTAAAAAGTTCGTCCAATTAAAATGTTGGTCCAAACATTTCATTTTAAAGATTAAAAATTATTTAAATTTAAAACTTAATTCAATTAATTTATATAATTATTTTAAAAAATTAAAAAATTTTATCTTTAAATATGACTTTCTATATAAAAAAATTTATTTGCAAATTGCAAGCTTTAACCTAACTCTATACTATATGCTAGAATAATAGAGGTTTTCATTATTATTATTATTTGGTTTTGGAATATGATATTATTATTTAGAGAAAATAATTTGAAGATAATGAAAAGGATTATTTAATAACACAAAATAAACCAACAAACCAATAGTGATCATAATAAAACTATTAAATGTCAAAAATATTTTTAATACGAAAATTATAAATAAACAATAAAACAAGACCGACCAACCATACAATGCTGACCAATATTATTTGTATAATTAATTTTTGCAAAGTGCTGACATTAATGTATAAATGGACCGACCACAACACCTCAAACATGACCTGTCAATTTTACATTTTCTCAAGCCTTAACCTCATAAATTCATCTTCTAGCATATCCGATAATTCTAACTCAATTATTGCACTATCAATAATAATTATAAATTCCCCCCCTCCTCTTTCTTCTCTTTGTTCTGTTGCTTTTTATCTTTCTCGTGGCTTAGTTTAAATTTAATAATTTATATCATATAAAATATTAAAAATTTTATATTTATATTATTTTTTATATAAAAACTATGTATTATAATTCAAATTAATATAAAATATATTATTTTAATTTTATTAAATTTATGTAATTATTATAAAAATTTTAAAATATATTAATATTTTATTTTATTTTTATCATATTATCGTATAATATTTTAGATTATCGTATCTAATTGACGTCGTTTTCTTGAATTTGAGTTATGGCTGGAAAAGTACCATGTGTCTAAATTTCAAGGATGGAATTATGAAATCGAATTCCAATTTTTCTTTTCTTTTTTCTTTTTCTAAGGGCTTGTAGTGTTAATGGTGACCCGCAGCTGGGCGGCGGCATTTTTTTTTTAATAAGAAATTTTAAGTCATGCTAATTTTTTTTTTTATAAAAGATGTTGTAATATGACAACAACATAATTATGTAAATTAATTAAATTAATTTTTAAATTTTAAGTCATGTTGTTAATTAATCATAAATTACTAGCTTAAAATTTTCAAATTGTTTCCAATTCCAAAGGCTTGGGTCCAGTATATAATATTAGTCCAATCTTTTTTGTTACTACAAATGATATTAGTAGCAGAAATGGTCAATAAGGTTTTGTTCAATTGCTTTATATTAAAAATGATAAGCTAAAATCATTAGGTTTTAATTCAATTTCTCTGATCATGTACTGTGTATAGGGTGTTAAACAATTGATTATTCAGAAAAGATTCATGAAAAATGTGAACTAGTCGAGTAATACTTTTGTTCTTGATAATTAACACTCATAATTTCATGCACTATAAATTTTGAAATAAATGTCAACTATCCTTTAAATCAGTTATTATATTATTAAAATTTATATTTGAAAATTACTGATTCAAAAAAACTTAGGCGCATAATTTTTTTAAATCAAATATATAATTCGATAAGGAAGGTTTAAGAGTAAATTAAGAACTCAAAAAAAAAATTATTTTCTGAAATGGATTTGCTTGAAAAGTAAAGATTTATAGGCAGGAGAAGAGAAAATCATGCATTAGCTGGTGACTTTTGCATGGTTTGCTTTGCTTTATGCATGAATATTATACATCAATATACAAGTACAAGTAGAATAATAAGTTTACACCAAAAGAACTGATACTATTATACCAAGAAGATGAACATGGTAGATGATTTTCAACACCCACGGGACATTGACCAATGCTTCATTTGACGTCTCTTTAAGTTCATTAATTTCCAGAACCAGGACGCCAATCCCAACCACTGAAACTTGCCATACCCAAAAGGCTCATACTGACCGTCATTGTCATCTTCATCATCCTCGTATTGCTCTGCTCGCTCTTCTCTTATCGTATCTAGCTTTGGAGTGTTGGAAGGCCTCAACGGGAAACTGATGAGGGATGGGGCTGCCTCAATCCGAGGCTTCATCAAGTGCCTGAGCTCTCTTACCGTCGTGATTAATACAATAGGATATACAGGTGCATCAACAAGCCTGAGGGAAATCAAAGTCGGTACCAACTGCAAGAGGCAGAAAAAGATTAATACGTGGGGAATTTTTGGTGACTACAAAATCCCTTTCCTTTAAAAGTGAAACGTTTCAAAAGATCCACACATTTAGATGATACCTAACAGAAGGGGGAAGAACTTCATCAGTGGAACACTCTCAGATATATTCAGCTAGTCCATCCAAATGCAGAAGCCGTACCAAGTCAAAGATTGATCGATTATAAACAATTAATCCAAAAGAAATAATCAGACCCAAGCTAAAAATGCCAAGCTTTCTGAATGGCTCAGAACACAAAAACAGAGAAACACGGATAGGCGGGCAGAAAGGGAGTTGTTGTATCATCTATGGACTGTGGGCAAATTCAATAAAAGATCCTACCCTAACCTAAGGTTCAATACTTGGCCAGTTTGCCCTACCTAAAACCTACTCTGCAGAGTAACATGGTTTTTGGTCACTTAACATCTAGTTACGACTACTGTTATTCTCCTATGTTAAAGCAGAGCATCATACATACCCATGCTATGGTCATTCAGAATTAAGTAACATCAACAGCCTACATCCTCTTGCTTATTAAAAGCACCATGCAATTAATGTACAATGTCATGCCACAATGAAAAACCTGAAACGCTGAAGTTAATCATGACGTCAGAACAAATAGTGGTAACTTCTAACAAGTTACATGATAGTTTAACGCAGAAAACACTTTATCATGCACAATGCTGCAATCTCAATTCAATAGTAACAGAATAAATAGGAAGTAGAGGAGAAAATGACTAGAAAAGAGAAAGGCCTAAATCTCATTCGAACTGTATATAACACAAAAGAAAGCCTTTCCTTGGGCATGTATGGAACCATATGCCAGCACATAATATGCATCCATCAAAATTTCCGACGATACATGAATCAAGAAAAACACTGTTATACATATGAAAATTAAAGAACAAAGCACGAAGCAAAGAAACAGTATCACGAATCAACATTTAGCAATGAAGCAGAACTTTAGCTAGACAGATAAAACAAGAGTTGAACATATCAAGAAGTGCTGACTGCTGCCAACAATAACAGAAAAAGAATGAGCTACTCTCAAATTTCTATAAAGAAACTAAGTCAGAATGCTACAACTAAGAAAGTAAGTGATTCCTTGGCACCATCAAAGACAGAATCTACAAGTTTAGGATTCATCATAAAATCAACCTCCAAAAAGACCATGCAACTCACAATTCTTAGCCTCAGCATCCAAAAGGTACCATTCAAAGATATGTCAATCTTAAAATATAAGATCAAAAAACACATACATTACCAGCAGACCGATGTTATTGACTTCCTAAAACACATTCAACAACTAAAACTCAACTAACATGCAACATTTTCCATTCATTTCTTACTTACCAATCAGAAACAGTACCAAAGCCTGCACTTTGAAGACAATACAATAAGCAAAAAAAAAAAAAAACCAATATAAATAAACATAACATTTATAACCATTGAAGGATCAACCATTGTTAAAATCATCTAAATTAACCTCAAAAACAATATCTGACGAAAATATCAATTATCCAAAACCTCGAAACTAAACAAAACTAAAACTTAAAAATAAGAAAACAAGCTTTGTCACTCCAGAGGAACATCAACATCGCCATCATCAATCTCCAGCTGCAAATCCTTAGGGTCTTTCCCATCAACCGTACACCCAACAGAAACACACGTGCCCAAGATCTCCTTCACCGTTCCTTTCAAATCCTTAGCCATCGACCTCGGCCTCATTACTTTAGCAATCTCAATAACGTCATCGAGGCTGATGCTGCCGTTATGTTTGATGTTCTTGGTCTTCTTCCTATCCCTCTCCGGCTCCTTCAACGCCTTGATTACAAGCGCCGCCGCCGAAGGGACCACAGTGACTTTTGCCTGCCGGTTCTGGACGGTGAGCTTGACGGTGACACGGAGACCCTTCCAGTCCTTGGCCGTTTCTTTGGCGATATCTTCACCGATCTTTTTGGGAGAGAGACCGAGTGGACCAATCTTTGGAGCGAGGGAACTTGCTGCGCCAACTTCGCCGCCGGTGACCCGGACGAACACGTCGACGACTTGGGTTGGGTCAAACTTGGGCGGCATTGTTGGGCTTGCTCTTTGATGGAGGAGAAAGGGACTGTAGGGTTTTCAGAAATGGAGGAGTGTACAGAATGGAAACAAGATAGTTAGGGTTTCAGACTTAATACCCGATTTAACCTTTAAGGAAGTTCGGAAACACGGAAATGAAGGATGGGTGAATTCGTAATTTCAATATTTTTAGCGACCGCATTGGCATGACTCTAACACACTGAGCAATTGTTGAGGTTTCGGTGTTTGGGCTTTTGCTGAAAATCGGCTTGCAGTTTTAGCAACGAAAAGAAAAGAAATTTGGAGGGTTGGACTTTTCGTCCTAAAAGGGGAAAGAAAAGTGGGTAGTATTTTATATTTTGGGCTTCAAGCAAGTTAATGGATCAGACTAAGCATTTTTTTACAAGCTTTGATCCTACGTTGAACTGGCCTTAGGAATTTTTTTTTATAAAAATCTAGACCATGATTTTGGTCCAAATTCTACAAGAGTTTTTTGGCCGAATTGTGCAAGTTACGGGTACTTACATAACTCACTATTGTTGATGCAACGAATCGATACTTTTGATATAAAGATTATTGGACTGCATTTGTTACGAGATATTATTATCTTTTATGAGAGTGAAAAAGTTTATTTTCATGGTTTTATTCTTTGACAAAAGGTGTTTCGATAAAGAAAGAATGATTATTTTTTATAAAGTCATTGTTGAAATTGTGATTAGAGATATCAATGAATAAGATTTTGATAGGATAAAATATTTTTTATTCATATTTTTGAAATTTTATATTATATTCATCGTTATATCTATATTCAATAAATATTTTAAATTTATATTTATTCTCATTTGGCAAGTAGTTAATGGGTATGAGTAATCCTCATACTCTAACTTTTAAAAAAATAAAAATTAAAGTTTTTTTTTTAAATTTTTTTTATTTTTAATTTGTATATTTAGGTAATTTTTTATAAATATATATTAATATATTTTTTAATAAAAATATATTAATTTTAATTAATCTAAAATAATAATTTATATTATTTAATAAAAAAATTTATTTATTAAATATATAAAAAATATTTATAAGATATTTGTACGAAATAGATATTATATTATCCATATATATTCTCGTATTAAATAAAAATTTAAAATTATATCTATTTTTATTTTTATGCTCATAATATAATTTTTATTTTTATTTTTATTTTTATTAAATTAAGTAAAGTTAACATCTCTAATCGTAATTTTTTAAATAAGAGTCACCATTTCTCTATTAAATATTTTTTTATTTAAAAAATAAAATCACGATGATAGACAATTGAATTCTTAAAATTTATCATGATCAAGCATAATCTAACGATCTTTGTATCAATAGTGTCCATGATATACTGTTAACAAAAACAGATGACTTTAGAAACATTTAAAGATGGTTATAACCAAGGCCTGGATTTGATGGCTCCACCGATGTTTTAAACGCTGATCCAAGTCTAGGTGCTGCAAATGACAGCTATGAGATAAGAAGAGATAAAAATCAGCCAATCACCATGCACGGGGATGGGCATATTCAAGCACCAAAATGTAACTTTCATCAAGACAAATAATGCACTGGGGAGGAACTTCGAAGTTCCAAGCCACAAGCACTAGACAGCCATGGGAAAAAAAAGGTAGTGCTCCTTTGGCCCCGCCTCAAAGAGTCATTATCATGATCGCCAGCCATAGATATGACTAGGGCAACTAAATTATACATGCTATGGCCCATGCATGGCTAGCTACCACATCTGCCTTTTTTGAATGAAAAGGAAACGTTATTTCAAGGCCTACTTACCCTGTACCAAGCTAGCTTTAATTTCCTTTTCTGGATATTTTTCGCCACTACAATAGCATACTTTCATTGCCATAATTGCTAAAAAAAAAATGAAAAGGAAATAAAATGTATGAATATTTGGTAATCCCTGTACATACATACGTAATATCATATATTTAGGCAGTTAAATATTTTTATTATCCATTTTACTGATACATATACAAAAAAAAGCTAATTTAAACTAAATTAGATAAATGAACCATAATTAAAATTATCTTACTTACTTTGATAATATATATATTAGTTCTGTATAAAAATTTATTATATTTTATATGCACCAAGATTATACATTTATCTCTCTCTATATATATATATATCCCAAAACTGTTGAATTAATTATTAGGTCTGGTAATCGTACATAGATTGAGAGATCGTTTTCTGGGCCATACTTTTAAAGTGAATTGAACAAACATGCAATCAGATTTATTAATTTAATCTAAAATATGATGAGATAATATAAAAAAAATATAATACGAAAAATAAATATGAAAGAAATATAATTTAAAATTTTAATAATTATTATATATAAATTTAATAAAATAAAAAATTATATTTTATATTTTTAAATTGATATAAATTATAATACATAATTTTTATATTTTATATAACATTAATATATAAATTTTAATATTTTATATAATATAAATACACATATTATCAAATTTACTTAAAATCATAAAATTGATTGATGGAACTTGGACCATAGCATTTTTTAATTCAAAACATTATTCTAATTTCATAATCCATCACTTTAACATATATATATATATTTTTTACTCTATAATACAACATAGATATCATCCAAGATTAACAACTTGAAATGTCAAAACCAGAAGGTGAAGTTCAGTTCAACGTTCAACGAAAACAAACCTTCATAAACTCTAATCCAAATTCTCGCCTACCGTGACCCAGCCAGCTGCCAAGCAAAAGCGTGGGCCCAGTTCACGTGCGATCACGATCTATACCCTAACGGCTGACGCCACGTGTAATACTTAGGCCATCAACAACAAGTGTCGAAATCGGGGGACCAGTTTTCCTGTCCTCCTTCTTAAAACCACGAATTCCTACGTGGCGTTTCGTTGAAAATCTCGAGGCGTTTCTATATTTTTCACGAGTTGTAGTACGAACATTATTTTTTAATTTTTAAACTGAGCGAGCCAGCCTTATCCATTAAGGAAGCCAACCTTTTATAAAAGCAGATTGAAATAAGCAGAACGCAAGGAGGAAACTCGAAACCAAAGAGCCATTGAGAAAAATAAATTGATTTTTTTTTTTATGGCGAGCAGTAAAAGCTATAAATCGAGACCGAACTACCAATTTCTGTCGTGCGATCAGCAACTGCAAGCAACGTTGAGTCATGACTCGGTGGCTTTCGAGTTAGACGAGTCAGATATTTATAACAACGTGGTCTCGACTCGCTCTGACTCACCTGAGTTTCGTCTCAGTCGAGTGGCGAAAAAGCCGTCGACGAAGGGCGGCTGCGGAAGGGATTCTGGAATAGGAGGGGCACCAACGTCGCTGCCGGTCAACATACCGGACTGGTCGAAGATTTTGAGGGAAGAGCACAAGGATAATAGCCGGAGGAGATCGGAGAGCGACGATGATGACGTTGCTGGAGATGATTGGTTGGAAGGAGGGGTTAGGATTCCACCTCACGAGTTTTTGGCGAGGACAAGGATCGCATCCTTCTCGGTTCATGAAGGGATAGGAAGGACTTTGAAAGGAAGAGATCTGAGGAGGGTCAGAAATGCAATTTTTGAAAAAATTGGGTTCCAAGATTAAATCAAAATAAGTGAGAAATTTTAGAATCATCATCTTTAGTTTCTCTTTTTTTCTTTTTTGCCACTGTGATGTGATCAAGAGGATCATTTTCCTTCGTGTAATTCCAAACTAGAGATTTTTATAAGATTTAGCGGAGTAATTTTCGAAATCCATATTTATATTTTGGAACTTGGATTTTTATTTTCAAATTTGGAAAATATGTGGTCCGAGGCTTTGAGGGTATTTTGGTAATAAAAAATAATCAGTGGGGCTTACGATTTGATGTTAGTTGGGTTGGTAAAGAAAAAAATAGTTTCCACAATAGCCAACATTGACGGCCCCTGGAAAATGATTCATTGTCAAATCTACCCTTCAAATAATTCAACTTCTTTATTTTTTTTTTATTTTCATATTTATATCTTAATAAAATTTGTTTACGTTGAACCGAAATTTATTCAAGTAATTTATGTAATAATTTTTAATCGATAATATTTAATAATTTTAATATTTATATTTTTATATATAAATTCCTGAAAATGGATAACTATAAATTTTTTTATGATATCCAAATTGGATAAGTGTGGATAAGTTTGGCCACTTGTTAGCTAGAAATCTATATTAATGGGAGATTAGTGTAAAATCTAAACCTTGGATCTGGTATCTAAAAACATTATTTTAATGATATTATGTGATAATTACGTGATAAATTCTTTTTTGTTAATTGAATTTTTGGATTTTGGACTCACAAGATTTTGGCACAACTTAATAATTTTGTTGGTAAGGGTGTCCAAGAATTTTTTACTTATTTTTAAAAAGATTATTTAATACAATATCAATCGAGTTATATGAAATTCATATTTTAATAAAAATAATGTTACTAAAAAAAATGCATAAAAAAAAATTATACAATTCATATCCCACCCAATGCAAATGATAAAGACAAAAGCATTGTTATTTCTTTAAACTTCAATTCAAATTTCATCTTAATGAATCATTTAAGTATATTCTTTTTGTATGGTATATAATAATAAATATTTTATTTTTGCGAATTTAAAATTTAATTAAATTAATTTATGTAATTATATATATATTTAAAATATAATATTCAATAAATTTAAAATTAAAATCTCAACAACTATAATATCTTATTTGTTTTTGGGATGCAACTTCCTTTGTCCTTGTGCATTTATTTGTATTCCTAATGTACTACCAACTTTAGAAAATGGAAAAGATCTCATCTTCTTATGTACTCAACAATTAATTTCCAACAAACTGAATTCAAATCTCTCAACCAAATGAAACCTATTGATAATTAGCACTCTTCTCAACACTAAGGAGGATCCAATGAAAAAAAAAAAAAACCAATGGTGTAGTGTCAAACTTAATCTTAGGAAAAATTAAAAAAAAACTTATAAATTATAGGTAATTCCATTTTATTTTATTTTTCTCTATATTCCACCAATTCATACATTATATCAAAGTATTAGGACCCTAAACCCCAATCAAAATAAAATAGTTAATTAACTTTAACTAATTTAAATAAAAATACTTCTTAACAAATCACATTACATTAAATTCAAAATTATTTTTATTGATTCATGTAATTATTTTTAAGATATATAATTTAATATATTTAAAATTTAAATTTCAATACATATAATTATGTTTCTATTCTTAAACTGTCACATTTTTTGTAACAAAATAAAAATTCCTAAAGTAATATAGACAAATTTGAGACATGACAAATCGTATTGCTTCATTGGGTAATGTAATTGGTCCTATCAGAATTGACCTTTTTAATCTAAAAAGACTAAAACAGACAATTTAGGAGACAAAGCATCCCCACATATCAAATCTTTACTGACGAAAATTGTTGAAAAAACAAAAAAAGTGACATGAACTTTATGTTTGGGCCGGAGATATTCCAAGTCACTAAAAAAAATAATTATTAAATCATAATAGAAATGGAAAGGCCGAATAAATGGAAAATTGAAAAAAAAAAGAAAGAAAAGAAAAGGAAAAATGCCCATCTTTGTTGAAAAGATTAAACGACGGTTTTTTTATAAACTGTTAGATTAGCTGTGGTGGGGACATATATAGTGACGGTCGGGTGACCACTTTATCGTATGAACAACTTGTGGCGTTTTCTATACGTTCCCCGTCGATTTCCCCATCCTGTCTTTTTCGCCTTTATGGCGAGATGGGATTTGTAGGTTTAGTATTGTTACCAAAAGTCTGACAGTCATTTGGTGCCCATAGCGGCGACGTGTGGGTAATGTCAGTGGGCACCACCCAAAAGGAATGTGTTATCAGCCCATTGTGGATTACAACGAGGCTATATGGTTGGGCCGAACTTTATTTTTTAATAATTTATTATAAAAAATTATCTCTTTTATCATTACAATATATAACCAGATTAGAGGGTCGTCATATATTTTATTATAATTTATTTAAAAATAATAAAAATGTGGTAATATTTTAATATAGTTGTGGAGTTTTTTATGATAATGAGTAATTATGCAAACCAATACATTCCATGTTTGTCACTATTTCGTAAAAATGCCAGCATTGGAAGGTGCATAATGTGTGCAAATTTACTAAGTACTACTTGCTTACAAATCCCATTTAATTTTCTTTTGTATTTTTGACTTCCGGATATGGATATGAACACAAGCTAGCTGATTTTTTAGCAACACTACAAGCCATTGTTTCCTTTGTGGAGAACGGGTATTTGGCTGGATCTAGCTTACTTAGTTTTTAGTAACGATTCTCATGCTTTATCGAGTGAAATGGTTTGGGATGCTTTCTCCTTTTTATGTCTGTTCTTTGAGTGAATTTTGACATTTCACTCATTGCTTTTTTCAGAGGAGATCGTGTCAAATTGGTGAAGCCTGGAAAACACCAAGTATTGTTATATTTGCTATTTCTGGTGTTCAACAATTTATCATATTCTATCCCTGGTTTAACATATTGGTGCTGCATTCAAGAGCAATATGTGTTTGTGTTTTGACATTTATGTTACTTGTGTTATTGATGAGATGTGAGTTACAAAATTCCTTGTCTTTCATATTTTACCTGAACGGTACCTTCTAAACATATTTTTTACTTTCAGGAACCCTGCTACATTTCTTCATGCATACACTTGTCTTCCCTTGCTCGTGCATCAAGGCAAGCTGCAGGTGCTATATTGCAAGATGTTGCTGATTATGGGGTACGATTTGCAATACTAATGTGTAAACACAAGGTAAAACTCCCTCATCCTCTTTTTTCTTCCTTTGCCCTGAAAGTAAGCACAACAATGTTTTTGTCATTTTTACTTTCTGGTTTAACTCCATAAAATAATATTTTACTGTTTGGAGCATTTTAATGACTTGAAGATCAATTTCAGGTTATCAGTCTTGTTGGCGTGCAAAAAGCCTCTTTTCATCCTGATGATATGTTGTTACTTTCGAACTTTGTGATGTCATCGGAGTCATTTAGTTAAGTAGAATCAACGTTAATAGGTCTTTAATTCCGTTGAACTGTTCAACTCTGAGCATTTGAATCATGCCCTCAGAAGCACATGGGATATCATTGTTCTGTTCAATTCCATCTCTTGGATAATCCTCCTTAGTAGGGTAGTGGAAAGCAGTAATGATGAGTCTTTTGGCTTGGATGGTCAGTTTGGTTTTATTTGGATTTCTAGCTAAACATTGTTTTGGTAAATGAACAACCTCAATCCCATTGTATCTTATCTGAAGGGTCTCCCTAATGTAACAATTGAACTCCAAAATTGAAGTTCCAGGTTAGAAACTAGTTTTACACTGTAAGCAATCAACATGTTTACTAACGCTTTTGTTGTTTTGTTGCCATGTTATAGAAAGAGTCCTCTTAACAGCCCAATATTACAATCAATATCTTGATAATCCTGAACTTAAATAATTGAGTTTTGATTCTTTGTGCAGTCCTCTCTTCATTTCTTTCTTTCTCTCTTTGTGCTATAAATATTTAGCACACTTAATATTGTGTTTATGCTGATGATTTCATGGGCTTTTTGTTCTTATGAAATCTACATTATTTATGCAGGACATCAGAATCGTTCTCACTTGCTTACCAAGATAAAATCCTATGGCGTTTTTGTATGCTTATGTGCATTTTCTTGATGTGAGTGACTCTTGTTCACAATATGTTAATTTTGTTCAACTTCTACCACATACAATACTGTCATAGGTTTTCCCTGCATTGGGCATGCCAACAACACAAGATAACAAATCTACTTTGTTTTGACTGGTGGAAAATACGTACTTGATGTTGCTTACCACCGGTTCAGATACCTCCTATCACCTTAAAGATTGCAGGTAACCTGTATTTTCCTAATTTGATCATGATATTAGTGAACTTCGGGTATAACCTTTCTGATTTCTACATCATTTTTGACTCCATATCTTGAGACTGACCTATGGCCATCCGACAAATGGAAATATAGCCATATTTAGTCTTCCCTATGCCTTAATGGGGAAAGTACCTATTAATTTTGATTGTAGAAATATAAAATGTTTATTTTATAGGATTCGCATATAAATGGTTCTCTCGAAGTCCATTGTTCTCAGTGAAGTTCAGAGATCAATGATAGATGGTGGAATGCGTGTTGAGGATTTGCCTGTCGACCCGTTTCCTCGACCCGCACCATTTCCTAATCTAGGCCAGCTAAGACTTCCAACAGATTCTCCTAAGAGGCCTAGGGAACCATTTATTGACATTGGTGGTCCTGCTGGACTTTGGCATTTCATTTATCGTAGATATATCTGGATCAATACGTATCCTCTGAGTTCTCCCCACCGCTTAACAGTCTCCAGCAACAGTAAAAGGAAAAAGTCTGAATCTTGTACCAGTTCAATCAGAACTTCTTTCATATTGAATAATATATTGTATTTTGCCTTGCTGTGATCAGTAGAATAACTGGTTTTCTGTTGTGCAGATTATATAGAGCTTACGAGAGACTGTATGCTTCCATCCATGATAAAGGAATTGGGCCCCATTAAACTCAGTTTGGAAGAGATAAACTTGGGTAATTCTCTCTCTCTCATTAACTTTACTGACATCTGAACTAAAGCTATATATCAGAAAGTTTGATACATTTTTGTTTTTGTTTTGCTGTTTGAATGTCTTTTCTGCAACCAGTATTTTGCTTTCTTAATTCTCTCTGGTTAATGGACAACAGATGCTACTGAGTTATAACTACACAGTTTTTACATTACAGCCTTCGTCGAATTAGGTTAGGTTTGGATTCCACTGCAATTTGTGTGATGCAGCTCACGACATATCAGTTAAATTCATTCAACGTAAATTTTTCATTAAATTTCTTTCAATCATAATTACAATAACTTTTATTATTTTTTTAAATTTTATCAGAATTAACCTCGCCGTTCATTCAAAAAGAGCCTTAACGATTTTATTTTTGTGTCAGTTTTACTCTGCTGGGTCATACGGGATTTTGAGCTATATGCGGCATTTGAACCATTTAGCATGTTCAAAGCTTAAATATTGTCTTAAATACATTACTGAACACTTTTCTGTACAAGAAGCTTTAAAGTTTCATTTATGCTATGTGCAAGCTCTAGCCATAAAGACTTGCAGCCGGGTTTGTCAGCCGGTAAAAGATGTGGAAAATGAGATTCTTTTGCAGTGATCAAGCCCCTTTTCATGGTGATAACTGATAAACTGGCCAATTGTCTATATATATAAATATATAGATGCTGGAGATGATTGCCATGAGCAATGATCTCAAAGAAGAGTTCCATCTTCCCCATTTTTCTCTTTTTCCTTTGTCTGTTGTTAGAGAAACAATCATTGGAGAGAACTGAAATTGTGTGTGTGTATATATATATATATATATATATATAGTCTGTCTGAGTGAGTTTGACTGGCACTTTTTCAGGGATGCATTAACCCCGGAACCTAACCTATGGCAATAAATGGATTGCCAACGAGAGTTGCAGATGTAATCAGGGGCAAATGTTGCATGTTAATGCATTCGGGTTTGAAATTTTTTACTGTCCCTCGTTAGTAAATGATTTGTTAGTTTAAAAATTTTATACATGAAAATTTAATAAATTCATAAATTTTAATTAAATTAATAGTTTATTTTAATTTTAAATATAGGATAATTTATTTTGTTCCTAAAATTTTTTAAATAAAATAAAAACTAGTAATAAATTAAAAAAATTTTTTGGTGTAAAATTTTTATTATATCCGATAATCATTTTAAATTTTGATTAATTTAAAATTAAATTGAATCAAATTTGATAAAAAAGATAAATTCTCCTATCAATTTTTTTTTATTCATAAAATTTAAATCCAAAAATTTATTTTAAAAAAAATTAAGCTCATTAATTACTCGAATCAAAAGCATTAGTTATAATAAATTAATTTCAGAGAGGTGAATGGTTCCTTGTGGAAGCAGTGAAGGAGATAAAACCAAAGACGGATTTCAATGACAGCAATGGTCATTCTGTGAAGTGAATTTATTGAAGTCACAATAAACTATTTACCCATTGGCTTCTGCAATTTAGAATGCAGAAAATCTTCTGTGCCTTTTCACTTATTATTTTAGTTTTGCTGCCCTCAATAATGTTTGTTCAATTTTTGTTTTGAGAAAATTCCTTAGGCCTTGTTTGGTCAACACTTTCTTACACACCAAATCATGCAACAAAAGTAACAGAAGACCGTGTTTGGTTCTCATTTAATGCAAAAACTAATTGAACCCAAGACTTTTTCAAACAAATACTTCCCTTATACTTAAAAAAAAAAAAAAAAAACCTGTTCAGTGGCATTTTCGTTATTTCAAATCAGTCAAACTTCATTAATTTCGGAGATTATTATTAAAGTTTGTTCCCCACTTACCTTCTCCATGATAATGAAGTCTTAGTGCCTTATTTTATTTGATGAAATGACCATAAACTCCCTCATAAATTCATACCCCTTCCTATGTATCTTGATAAATATGAAAGGGTACATAAATAATTGTGCATCATCGATAATTCGGAGATTCCACGGTCGTCTAAGTTGAGGCATCATCATCATCATCTTATAAAAAGAGTGCAGTATGGTGTGGAGGCCACCACATTTTCATATTGATGTGAAAAACCCCAGTAATACTTTGATTCATTGGGGCACGTGACTCATAATTTAGGTCACGTGAGCATCCCATTATTTGTTTGGATTAACGAAAGAATCATCCCATTATTTAGATTATTATTTTATTAAAAAAGATAAAAGAATAAAAAAACTTTTGAATTAAAATTTAATAATCATTCAAAGTTTACCAATTTTTTTTCTTTTTGTAATGTTGATTTTTTAAAAAATAATAATAATTTGAGTTGATAATCTTTAATTAGAAGGTGAATTGTAACGGTTAGTACTATTAAGATATCTCAACTATTATCTTTTATATATTTTTTGAAAAAAATAGAACTTTTTGGTTAAATAATAAATACATGCATTTATTTTGAGTCAAATGCTATGTTATTAAAATTATTATAAAATTAACAACAAGTGATTGGTTTCATTAATTAAGATTCGTTTTTTTTTTTTTACGAAAAGATATTAAATTTAAGTGTAACCAATGATCATTTGTTAAGATTATATTGAATGCACGATTTGTAATCATTTATTTTTTATTTATAAATACGATACATATTACCTTAATTTAAAATATTGAATAATCTATCTATCTCAAATTTTTTTATATAAAAAAATTATTATAAAATTAAATATTTACAAGTGATTACAACATTAAAATTTTAGGTTATTGTTTAATTTTTAAAAGTTTTACTTAGATTTCATTTACATAAAATTTTTTTAATATAAATAATTTTTGATTTAAAATTAAAAAATTAAAAATATTCGATTTAAATATTATATTTAATAAATATTGTTTTTAAAAATAACAACATAAATTAACTTTAAATGTATGTCGAATTTCACTTGCATCAATTCACTATTGGTTTAAGAAAGAATCCTTAGAAATGATAGGCGCTCTCTTTCATGTCTAATGATGTGTTTTTTTTTAGATTTGGTAATTTATAAATTTATATTGTATAAAATATTAATAATTTATATATTTATATTATATTTTATATTAATAAAAAAAATTGAAATAATTTTATTAAAAAATTTAAATTATATAATTTATATATTTTTTATTTATATTATTTTTTAATCATATTTTAAATTATAAAATTAATTTTTTTAATTCAATCATTCTATTCATTAAACACTGTTGATGGGCCGCTTTATGGCACCATTAATGAATTATGACCTAATTAGTACTAAGACACCCAATTTTCCAGTCCCACACACTAAAAAGCAGACAATTTCCTCACAAATTTTAAAAAATCATAAGTTCACATTAAATGATTTTTTTTTTAATTTGTGGCGGAAACCCATTTATTTTTTATTTTTCTTCAATTACTCATAAATTTGATTGACACAAAGTCTAGTTGGATTATAGTCGCAATAATAATTCCCTACAGTGATTAATTGACTTTGGACTGTCTGGCCAGACCTAGCATAGCAAAATTTAAATAGCCTCAATACTAGTTTGAATTATCTTTATTTTTTCGTTGTGATTTTCATCCTTATTTTTATGTTATTATTATTATTTAATTTTTAAATTATTTTATCAACCAAATTAATATAATTTGATTAATTATATAAATTCAATCAAAAATTTTAAAAGTATAATAAATATATATACTAAAATAAAATAATAACAATATTTTTTCTTCTTTTGTATTTTTAGTTATTAAATTTTTTACAATAATAAATTTAAATTTTGATAAATTTAAATATACAAAAAAATTAATAATTAATCATACTTGTTAAATGAATTTAAAACTAAAAAATTCATTAAAAAAAGAAAAAAAAGAAAATATAAAGGGAAAAAGATCACATCCATGCAGTATAACGTACAGTTGACTCTCTCAACAAAAAGCAATATCATAAATAAATAAATAAATTCCCATTAAAATACACTCTCCCAAAAAGCAAAGCCCCCCTCTTCCCTTCCCAATTCACAACAAATTTCATCTCTTTTTTTTTTTTTTTTAATTTGAATTTAAAATTTTTTAATTTTTTTTCTCTTCGTCTTTCTTTTTTCTCTAATGCAAAAACCCTAAAAACCTTGATTTTATCTGACCCATTTCCTGTTCCAACCCGACCCGATCTGGATCCAATTCCATTTTTCCCTTCTCTTCAACTTGGAAAAGGAGAACACAGATAAAGAATCCAAACGAAAATTAAAAAGAACAAGAAAAGAGTGAAAAAGAGGATTTTTTTTGTTCTTTTGAGAGAGGGAAAGAGAGGGGAGAAATGTACAAGAACCAGCTACAAGAGCTGGCGCAGAGGAGCTGCTTTAATCTTCCTTCCTACACGTGCATTAGGGAAGGTCCAGACCACGCGCCAAGATTCAAAGCCACCGTTAACTTCAACGGCGAAACCTTTGAGAGTCCTCACTATTGTTCTACTCTCCGTCAAGCAGAACACTCCGCCGCTGAAGTCGCCCTCCAGTCCCTCTCTAACCGTGGACCTTCTCACTCTCTCGCCGCCAGAATCCTAGTAAGCTTTTCAAAGCTTTTGCTTATTTCCGCCTCTTAAAGCTCTTGTTTTTAAAGCTCTTGTTTTGTATTTTGTTTGTCGAAGCCTTGGGGAGTGATCGGGGTTAAACCTCGATAGCCGAAGGTTCAGTTCCGGTGGGTGTGGGGAGCGGGGGAGTGGAATTTACTTGAATGCCCTTCATGGGGTTAATGAATTAGTAGAACCCAGTAGGATGTTCTTGACTTTTTTAGGCAACGAAAGCGAGATTTCGTTTAATTTCTAAGGGAAATAACAATGGGAACTGGGGAAGTTTCCTTGTGAGAGAAAGGTGTTAGTAACATTGAATGTCTTAATTAATTAAATCTGTGATTTTTAATCTTTTGTCTCATAATTTGGGAAACAGCTGTACTTTCATAATCTGGGTTTGTTGCTGTAATTAATGGCTTAATCACGGGTATTTTGGTCATAAAAATGTTTTCTTTCAGGCCGTCTCAGTTGACTGTCCGAGGAAAACACGGTAGAGGTATCTTAATTTAGTGCAGACTTTAATTAATTCAAGTTGGTGTATGAGCATTTGTCGGTGCAACCTAAAAAAATTTAACCCCAAAACGAAAATAAATGTGAGATGCAAAAGTTTCGTAGATTTTAATGTCTAATTTTATTTCCTGTAAAAATTTGTGGTCCTTTGGGTCAGGTTATCCAATAGCGAAGGATCGGAAAGCCCTGGTTCGGTTTGGGGTTGTCAAGGTTTCCTTTTAATAAAGTCATTTGCGTGTCAACTAAGAGGAACATATAGTTTTGGCAAAAACAAATATGTCACCTTTAAGAGATTATTTATAGGCTTAATCGAGCAAATACGGGTATGGGGTTAAGATGCTATGATTTTCAAAGTTATTATCATTTCCATCTTGTACTAATACAACCAGACTCAACCTTCTTGAGACATAGGTTTTGGTGCATTAATAATATGGATTATTGTTGTACAAGAATTCATATAATGTGTGCTTGGCATAGTGAAAAATTTATAAGTATGAGCAAGCCAATTAAAATGGGGGCTCAGACTTTTGCACGATTGTGCATTGCTACAAGTATTAGATACATTTTAGATAATCATATCTGCAATGTGCATGATAGTGATTGAGATACTTATGTTTATTAGCCACTACCCTTTTGGTGATGTTGTAACTTGTTAGGTGCTTATGCATTTATTGTTTTCATCTTAGTTAGGTTGCAACTCTTAGACTCTTCAATCCTCACATCCTGATAGAAGTAGTTTGTAAAATTAGGAGTGTGTTCATACTGCACGTTCATGCTCTCTAATCTGTTGACAAATTTGTGCATGTTAGTACTCGAATATAAGCCATGCAGTTTCAGTAAATTGTTGTCATTTCATCTGGTTCATTGATGTTAATACCTGCTTTATAATAAACTTTCAAATTCAAAAGAATGATATATTCTGGAAAATTTTACTGTATTTATATCTGAAATTTCTTGAATATGTCCTTTCTAGTTGTCTCTAGCTTTGTTGGGGTTGATACTGATCAGCCTTCATTATGTTAGGATGAGACAGGGGTTTATAAAAACCTCTTACAGGAAATTGCACAAAGAGTTGGAGCTCCATTGCCACAATATACAACATTTAGATCAGGCCTTGGACACCTGCCTGTTTTTACGGGAACAGTTGAATTGGCTGGAATTACATTCACAGGGGAACCTGCTAAGAACAAGAAACAAGCAGAAAAGAATGCAGCCATGGCAGCATGGACATCTCTAAAACAATGTGAGTCCATGTTTCAGATTTCTTGTGGATAAATGTTGGAATGGTGAAATTGGTAACATGTAGTTTCTTGTGTGACTAGAGGAATTCTCCATCTCCTCATGTTTTGAGCTGATCGAAGGATGCTGTGTCTGTCTTCTTGGCAGTATTAAGCTAACTGCTTCTTTATAGCAATTTTCCTGAAACTTTTCATCTAGATTAGAAACTTTGTGCCTAAACTGAATAGTATCTTTTATTTCCAGTGGCAAAAGAAACTGCAAGTTCTTCTTCAGAGCCAGAGAACAATGATGAGCTTGAACAGATCACAATAGCTCGGGCATTGTTGAATTACCGAATAAAGGAAAAGATGGCTATGGCAAACTCCTCCGATGCCCCAATACCATTTACAAAGAAGTTTCCCATTCAGAATCCAAGACCAACAAGTCCACAGCCTCCTGCTACCACCTCAAAAATCCTTCCCTTAATCTGCCCGAAGGTGGCTCCTCGTAACAGATCTATGTCAGCGACAGCAAATGACAAGCCCATACTGCCATCATTGCAAGCACCTGCTCCTGAAAGTCGTGGGGCTTATCCACAGAAATTCCCTGCAGCTGGAGCAACTCCTTATGTTCCCATTCGACAATTTCGGTCAGCTTGCCACGGCATTGCTCCACCAGTGACAATAAGAACAGCAGTGCCTGTTTTCTCTGCACCTCCACGTCTGCCAATATCTGCAGTATCCCCTCAGCCACCAGCATCTGCCATTCCTACTCCGCCAGCACAGTCTGTTCTTCCCGTGCAGCCACCACAATATTCAGTTTCCCCTCAGCAATCACCATGTAAACTCCCCACCCACCTGCTGCGAGCTCCTCCCGTGTGTATTGCTCCACCTGTCACCATTAGGCAAGTGATTCCAGTATTTGCCGCTCCACCAGTACGGAAAGAAGATATTCCATCGGTTAGAGATGAAGATATTGCAACTGTTACTGCTTCTGCCCTGCCTGTTGAACCACCGGCTCAAGTAGAGGAAGCTGCAAGCACAACAGCAAAGAACCTGCAAGAATTTGGGACAGTACAGAGTCTAGAACAACTCAAAAATCTGATGGTAGTGAAGGAGCGAATTTGAGGCAATAGGACAAGAGCTATGGTTTTGTGTTGGTACCCAGTTTGTTTTGTTACTTTTTGTCATCTCATCATATTAGTGTTTTTATCTTATCCTTTCTGTTTTTCTATTTGTTTAGCATCTTTTTTGTTTTCTTAGAAGCTACAGTTTCTGCAGGTTAAGTTAATATCAGCAGTTCCAAATCATTGCAATTAAAGTCATACTATGTCTAGAGTGATGTTGAAAGGGCAATTCTTATTTAGTTTATTTTATTACCCACTGCAGTAGGTTCCCCTGCTAAAAGAAATGAAGAACCCCTGAATCTGATGAGACACGAATGATCTTATGATTTGCCAATTGGGAGGAAATGGTTCTGCCTATTCAATGCTCCTCTCAATACAATTTTGTGATGAGTTTGCCCTATATGTTGTATTTCAAAGGAGCTGTTTCTAGCCAAGCTAATAAATTATATTGAAATCAAAACAATAAGCAAAGATTTAATTGGTTTTAAAGAGTATTGAGTAGCTTTTGCATACTCTGACAATGGCTATTGCATTCTGCTGCCTCTTGTAATGGCTGCTCTATTATACGGTGCTGTATCGTTGAATAGCAAAGTATTGTAGATGACATGATCACAATGGGACCTAGAATTTCCTTTAATTCCAAGAAAAAAATTGACCAAAGTGGTCCCTTGGGAGGACGATGTAATTCAATCAGTTGAAAGTGTACCTTGATAGGGTTGTTAAAGCATTGCATATTAGGCTCCACTCAAGCACTGTTCTTCATGCTGAGATTGACAGCACCATATTTTAGAATGCTAACCATACAAAATGGGTTGGTTTCAGTCGTCTGAAAGGAACATCCTCACTAGCCTGTAAGCCAGAAAACAGGCTTCTTTTATGTTTGAAAATTTTTCACTGTTGAGAATAGGACCGAAGATCTTTACTGGCCAAAATGCAATGTCTTTGTCACTGGTCTAGACTATAGGGCCTAACTGGCAGATAAAACAGATGATATGGCTTTTTTAGGCCTCTTTGTTTCTTTACTCGAAGAGCAGGACAAGTCATAAAGCCAAACTAGTGCTGAGTATTAGTTCTAACAGGGCTTTGCCTGCCTGTCTGTCTCCTTCAGAATAAATACTAGCAAAAGCACAAAATCATAACAACCATATATCTCCTAAAGAACAAGAGTATGCGGTCTGATTCACTGATAATAATTTTTTGTATTTAAAATAATCAGGATTTGAATTTTACTAATATATTACGCGACTGCAATTCAATAAAAATTTTAGTATGAAGTAATGCTTATTTCAGCATCAGGTCATAGAATAAAATAAACTACTAGAGTATGAGTTTAGACAAGAGGCAATGGATGTGGGGAATGTGACCTCACTGTCCCATTAGTAGGTAATTGATCAAATCCTGGGAAAACTGTAAAACATAAAGGAAGTGGGGTAGCTGCTGGCTTGATTCCTTGCATTTAAAACCAGACTCTTTTGATCTTTTACAATCATCATGGGCCAAGCCTCTCCAACCATTTCTGTCTGAAACATTTCACAAGGCTGGAGTTTTGCTGAAATCTCCATACTACTGCTGATAACTCATTAACTGAGTCTAATCTTGATAACTTGAAAACTTACAAGTAAAATCTCTCCTTAAACAATCAACTTTCAATTGTTAAGCAGTACTGTTTAATGAGTATAATATTTTAATAATATTTTGATTATAATGTCAAAGTTTCTTTTACTTAATGGTCAAAATTGATCTCATCATTCAACTTCAAATCTTCAATACAAGATATGTTCCAAATCCATATTCAATCCATCTTTTCAAGTCCAATTGAAACTCCCATTTTTTTTTTGAATTCTCATTTTCTCATCCATGGGCTTAATATTCTACGCTAAGTTCTTGACTGCTCTCTTATTTTCCATAGCAACATTAATGGAAGTTCCAGTACAAAATTTGACAATGCATTAAGATTCAAAAGCATTAGATTCGTTCAGATGTGGCTTTGATAATTTTAAGATATTGTGCGAAAAATACATCAAATTATGTAGAAAATAAGAGTTTGCTTAACTAAGCATTACTTGAATCATTAGTGATATAAGTCTAAACTCCAACTCGAATTTCTTTTGTTTTTATTGTTTATTTGGTAGGTAGGCTCAGCCTAACAAAAAGACTTTTTGCTGTGATATTGAGGACCATAGAATGGTGCAATTTGCCAAGACCTAAACGAGAATGAGGATTCAAAGCAAATGATGAAGCACACAAGTCCCCCTTTCTACAAATAGAGGAAGCAGCCATTGAAGGTGGAATAACATCATTGAGCCTGGCGGATGCTTTACTTGTATCTTGTCATTTTTGTTCATTTAATGCCCTTTTGAATTGATTATTCTTTCTTCAATGAATTTCCAATGTTTTCTTTCCCATTGACTGCTATGGCCAAACTGGTAGACATTAGTTTCATCACTACTGCATGTTTCTAGATTTAAAAAATTAATAGCTTTTTTCAAAGAAAATTTTAAATTCGAAACCCATTTGTCAGTCTCTAAATGTTCCCATTATTATCCTAATTATATCAATTGATGTCATTCACTCAATTTCAAGATAGATATAATTTAGATTTACCTGTTCTTCATATATGTTTTCTTTCGATGTATGTAGTGTACATATTAGTTTCTTTATTCATATATTATCATAATATTTCAAGTCATATAAAACGAACTTGATATGTTTTATATAATGTTTTTGTCTTTGGATTTACTATTGAGATTTAAACTTGAAATTCCCAATTCTGAAATTAATTTTAATATCACCGAAGTTAAAGATTTTTCTTATCTAATTTAGCACTTAGAACAATGTTTTTTTTTTTTTTCACCCCATGAGAATCCAGGATATTATTGTAAGGTGAAGTTTCATGTCAAATGATGTGAAATATAAGAGGCTTATTTCAAGCTTTGATGAGAAGCCATGAAGTTTCATGAGAAAAGAGGAAGATGACAGAAAATCATTCGAGTAAAATATGCAGCCAACCTATCCATTTATGTGACAACAATGGTCCAAAATTCTAGTGCATCTTTGGCCATTCAGGTCTTAAGGAACACACATTATTTAATGTTGGCTTTTGGGTCCTCCACTTTCCAATCTTTTTCTTCACACTTTCATATGAATAACAAATACTTATCTACATGCATCTTGGCATTTGGCCATGGTGAAAAGGGCTTTATCATATTATAGTACAGTTTCAAGTTTTGTTTTTTTTAACCTAAAGGGCAAGATATGGAGGGGGTGACCCCCACCTATCCCCATTGACTTTTTTTTTTTTTTTTGCTTGAGCAACACCCCTAACCCTAGCCACCCAAGAACCCAACAATGCCATTTGGCCATGGTGAAAACAATAGAACATGAAGAAAGAGAGGTGAAATAAAATTATGCTTCAAGGAAGAAAAGAAGAGGAATAGCAAGTTTGCCAAACAAGCAAAGCAAAGTGAGAAAGAGAGAGAGAGACATTGACAGAGTGACACAGTGGCTGAGCTTTGAGTGGGACCAAGTCTCCACTTCAACGACATCAATTCTTCAAGCAATGCCACGTCAGCATTCCATTGATTTACGCAAACATGCGAAGGGGAGGGTTTTTATGGGGGTGTATATGGAGCTACGCCAGACAGGATGGTCCCACATGATTGGACTGATATGGGGCCCAAAGGGATTAAGGAAGCACTAGCATTATTCCTTTCCTATGACAAAAGCAATGGCTAATGGAAAAAGGAGATGGGAACCCTCCACCCATTGCCATGAAGACATAACATCAAAAAAGCAACACAAATTAAACAAAAGAGAGATAGAAGATAAAAAAAAAATTGTGAGCAGAGGGCGACAAAGTGGAAGAATGTTAATCCCATCACCTAAACTTTTCAAAAGAGAAAGAAAAATATACCCATTTGACTTCATTTGTTATTGCTCATCATATACCATTGATTACACATTGGTGGGGGAAATTTGAAATATATTTCTCATGCATACCCTATTTTCCTCTTCTTTTTCAATTATCAACAAATATCACCGTTTGATTAAATAAAATTTATAATTAGATAATACATTAAATATAAATTTTTTTTAATATATAAAAACTTTGAGTATTTATAAGATATATAAGAGTCTATAGTTGATCCAATTTTTGATTAAATTTTGTTATCGAAATCATTTAAAGGAAGTCTTATTAAGATAAATATTGATTTGAATACGAAGTTTAATTTAATTTATTTATGTAATCATTTATAAAAAAATTATATTAAAAGTGACATTTAATATATTTAAATTTAAATTTTAATATTTATAAATTTTTTTTGATCCTTTGATTACAATTTATTTTATATATATATATAAAAGATAAACATTAATTTGACATTAAGTAATATGAAAGATCAGATTTAGGTAAACATTAATGCTGGTAGCCGAAAGGGAGAAAAGAAAAAGAAAAGGATAAGCAACAAAGACTAATTAGACAAAGGAGGATATCGATATGATTTATATGAATCGTGAAGCTCATGTTTTCCATTGCAAAACTTAAGTATTAACAATCATCAAACAAAAGGCAAATATGAAGCCATATCCTAAAGCTTTTAATTTAGTGATTAAAGGTGTTTGAGGAGATATTAAAGACTTAATTTTGAAGCAAGTCTCTCTCTTTTACCGAGTTTTTTTTTTTACTTGCACTAAGATTTTGTCTTTCGATATAAAAAAAATATAAAGTCATTTGGCAGAAATGCAGATGATGATATACAAGAAACAGTACCAAAATGGTTGGTGTAGACATCAAGAATATACTCATTAATCAGCAATTCATGATCTTTACTATTACAAAAATTAGAATTATCATGTAATGTAATGTAATGTGCTGTCCGAAAGAGAGAGAAAGGACCGACAGCACCAAAGATGGAGCAATGAAAAGGGTTAGCTGTTTTCAATGTTTGAAAGTCAATTTCCTTTGCTTTTTGTTTTCTGCAATAGTTTTGTTGTATAGATTCGTCCACATGGTTTTAATCCATTGGCATTTGGCATGCGCTTTGTTCTTGGGCCGCAATAGCCAACAGCCGACAGCAACACCCCGAGAGGATCACAGCAATGCAATGCAAAGTCATAGAGGGCAGGCCGATTCGAAAAAATCTGTTGTCTTTTGAAAATAAGAGGGTTGGTGCGTGAAGGTTGAAACTAAAGCTTGCTTTTCCATTATCAGATCCAAACCAACAAAGAAGTGTTTTCAATCATGTCTGCCCTTATACTCTAAAACCCAGTGATGTGTCTGTGTGTGGAAAACAACACAGTTTTCATTACTTTCACTAAATCCATTGCGTGCATGCAATAAAATTATCATATAAATGATCTTTTATGATGAAAAAAGAAACTGCATTTGTTTTCTACTATGAATTCCAAGTTTTTTTTTTTTTTTTGAAGTTTCATGATCATATGGTTTGATTTTGGAAACAATAATTTCTATTTTCATTCTTTTCTTTTCCACCAGTTCTTTGAGATTATGGTAGAACAGACCGTGAACCATGTCTTTGGACACAAAGTTTCTAAATTAAGGATTCACGAGTCATAAAATACAAATTCCTCTCATTACACCGCCAAATGAACCCTAAATTTCTTAATGATCATACGATCTTGGGTAGCTTTAAAACTTAAAAAACTTCTCGTGTATGCATTAATTTAAAAAGATTAAGAATTAAAAAAAAAAAAAAAACCTTAGCAAAGACAGTTATTTTGAGAGAAATGTGCTCAAACTAACCCTACTTCTCATTTATGCAAATGCCCTTTGAAATATATATATATATATATATATATAATTAAGGAAAATGTAAGAATTAAATACAATCAAGAAAGCAAATCCCACAATTTATTTTTCTTGAAAATTGAAGAGTTCATGCATCAGCTGCTTAAAATGAGATCAAGTACAGAAAATCCCCACATTTTATTTTATTATTAATACTGGTATCTTTTAAAATCCCACTGAAATACACAATCATTGAATGAAAAAGATAAATTTCAACCTCACTTGAATGCAATAATTGTTTTTCATAGCTCTTTCCCCTTTGTTGCTTGTGATACAATTGTAGCTTTCTTGGCCTTTAGCCTCTTTATTTTTCATCAAATTGTAATAATACTTACCAATTAATATATAGTATTAATAAGGTATTTTGACAGCATGTGGAGTCGTGGGTAGCACGTGGTGCTAAGCTAACTTTTCTCGCATGCCAAAAGCAGGTGAAAATTGCCTTCCCATCAAACAAACATTCAAAATTTTTTTTTCATTATTTTTTTATGGATCTGCATTTGAAAATTACGAGTTCGAAAGAATTTAAATGTATATTTTTTTTTCAATCAAATATATAATAGGATAAAAAGATTTAAGGGTAGATTAATATTTAAAGAAAAATCTTTATTCTTTGCACCATAAACAATTTTGTATTATTAATGTAAGGAACCCAATTTTTTTTACATTGATGTAGCCATAGGTGAAGTTATAGAGTGAAAGCAATTAGATTAATATAGTTATAGAGTGGAAGCAATTAGATTAATATAGTAGGATCTATTGCTTGTAGTTTTAAGAATAGAAAATAGAGATAAAATGAAAAATATAGAACCATCATAATTCATATGACTACCATAATTAATTAATTTTTGAAAATTTGTATTTGAGATTATTAAAATTAAATTTTGATTGTTTAATTAAAAGTTTAATATTTTTATTATAGTTGTTTGCTAAATTCTTAAAAAATAGTCGTATCCATTCGTGTTTATATATCAAATTGAGATATAAAAATATTTTGATCAATAAAATTAAAGGTTCAATATTTTATTAAAAGATCTTAATTGCTTATTACAATCTTAAAAAATAATAGTATCTATTTGTATTTATCTATCTGAGATAATTAGATAATTCAAGAAGATTTTCTCATTGATAACGTAACATACAAATTATAACTCTATAGTTTCAGAATTATAAAAAATAGTATAATTTTTTTTCTCGTTTTATAAATTTTATATTTAAAATTTGAGCTTAAAATTTTCGAGCTAAAATCTCAAATTCTAATAATATTGAACCATAATTTATTACTGAGCATAATATTATTAATCAATATTTTCAAATGACTTAACACTTTAGTGCCACATTTGGTAAATAAAATAGATAAAATATAATGATAATCAACTTATATTATATTTAATTTATATTTAAAAATAAAATTATAATAAATATTAATTATAATTTTATTTTATTTTGTTATATTATAATTTTCTATACCAAGCGTAATCTAATAAAATTATACAAACTACTTGTCGATATATATATATAATATGGCATGGTATTGGTATGAAATGTTAAATAACCAAACAAAGAATTTATAATTGAATGTTGAATGTCTTGTTTTACGAAAAAGAAAAGAAGAATGAAAGCAAGGAATTTAAGGTTGTCCGAATGTCTCTCCTTAACAAGAATATATTTTGCTGTGGTAATACAAATCCAAGACCGAACAGAGGGAATGGTCTGCCTCTGAGGCCTAAAAATATTTCCCAAATAAAAAAAAAAGAAATATTATTTAAAGCCAATGGTTCCTCTCTCTTTTTTTTTTTTTTAAATTATTTTGGGGATTTATTTTTAGAAATTGTCCTTGTTCCACTAGGACAATCTCGAGACTGCCACTCAATCCTCTTTATATATTTTTTATATTTCGTTTTTTTTTCCTTTTTTAATTAATTGATAAAGAATATTCTTGTCTTTTGGCTTATTGAATTAAACAAATTAGTAGACGTAAATCGATAGAAAAAAAAAGGTTGATTATTGGCATCTTCCCCTCTTTAGACTATTTTTTTCTTATAATAATAATTCAAGTTTTGGATAAAAAAATTATAAGTGTTGAGATTTAAATTTTAATTTTTTTAAATAATATTTTTAAAAATAATTAAATTAATTGAGTTAACTTTTAAATTTTAATTTAATATTATTATAACTTTAATTTTATCTCTTTTTTATTCCCAACTTGATTGAACCAAACTTTGCTTGTGCATAATTATCAACTTTTTATTTTTTTAATTTATGTTGAAACTTAGGGTTCAGATACATTGGTATGAATTTGATTAATCAGTCATTTTTTTTTCTATCTATCTATAAATTAGAAGAGTCAACTATCAAAACAAATTTGATTTTCCCATCAGTTTCTGATCATTTGGAACATTAAATAAATCACCAACTAGTCAATAAAGAAGGGAAATAAAATTGAAAAGAAACAGCAACAGTCATCATCATTACAAGTTTGGAGACTTTAACAGGGAATTTGTAATGTTGTTTGGAGAGAGAGCTCTTCAACACACGCAGAAAAAAACAAAACTTGAGTTTAAAAGCCAAAAAAGAAGGCTGGAGTCATGCCACTGTGTTTGACTGATCAATCATTCTTCAAAATTTCCATCCTCCATTGATGAGGTTTCTAGAAACCTTGACTTTGTTCTTCTTTCTGACTGACTCACTCGGCTCCAATGGCATTAAGAAAACCTTTAACTGAGGCCTGAAAGAAACCCAAAGTTACAACCAATTGAAAATATCAAGTACTCTTCAAGGTAAGTGCATAACTGAGAAAAGATATAATCTGGAACTTAGACACTTGAAATGCTAATGATGGGTTTTAATCGTATCTAAAACTTAGGCACTTGAAATGCCCATGGTGGGTTTTAATCTTTAGATATGCTTTCACAGTGTGGATTGGATAAAATGAAAAAAAAAAAAAAGCTTTGATAACCGTAGAAAACAGAGATCTTTCAACTAATCTATTTGTGATGAGGTGGTATATATTGATAACCAAACACCTAGCCTTATAAGACAAAGACAGACAAATCCGAAAGGTAAAAAATACAAGATGGTTTGATTTTGTTAGTTTAATACTATTAATGTTTTTAATGTTAATTTTGAATGTTTTATCAGATTTTATTATGTCAGAAGAAGAGTTAGGGATAACATGTCATTTCAAACAGGCAATGGGGACAGTAAAGTAAAGAAGGTGAGCTGGTGAAATATTAAAATAAAAAAAATGTCTGGTAAGTGTGTCGGTTTGCGTGCAAATGAACTCTCTTTCTCTCTCTTTATTCCCTCCTAAGACTTAGATCATTCGCTGTCATAACCTATTCTCTCTCTTCTATTCTCTTTTGACAAATTTTTATATTTTGTTGGTTCTTTTTTTCTTTGTCGTTAAAACACTTTGAAGAGTTCAAATCTTTTCTTTGTTTTAAGAGACTCTTCTTCTTCTTCAACATGGTTAAGATTTCAGATTCTCTTTACGTTTGTGAGGTTGGTTCTTGCAAAACACCAGTTTTTTTGTGATGCTACTTCTTCTGGGCTCTCTTTTTTGAGAGAGCCTTTCAAAGTTTTTTTTATTTTATTTTCTTCGATAGTGGGTTGGGTTGTTAAGAGTAGTAACCAGTTGAAGCTCGAGAAACCTTTTCAGTGATATCGAGCTTGTTTGGTAGCAGTGATCAAGATTTGTTGGGGTTGTGGTTTTGAAAAACGTTTTCAAAGTTGGATCTTTGGGGCAGATTTTGAGAGCCATTTTATTTATTTTAATTCATTTCACTGGCTTGATCATCATCAGCTAAACAAAATAAAAAGACAAAAACGACCCACTTGGCTTTTACTCGAGGCTGTTTCAAATCAAAGCTCCACATTTTCTCTTCTTCTTTCTCTTTCTCTTTCTCTCTCTTTTGTTTCATATATCTCATAAAAAAAGGACGGACTTCACTAAGAAACAAAAGAATCTTAGTTCTAAAACCAAACAAATCCTCCAAAACAAGCGGCTCTTCTATCACTCAGCTCACAGCTTCTCTCTCTGTGTCTGATCACTTCTTCATATAAAAAGAAAGATTGGTTCTTCCAATCTTGGTTGTAGCAAGAAATGGCTATGGCGGTGGCCCATCACATGGAGAGCAGCAGTGGCAGTGGTAGTAGCATCAGCAAACATCTTGATGCTGGCAAGTATGTTAGGTACACAGCTGAGCAAGTTGAAGCTTTGGAACGAGTCTATGCTGAGTGCCCCAAGCCAAGTTCCTTGCGGAGGCAACAGTTGATAAGGGAGTGCCCCATTCTTTCCAACATTGAACCGAAACAGATCAAAGTTTGGTTTCAAAATCGCAGGTAGGAAAACTTGATCTTGGGTTTTGTTTTTTATTATAGTCGCTAAAAACTATAGAAAAATTGGGTATTATTTAGATGAGTAGTTTCTTTTTTTTTTTTTTTTGAGTTAGAAAAATTTAATTATGGGGTTGTCATTGGGGTGCGCAGGTGTAGAGAGAAGCAAAGGAAAGAGGCTTCAAGGCTGCAGACTGTGAATAGAAAATTAAACGCAATGAACAAACTGTTGATGGAAGAGAATGATCGGTTGCAAAAACAGGTGTCTCAGCTGGTTTGCGAGAATGGGTATATGAGGCAACAACTGCATACTGTAAATGTATCATCTTATAGTCCCTTGCTCTTGATCTTCTACACCTCTCACTTAACTGTATCAAAAGATGTAATGTGAAAATTTGTGTCCTTTATTTTCATTCTAAGTGGAATTTTACTACTGGATATTGTAATTTAATTTGTTTTATGCCCTTCTTTTGAGAATTGAATCGTCTTAATTTGCAATCATGGTTATATGCGAAGTTTGTGTCCGATGCTCCCACGTGTAACTTTGTTTTTGTTATTGGTTCTTTCTATATATACACAGTTCTACCCTTATCACACTTCTTTTGTAATTATGCCGCTTGCTGCTTACTTTGTGTTTAGAGGATTATTTTGGCCAATTGCTATAAACAAAGATTATACATTTTCTGTCTTTTCCCTTTCTATGTATTTTGACATTATTTCTGTTTATTTTTGGATTGTTTTGCAGGCATCAGCAACTGATGCAAGCTGTGACTCTGTGGTTACCACTCCTCAGCATTCATTGAGAGATGCCAATAACCCTGCTGGGTAAGTTAGACTATTAACTACAATGCACCCACACCCTCTCTCTCTGTCTGTCTTTTTTTTTTTTTTTTTCTAATAATTGCTGTGAATTTCTTTATTCTCTTGGCAGACTCCTCTCCATTGCAGAGGAGACCTTGGCAGAGTTCCTTTCCAAGGCTACGGGAACTGCTGTCGATTGGGTCCAGATGCCTGGGATGAAGGTTTGTCATTGTCCCATACAGATGCTATTTTCCTATATTTTTTCATTGATTGATTTTGCATATGCATCTTGTTATATAATTTTTCTTGTGTCACAAATCGGAAGTTTCTCAGCCCCTTTGTTTGAATCTGTTGTCAGCCTGGTCCGGATTCGGTTGGGATATTTGCCATTTCCCAAAATTGTAGTGGAGTGGCAGCTCGTGCCTGTGGTCTTGTAAGTTTAGAACCTACAAAGGTATGAATTCTAATGTCATTATAAAGAAGTGAGACATTTTATTTTTATATATGGCCTATTTGATCTGAACAAAAGAATTAAATTATTGTTAATAGATTGCAGAGATTCTTAAAGATCGTCCATCTTGGTTGCGGGAATGTCGGAACCTTGAAGTTTTCACCATGTTTCCAGCTGGCAATGGCGGAACAATTGAGCTTGTATACACACAGGTGAGGAAGAATCATTCCAATATTTATTTTATTTATATATGAATGAATGTTTGCCCTCATGTTATGAGGAATGACTAAATGAGAACTGTTTTAGACGTTCGCTCCAACTACTCTGGCTCCTGCAAGGGACTTTTGGACACTAAGATACACTACAACTTTAGAGAATGGCAGTCTCGTGGTATGCATGTCCTCCACCTTTTATTTATTATACTAAATAATGTAATTCAGTGGTATGTATGAGTAACTAAGAAAGTTAACGTTGAAGTATTGCATCATGTGGTTCTGGCAGAGCATTTCCACTGCTTATTTGAGTGTCCTATGATTGTTTGATTTGAGGAGTTATGCTTTTTGTTTATTTATTTTTTCTCCCTTGAATGTCCATGTAATTTGATATACATGCTTCTTGAAAGTAACATGATTAGAGATGCTGAAAGGATTTTTCTTTTTTGCTCTCTTTTCCAAGGTCTGTGAGAGGTCTCTTTCTGGTTCTGGTGCTGGCCCAAGTGCAGCTGCTGCAGCTCAATTTGTGAGAGCTGAAATGCTTCCTAGTGGTTATTTGATTAGGCCTTGTGATGGTGGAGGGTCAATCATCCATATTGTTGACCATTTGAATCTTGAGGTAGGACTTCTGATAAGTGGGTACTTTTCAGACCTCTTTTTTGGCAAGACCTAATTTCTGGACACCTTATTGCAGGCATGGAGTGTGCCAGAGGTGCTGCGCCCGCTTTACGAATCATCAAAAATAATTGCTCAGAAAATGACGATTGCGGTGAGTAGATTCTTTAGTTTAAGGTCATAATGTACTAGTGCAACTCTAAAATATTGGTCGTTTAATCAACGGGATCAAATAGATTGATTAACGAAATTACAAAATTGGAGGATAAAACTTTGCATGTAAATCTTTCGGGGTGCTTTAATTGTTGCAGGCTGTGAAATGTGCACATCATGATTGACAGTGCAGATGTGTGTTTTATAAATTCTGTTTTATGATGATAGTGCTTATTTATTCCGTTCGCTTGTACCCTACTGGGTTTGATTGTCCTCTAAACACAAAAAATATCAAAACAGAAAAGTTTCTTTGATTTTCTTTTTTATTGCCTCAAAAGGCATTTTCTGGAGGTATTGATTAATTGATCTATGTGAAGGCACTGCGCTTCATCAGGCAGGTTGCTCAGGAGACAAGTGGTGAGGTGGTTTATGGTCTGGGCAGGCAGCCAGCTGTCCTGAGAACTTTTAGTCAAAGATTAAGCAGGTAGCCGCAAGATTATATCAAATATTTGTCTCTATTTAAATTACAAGTTCAATTGTGCAAAAGAAATGCGCATATGTATGCGCACAACCTGTTTACTTGAGCATTTAAGAATCTATTATGCTCTGTAGTTTCAATGAAATATTTTTACTATCATTTACTTTTTAGGGGCTTCAATGACGCAATAAATGGATTCAATGATGATGGCTGGTCAATAATGAATTGTGATGGTACTGAGGATGTCATAATTGCAATTAATTCAAGCAAGAGCTTGAGCAGCACTTCAAATCCTGCCAATGCTCTTTCGTTCCTTGGGGGTGTTTTGTGTGCAAAGGCATCCATGCTGCTTCAAGTAAATTCTGAAAAGCCCCTGAAGATTGTATTCTACGATGCTGACAATATTAACCTTATATGTCTTGTTATTGTTTCTGTCAGAATGTTCCTCCTGCTGTGCTTGTCCGCTTCCTGAGGGAGCATCGCTCAGAGTGGGCTGATTTCAATGTTGATGCTTATTGTGCTGCATCATTGAAGGCTGGAACATATGCTTATCCTGGGATGAGACCTACAAGGTTTACTGGGAGTCAGATCATCATGCCACTGGGCCATACGATTGAAAATGAAGAGGTATGTCTTTTGGGTTCATTTTGTTACCCTGTGGTATGCTAGTTGCTTGATGTGTAAGCAAATAGAGTTCTACAAATTTACAAATTTAAGACATGTCAAATATTCACTATGATTAATTTTAGTAGCATATATTATGGTCTTTGAAATGCACTTCCTTTTTCCTTTTCATCATTTACTTTGAAGTTTTAATCCTAGTAGTTTGTGATTGTAAGCAATCGGTATTGCTTCTTTCAAATGATTAATCCTTTTTTTTTTTTTTTGTACTCTACAAGAGTTCTCATAAAATGCATTTTCACTTTTATTTTCTCCTGTTTTCTGATTAAAGTGTCACCTTTATTATGTATCTGTCCAATAGACTTTGCTAATGCTGTAATTATCATGTATCAGCTACTCGAAGTTATAAGACTTGAAGGCCATTCTTCTGCGCTAGAAGATGCCTTTTTATCAGGGGACATTCATCTATTGCAGGTGCTTTTCTAACAATTCCCAGTTGAATGTTGATGTTTAGTTACATGTTCAATTGGAATATAAAACCTGACACTTTCTGTCATTTTACGGGTTTTGCGCATGTTTAAAATGAAATCAATATGTTATTTTGCTTGATGCCATCTGCGACTGCATTTGCCATCAAAATTTTTAAACCTCCTGAAATTTCATTTAACATCTTTGATATGTTTGCAATAAATTGTATTGTGATTAATTACATTAATTAATCCTCATTGCTAATTGGAACATGGATCAACCTTATCTGCGAGAGTTAGATTTGTATAGCTAGATTTATGGTCTTCCAGCCAATGGTTAAAATCATGATCTCAGTTTATTTAAATTGTTCTTCATATTTTACAGCTGTATGAGTGTCAAAAATGCGTTGTTGAATATGACCTTACTTTCCCCAACCTTGCTTATATATTTAATTTATCTGCATTATCATCTTTGCAGATATGCAGTGGAATTGATGAGAATGCTGTCGGAGCCTGTTCAGAGCTTGTGTTTGCTCCAATTGATGAGATGTTTCCAGATGATGCTCCACTGCTACCTTCTGGATTCCACATTATTCCATTGGAGTCAAAATCAGTTAGGTTTCACTGCACTTCACCTGAAGTTTTCCTGCTTTTTCCGTTATCAGTTTTTATAACAATTGGTGATCATGTGGGGAAAAAAAAAAACTTTCGCCATAAAGTAGGGGAAACAAGAGAACTAACAGCATGTTTATGTTTGAGCACATCTAGTGATAATACCATAAAAAATGCTAATGCCATAGATTTATGCCATAATGAGTGCCATAACAGGACACAAATTTGCTCAACTATATTGAGATGAATAATAAATGCCATTATGGAGTTTCTGATTTCAGCTTTTAATCTTATTTGAAGTGGTATTGAGGATGATCAGTCTTTATACAAAGACAAGATACTGATGGTGTTATTATTCAGTCTGATACACAGGATTCATTGACTACAAACAGGACTTTGGATCTGACTTCAAGTCTTGAAGTGGGGCCTGCAACAAACCATGCGGCAGGAGATGCTCCATGTCAGAACACACGATCAGTATTGACAATTGCCTTCCAGTTTCCCTTTGATAGCAATCTTCAGGATAATGTTGCAACCATGGCACGCCAGTATGTCCGTAGCGTCATTTCTTCTGTCCAGAGGGTTGCCATGGCCATATCTCCATCTGGATTGAGCCCAGCTGTGGGACCAAAGCTATCTCCGGGCTCTCCGGAAGCACTTACACTGGCTCACTGGATCTGCCAGAGCTACAGGTGAGTTGGCTTCATGCCACAATGAAATTTTGATGTGCTTTTTTGAATAAACGTTTGTCTTTGTTTTACTTATTAGCTCATTAATCCTCTTTATACATATATATTGTAGTCGCTAATGTGTCATTTTTGTTTCATTTTCCTCAGTTTCCATTTAGGGGCAGAATTGTTGAAATCTGAATCTCTTGATGGTGACTCAGTATTGAAGAATCTTTGGCAACATCAGGATGCAATATTGTGTTGTTCGATGAAGGTACAGCGACAATTCCATTGAAAAATCTTGAATACTAGTAGCATATCTTCAAACCATGTATATCAGTTTCCACATCTTCAAACCATGTATATCAGTTTCCACAAGCCGTTGATCATATCAAGTATTTCTCAAGTAGTGCATCTGTTTTTGTTTTGCAGTCTCTGCCAGTTTTCATCTTTGCAAATCAAGCTGGGCTGGACATGCTTGAGACAACTCTAGTGGCTCTACAAGACATCACACTGGATAAAATATTTGATGAGTCTGGACGCAAGGCATTGTGCTCCGATTTTGCCAACTTGATGGAACAGGTTAGTCCTAGATTGCTGTTAAAATGGCGTTGTTTTGTTTCTAAAATAGACTACACAACACAACACATAATTCGCTAAAGATTTCTACTTTCTTAGCAGGGATTTGCTTACTTGCCGGCTGGAATCTGCATGTCAACAATGGGACGCCATGTCTCATACGAACAAGCTGTTGCTTGGAAAGTCTTTGCAGCTGATGAGAGCACTGTCCACTGCCTGGCCTTCTCTTTTGTAAATTGGTCTTTTGTGTGAACATTTTATAAATTATTTGTCCGACACCCCAGCTTCTCCCGTAGCCGAACCTGGAAATGATGATCAAATCAGGAAAAAGGGAAAATGTAAAATGAAATGAAGAACAGAAAAAGTTTTTGTAATATTCAAGCTCTCAGCTCAGGTTTGCATTTTATTATCTAATTAAATTTTTTTAGTGCACCCAAATCTAGTTTAAACCATGTAAAGGTTTCATTGCTGTTAAGAACTGCTTTTAGGAACAGAAACTTATCTCTAAACATTTTGCTACAGAGTCCATGCCTGCATTTCATTCAAACTCCATCTAATCTTCCTAGAAAACTCTGCAAGTGATAAGGTCTGGCATTATTAGGAAGGTGCCTATCTGGACTTCATATCTGGGTAAACATTATATTTTTGAAAGTAAATGAGGGATCAGAAAGAGGCATCCACCCCAGAGTTGGTATGATCTGGCTATGTTGGTTCCCAAAGCTTGAATATTTTTCAGGCATTGATGTTTCTTGTATGCATTAGAACTGACATTGGATCCAACAGATACTTGTAATAACGACGTTTGACCAATAGATACTTGTAATAATAACACTATAACAGTCGGCTTTTAGCGGGGATACTTTTGAGTGAATATTGGTTGTAGATATAGACCAGACCTAGTAGCTAGTAGTACTTCCGCGTGAGAAGGGCAGCACTCAACTCAGCAGCAGCAGCAGAGAATTTGACAACAAGTGGGCCCTGAGTTGTGTTGCGTGCACTGAGAATTTTGAATTGTATCTGCATTTGACTTCTATTCACCCAGTGTGGCCAACCATATCCATGCTTTTAAGTTTGGAATCCTGCATTTGACAACCAGAACAAGGAGAAGCTCAATAGTACATATATTTGACCTACAGACACACCAACTAGTGTACACGTTTACATTGATGTGATCCAATCATTCCATCTCCAAAACTGTATATGCCCTCACAGCCTGATTACAATACGAACTTTACAACTTTAAAATCACACAACCATGCTTTTTTTTTTTTTTAATCTTTTCAGACACCGGAGAACGCTACAAGGAAAGATACTTGGCATAAGAAAATGCTTCACATGGCATTCTACAACGAGCTGGTTTCTCTTCCTACTTCAAATTTTCCTTGTTCCCTTTTATCGGGATGCAAGTGACCAAAAGTTCAAGAGAAACGAAGGCAATGCAGTAAACCAGCTAATGAAGGCCATTGCAGTAGCAGTTTCAAACTGTGCGCAATGGTTCTGTGCACAGCTGTTAAGATCATTGTCAATAAGAACAGTGATACCCGCTGAAGCACAAGCCGCGGCAAACGTCAGAGTGGATGTTATCTGCGAGGTAAAACAACATATAATCAAGAAAACAAAACAACACAACAAAGAGCAGACAAAAAATTTCCAAAACTTTTTGAGCTCTTAAGGAAGTAAGCAAGACGTGGTAAAAGGTTCCACATAATTCAAACTTGTCTTTCTGATCAAATTTACTCCACATAATTAGCTTGTACTGCATATGCTATGCAAGTTTTGTCTTCTAAGGGTAATTCGCAATTAGTTCTACAGGAGTCCGGGAATTGCCATGAGGATTGCAAAAAAATCATGGAAATACTGAGGCTTCTTCAAACAAAGACTGGTAAAAAAGTAGGAATCGTTTTTCAGTTTTGAGTAAAACATATAACAGAGTGCCACCAAAATTCAAATCCGTTTTCCAGCATAACTTTGAGTTATTAGTGACTATTAGTCCTCTACTAGTTATTGGCCTACGCAAAACACCAATGTGTTATAGCAGCATACATCAGAACCCATGGCAAGTCAATGAGCTTTTCTTGGAAAATCACTTTGAAGACTATTAATACAATTTTAGTGCTTTTAAAGCCAAATTTGTCAAGGAGGAAAGAAAGTTGAAAAATATTGTAATGAGTAATGATTAACTGCATTTTTCAAAGAGAAGAATGAAGCTTTTCTCCAAAAAGGAGTCACAAGGTAGACCAAGCATTTTTTAATGTCTCAAATACAATGTCCTAGCAAACTTCAGCCGATAGTTGAGGCCATAGCAAATGTGCCAAATCTAGCAGTAATGCAGGTAGATACAGCCTATAGGATACGTTTATCAGAAGGCCACACATGCAAATTAAAGATTTTCGCTGGTTTAACAAAAAACAAATAGGACATCACATGTGTTCCAACCTTTTAGCTCACTTGTAACCCCAAAAAGTAGAACATCTTACCCCATCTCCAACTGTAAACAAAGTAACAACACGATAATTCTGCAAGGAACGCCTCACTAAAAGAGCATAAATGTCAATAATAGCTAGCGAAAAGCTCCACAAACTCTGCAAGCCAGTGGCAGCAACAAGGTAGCTGATGTAGCAATTAACAAAAAAAAAAAAACAATCCAAGTTATGAAAGAGCCATGATAACTTCAAATGCAGATTTGCTTCACTTTGTTCATCATATGTGGATTTCAAAGTTAAAAGAAAGATTGCCTATAAAAGATGCTGAAGATAGAAGAGGTTCAAATAGTAATGCATAGAGGAAATAAGAACTGAATAATGTAAAGAATCTGTTAAGGGAAATCAAGTTCTGAGAATCCAGATCTTACAACCTCCCTTCAAAGCGAAATGAGGTCTAAACCAAATTAAGTTCTCATCCTTGGAAGAGTTACCAAGTATGAGAACCTATCTCTTACACCCCCTTTTTATGATCATCAAAAAGCCCAGAAAATAGAGCACCTAGAGATTTTCATGTAAGACATACTACAATTGGCACTTGCCATTTTCAAAGAGAGTTTGATATAAGACACCATTAGGCATATAAAACATGTCAAATTAGCAAATTAACCTAAGGTTTTAACAGCCAATGGATCAGGCTTGAAATAAACCAAAAAGGCAAAAACACAAAGCACGAATTGAGGAAAATATGCTAATTGCCATATCTGAAACATATTTGCAATTGGTTTCTGTCCCTTTTTATCCAAAATTTCTCCATAGTAAGCCCCACATCACACAACTGTAATTTGTTCTTCAAAGTGGGTTTTTCACATTTTAATCCATAAAATTAAACTTACATTCACTAATTAAACTAGCTAATTACACTTTCAGTTAATAGATGAACTAAAATATTCATGATTTTACAAGATATACTATCCTATAGATGCAACTAAAGATAACCCACAATGCTTAGATAGATTAATGGCAACCCATGTAGCCAAACAAGCAGCCTCCTACATTCAATTCAAGTATTCTAAAGTCCTATTCATAAATGCACAAACAAGCTGGTTCTGGTATTCAATTTATAGCATCATTTCCATGCAAGTTTTAGAGCATTGATCGTTATCATCACTAGCAAATCCCAACTAAGCAGAACAAACCCTTTTGTCTTGATCAAAAGCATTACCAAAAGGCTGTAACTGAAGGAAAATCACTGGTGGTTGCCATAATACAAAGTCCCACAACTGCAAAAACGAACTGGCATATTCGCAATGCAAGCCCTCCTGGCGTACCAGGCTTCCCCTGAATATCCTTCATCCTTACTCTTGCTAACTCGTTGTTACCGCCACCGCCTCCGCCTATGGTCGGTGGATCTTCCACTGGGTGAACCGAGGGATGGCTCACATTCATCTCTTCCACTAAATCTCCTTCAATTCATACTCGCAGCTACTTATCAAATACCCAAAATTTTTAAAAAACAGTTTTTTTGTTTTCTTTTTCTTTTTCTCTGTGTTTGGCTGTTACTTTGAGTTGCTGAAGGTTCAAGCTTTCACTTTTTGTTGGGTTTTGAACGCACTCGCGATGGGATTGGCTGGGAGAAAGGGGTCTGTTTGGGAAACGGTTTAATGGAATTCTCGTTCTCAATTTTTAACTGGATTTGGAAAATGATTGCTTGGATTAATTGACCGTTTTGGCAAAACACATGCCTATGCTTATTTTCCCATCCTTTTAATTTAATTAATTAACAAATTTTCTCTTTGCTACTTATTCTAAAGCTTGTTCAAGTTCAACCTAATTATTGAATTATAAGAAATAAACCTTTTTAAATATAAATAGTAAATTTTATCCTATAAAATTAAAATTAAAATTTTCATAGCTTTTGTTTAAATCTAATTTTTTTTGAATGACCTTATAAATATATTTTCATAGTGATATATTTAAAATTTTATTTTTAAATTACTCCCCACGGCTATCATATTTCGATTAAAAAAATCATTTTTAAACTAATTATTGTGAATAAATATATTGATTACAATGATTTATTTTGAATCTTTTTTCAATGTGATACAAATATTGGGTAAAAATTATAACTGAAATAATAATTTTTTTAAAATGCGATCAAAACATTTTCAAATTTTATTTGTGTTTAATTTTTAAATAATTTTAAAGATGTATTCTCGTGCATCAACTTAATGTATTTATAATTTAATCTTAAAATGCTTCTCAAAATAACCAATTTTAGACCCAAAAATAAGTATATTGTTTTTTCGTCGCCCATAAATCCACAAAATGTTTTACCTTAATTCCTTGCAAGAAATATAAAAATTAATCGATGGTACTCTCCTGTGTTGTAAATAAGGATATGTTATTCTCGTCGTCGTATATTGTTTTATTTTAGCGACAACTGTGATAAGGAAAGCCGAGTGATTTAGTCACCTTTTGTCTAACCTACCAACGAAAATGACTTGTCCTAGCTCCTAATATCCTCAGTGTCATCAGTCATCTCAACCAACATCCATCTCATAATTTTAGTTAAACACATAAAAAAAAATTGAGGGTATTTAACGGTAAAAAAGATATAATGATTTTTTTTTATGTTAAAAATTTTTAATAAATAATTAAAAATAATTTTAATATTTATATTGATTTAACATATCAAATTAATTTGATATATTTAATATCACATCAATTTAATATTATTATTATTATATAATTTCTTATCGCTCATATATAAATATGAAAGATTCAATTACTCTTAAAGTAAATTTATCTTACTCTTAATCTTTTTTATTACTCTTATTTGGACATCATTTATTTTGATTTATATGTTAAAATATAAATATAAAAAATACTTTAGATCTTTATTTTTAACTATAATTCCCTTCTATTTCAAAAGTATTCTTAAGATTGAAGTTTGACACAAATAATATGATTTGAGTTAAATTAAAGGATTTGTTGATCAACATCATTGTTAAAGGAACTAATGTTAAATGAAAATGATTTTAAATTTAATAATTAATGATTGAACTATAATTTTATAAATAAAATTCATCAGTTAAAATATTTTTTTATCTCATAACAAATATAATTTAATGATTTTTATATCAATATATGTTATATCAATAATAACATCATAAATATGTGAATATTAATTATGAAATCCAAACATTTTGCAACAATTCATGCTTACTAATTTATGGCACCATTGCCAACCATTATCTATTATACTTTTCATGTTTTTATGACAATTATTACCAACTTTAACTTTATTAATTATGATTGTGTTATTTTAATTATTTTTACTGTCCTTTCCGTGCTTTTTTCTTTTTTCCTTAAGGCTGTTTTGTTGTGCTCAAGCCAACACTCAGCAAAAGGCTGATGAGGTGGCCACCAACTCCAAAAGTCATTTTTCTAGCAAAACATGAGTCAAATCAAAATTGATATTCTATTTTGGTAAATGACTTTTTCACTTTAACTTTTCTTTGGGTTTTAAAAGATAAAAAATTATATAAATATTTTATTCAATAATTAATTTATTAAAATTAATTTATTTTTCCATTATTATTATTTTTATTAATCTAAACACACATTCATATTGCAATAATTATGAAACAAACATGTGAAATTCCCTCCAAGATTTGTTTGAAAATAACGAAAAAATTTGCGTGATAACCAAACGAACCCTAGAATAAAAATTCCAGGGGTACGTTAGGAATCCAAAATAAAAATGATCACTCGCACGTGCCATATGCAATCAATTTTAGTGCTGAAAAAAGATAAAGACATGCCAACCATGACCATCCATGAGCAAAACCATGCGCAGCAGACTATGCTAACGTCAGAAAGCCTTTGACAGAATTTGGAACGTTATTGGGTGGTTCAGATTCCACGTGCACAACGCGTTGACCTTTAGCTTCATCAGATGGATGTGGTTGGTATGCCTGTGTGGATCTGTTTCTCACCTGTCGTATGGAGGTCATGGAAGTCCATTCCCATCACCAACGTACCATCATACATCCATCCATACATACATGATATGATCCCATCCCATGAGCATTCATCAGAGGGATATCGATTGTCAGAGGCTGCGTGGCCTTTTTTGTTTGTTTTTTCCATCTTTCTCTTTCTTTTTTAACAACAACAAATATTAGGGGTTTTTTTTTTTTTTAATTTTCTTCTCCTCCTTGCTCTTTAATCTCCCGCTTTTCCCCCATCTTTCGGCAATTCCTAGATTCGCCAGTTATTTTTAGGGTTTGCAGATCTATTCAGCTTCTCTGCTTAACCTTTCCTCTTCTTCACCATGTTTTGGAAGCTCACAGCTCTATCGCCCTCTTCTCCCGTGAGTAATTTTTATATTAATTAATTAATTATTCCTGTTCTTTTTCCTTTCTTTTTTTTAAAAAATTTTTAAGTTTTATTTCCTTAAGCTTTACTTGCTACTTTGATTTTCTTTCTTTTTTTGGGAGTAATCTTTTCGAATTAATGCTTTTCTTTCAGCTTAGTTAATTTGAGATTTACTTTGGATTCATCGATGCCATAGCAAAGTAGTTTCAGTGACTTAGATTTGGAGAATTTCATTGTTCAATTTGATGAATTCACTTTGATTTTAAAGCTAGTTTTTGAGTTGGAAATGGTTGAAGTTCAATTTATCTGACGCTGCACTATCTTATTCAGTGACAACTGTTATCAAATCTAACTTGCGAAACTCTGTTAAGCTATGTATATATGGTTAGCTGGATGTACTATCTAGATTGATGTTCATTCTCTATTTCCAACGAATTGTTTTAAGGATGTTGTTGAGTGACTTATTAGTTTTGTGTTTACCGTGACTTTGGTTAGTTTCATTGACTGTGATGTTCTTTTGTAGGTGGAGTCGATATTGGACAAGGAAAACTTCACTTTGGAAGAGCTTCTGGATGAGGAAGAAATAATCCAAGAATGCAAAGCTTTAAATAGTCGACTCATCAATTTGTAATTTTTGCCACTATATCAAATTGTGCCTTAATTTTGATTATGTTTTTATTTTTCGATCAGTTTCTACTCAGTTGTAATCAGTTGGAATTTAGAAGTTATTTGCTATAATTAGAATTGCAAAGAGTTTGTATAATCTGATTGAGAATTAGTCTGGCTTGATGTTCATCATGTACTTAATTCTTTTGTACAGTCTACGAGATAGAGCCCAAGTTGAGCAGTTATTGCGATATATTATCGAAGAACCCCCAGAGGATGCTGACAGCAAACGGGTCTTCAAGTATGTCATCTTCATTAAATCAGGAATCAGGAAATATACTTCTTTCTGTTTCCTGGTATTGTAACTTTTCTGATATTAATTATTCTTTTTCTTAATGATCTATTCTTTTTTATGTCTAGTTTCCCATGTATTGCCTGTGAGATATTTACATGTGAGATTGATGTTATTCTGAAGACTTTAGTCGAGGAGGAAGAGGTATGAATTTCATTTTCATTGTTGATTATGTATCTTAGTTGTGGAAATGATTTTGTTTCATATGCTTTTCTGTTTGTTGCAGTTGATGAACTTGCTTTTCTCCTTCTTGGAACCAAACCGTCTTCATAGTGCCTTGCTAGCTGGTTATTTTAGTAAGGTGTGTTTGTTCATTTTTTGATTTGTTTCTGTGTTGTTTCATGTCATGTTTTCTTTGACTACTGCCTTGGTTTTTTTTACCACTTGATAAGTTTCATTTGCGTTGAAATTTTAGGTTGTTGTATGCCTTATGCTACGGAAGACTGTTCCACTTATGAACTATGTTCAAGTAAGTAAAGCTTTTGTGTTTACTATCACATTCTTAGAGTTCTAGCAAAATTTGTTGATACGTTTCTTCTATAACGTTTACTGTCAATTTGAACTTTACTTTGCTGCCCAGTTGAACTTTGCTTGATATCTTGTTGCCCAGTTGAACTTTGCATGATTTATTTGACATCGACAGGCATGATTTACCTATAAATCTTGTCACCTGTAAGCTTAGTTGAACATACTGAATTACTGTTGTAATCATTCTGTGGACTGTAAGTCCTTTTTATCTGGTAAATTGGTCCTTTGGGTTTGGTACGGTAGCAACACTATAAGTCTAGTGACTTGCATGACAAAATTGACCATGACAAAATTGAGCTCGCCAGTGGTTTATGATCCCTGAACTACAAACGATAGCATGTTTTTATTTATTTATTTATGTATATGAATTTACCGAGACAGATTATTAACAGGTACATCAAGATGTGTTCCACCAACTGGTTGATTTGATAGGAATCACATCCATCATGGAGGTACCTGAGATTTTGTGTTGTTTTATTGCTTTAGTGGATTTGATTCGGTTTACCATTTAATATGTTCGGGTCAAAGATTGATATGAGATGCTCCTTTTCGCAGGTTTTGGTTCGGTTAGTAGGAGCTGATGATCATGTATATCCAAATTTTTTGGATGTAATGCAATGGTTAGCTGATAGCAATTTGTTGGAAATGATTGTGGATAAATTGAGTCCATCAGTAAGTGAGAATTTTCTGTTTTATCATTTTCATGGCATGCCATACTTTGTAATGTGCATCACACAACCTCTTTTCTACTATGACCAGTGTCTGCCTGAAGTTCATGCTAATGCATCAGAAACATTATGTGCAATAACAAGGAACACCCCATCAGCTTTAGCCACTAAACTCTCTAGTCCAAGGTTTGTGAGATCTAGTTCCTTTTTGTCTCCTCCCTACTTGCCTCACCATCTCGATTCTTTATTGTGTATATGTTTGTAACTTGACCTGTAAGTTTGAATCTGTTCATGAACAGCTATGTTGCAAGGATATTTGGTCATGCATTGGAAGATTCACATTCAAAATCTGGCCTTGTACACTCACTTTCAGTTTGTATCTCATTGTTGGATCCAAAAAGATCAGCAATTGCTTCTCCCTTGATGTACTCTTTCCGAAATCAACATACTTATGAGCCTGCAATCCCTGTAAATTTGGAGACTATCAATGCAATGCTGCCTAAACTTGGTGAGTGGGTTTCTTTTGCTGAAAGTTGTATGTAATAGTTTTCATATATTCCTAGGTGCATGTAGCATGTTTTCTTTCATTTTAGCCGTGGTGTTCAAGACTGCATCTTGTTGTGCAGGTGACTTACTCATACTTTTGAATGTATCATCTGATGAGAAGATTTTGCCTACCACGTTTGGAGAATTGAGCCCGCCTCTAGGGAAGCATCGCCTAAAGGTTCATTTTATATTCTCATCATATGTTTTATGTGCCAACCAACATGGATGATTTATTTGGTGTTTATGCAAAAAGTATATCAAACTTTGTGTGGGCCTGTGTCAAAATTTATTCTGTTGTTTCTGTTCTGTTACTTATTTCAGATTGTGGAGTTCATTGCTGTGCTGTTGAGAACTGGAAATGAAGCTGCAGAGAAGGAATTGGTCAGCTCAGGAACCATTAAACGAGTTCTTGATCTTTTCTTTGAGTAAGCTCTTGCTTAAAACTGTCATCTTGAATGAATTGAAAACAACTTATTGGAAGTTTAAATCTAGAAGAAAGTGCTTGATGTCTTTTTGAGGAAGGTGTTTGATCGTTTATGTTAGCAGGCTAGGATTCATTGTTTCTTTTATTTCAAATTATGCAGGTATCCATACAATAACGCACTACATCATCATGTGGAGAGTATAATATTATCATGTCTGGAAACAAAAAAGATGCTATAGTTAATCATCTTCTTCAAGAATGTGATTTAATTGGGAGATTTCTCCACACCGACAAACATCCAATTCTTTCTGGTGGCAACAATCAGGTAGATGTTAATCATATCACTAATTTTGCATTTTGCTAACGGGCGTTTGACTAATATAATTAGAAGCTGTTATAAATGCTACCTGATTATGCAGCCAGCTTAACGTATTTTCTGGTAAAACAGCCAACTTTACCTGCTGCTGGAAAATGTGCACCACGAGCAGGAAACATCGGACACATTACACGTATTTCAAATAAACTTGTACAGTTGGGAAGCAGCAACAGCTGCATTGAGGCATGTCTACAGGTGGGAATTGGTTGCTTGTTAATGTTGTAAGAGTGCTTCTGTCAGGATCTTAAAGGCTGTAGGTGCATTTTTTATTTTAAGCTAACAACTTTTGATATAATTAAAATTAGGGTATGAATCTTTCTAAACCTGAATTAAGTTCATTACTATTAGTTGTTTGGTTATTTGGCATGTTGGTGGTATCTTCCATTGGCAGGAATTGCATGGCTGGATCTATATGTTGGATTAGGCGTTTGTTCTGGGATTCTTTATGACTTTTTTTTTTTGTTTTTTTGTGAATTTTCTGACACAAGTTCATCTATTCTTTATAGGAATATAGTGAATGGAATGAATGGCAAGCTAATGTTCTGCGAGAGCGTAATGCAGTTGAAAATGTTTATCGATGGGCTTGTGGGTATGCTTTTGTCTTGCTTCTGATATGCATTGCAGTCTGATTAGTAGGATACGTGATTGAAGGTCAATTATCTGTAGATTCTATATATGCTTGATATGTCATTTGCAAGAGTGCATGCATTCACGGCTCTATGGTCTTGTGGCATATTGTAACTCCAAAATGACATAGCAAATGTGACTTATAGTTCTCTCTTTTTATTTTATTTATGGATTTTTTCTCTTATATAATGCGTACAGATGTGAAGTTCTGATAGCTTTCCAATTTCTGAGTCCATGTATTGTTATAACACATTATTGCTGTTTTCAGCAATAGTTGTGAGAGCTAACAGAAAATTCATTTAAAGAGTCTCTTGCATTTTTCCTTCTCATTTGCAGCCGCCCAACAGCATTGCAAGACAGAACAAGGGATAGTGACGAGGATGATCTTCGTGATAGAGATTATGATGTTGCAGCTTTAGCAAATAATCTAAGCCAGGCTTTCACATACAAAATATATGGGAATGATGATAAAGAAGTACGTTGTTTGGCTTCTTATAACAATATCTTAAATTCTACCTGTTTGCTATACTTACTGTTTTTATTTAACTGCTTTCAGGACCTTGGTGCTCTTGGTCGAGATGATGGGGTGAGTGACTTTGATTTCTTTTAATTACTGGAATTTTGTGTTGTTTTTTGTAAGGCCAATAGTTTATTTTTCCAATGGCATCTCCATTTGCCTATTAAAGAGAATGATGGTGACATAACCTAGGGTTATGTGTTTAGATCAGCATGTAGGGGTGTAATTGATTGAGTTTAAGTTGATACAGTATTAAAGCTCGAGTTCGTCTCCAAATTCAAGGCTTAAGACTTGCCTTGAGCTCGATCAAAGTTTTTTTTTTTTTTTTTTAACTTGACCTTGACTCAAGATAGAATTTGAACTACTCGAGCATGCTTGATTAGGCTCGATTGATATATAAAATAAGCTCAATTTTTATATTCGATAAAAATTTGATTGTTTGTGCTTGAGCTTGAGCTTGAGTTCAAGATATTTTATTAATTAAAATAATAAAAATATATTAAAATATAAAAGCTTGATTAGGCTTGCAAGTTACTCGAGTGGGCCTTGATCGATAAGTCGAGCTACTCAAGCTCGAACTTGACTCAATAATAACCAAATTGAATTTGAATTTCATTCGAGTTGAACTCGAGTAGCGAGTACTAATATATCATTTATACCCCTAAGTATGAGTGATGAAGATAGCAAATAAATAGGATTTATTTATTTATTTTTTAATGTCAAATTTGATAGTAAATATATGTTTTCTATTTACAGGATGTGTACTTTGATGATGAATCTGCTGAGGTTGTTATATCATCCTTGAGGCTAGGTGATGACCAGGGGAGGTGAGTTTTCTTGTCATTACTCATAGTAATCTAGTAATTGGTTGATGAGGTTTGTGATGGATACTCCAGACGGGTGAACATTGTTTGAGGACCTCCAACTGCCTTAGCTTTTATAATCATACAGTTTATATTCTTTTGTTAAAGTAACTGTATTAATGGAGATTACAACCCATGTTTTTCTAATGCTGCAGTCTGTTCACAAATTCCAACTGGTTTGCATTCCAAGATGACAGAATCGATAATGCACCTATGGCCACATCCCCTACACAGGTGATGGATGAGATTAACTTGAATGGCACTGCAAATGGTGGTAACAGCAGTAGTGATGATGAGGTCGTAGTTGGAGACGAGGATGAGATGAATGAAAGCAAACAGTCGGTGAATGGCACATCCACGTGCAATGCAATGAATGGATTTAACAATTTCATGAGTGGTGGAGACTTGAATCCACAAGGGGAGAAAGCAAATGCTTTTCATGATATGGGATTCTTCAGGTTTGACACACCAGAAAACGAGGACGTGTTTGGAGATAGGTCTTTACCTGAGTGGGTGCGATGGAGAGGTTCTTCGGATTTGTTAGTAGGTGGATTAAGCAAGAATCCGTTTCTCGATGACAGCTCAGATGTCAACCTATCCAGTCATACTAAGACAGTGATCACTGATGTGGGGTCCCTCTCAAATGGGGAATCCATCCTTCCAAATGTTTCCTCGGACTCCATGGATTTGAGTGACGGGTCAGCGAGCAGTGATACAAGTCAGAAATCTCCGCCACCAGTGCCCTCTTTGTTTGAAGAGGATGTTGAATTTATAGGTGTGGAATTAGAAGGTACAGAGAAGGCAATGGAACAAGCTTTAAAAGAAGGAATAGTTGAGGAAGCCGGGCCATTGAAGAGGAACATTATTCCAAAGGTACCAGAAATGGAGAATTCAGATAATGGTGGAGCTGGGATGAAGGAGTTCAATGATGCAAACTATTGGAGGGCTGATCACGAGGTTGCTGTTTTGGAGTAATGCTGGCCAAACATGTTTGTAGCTGAACCTGATGTTGGATCTGCGTGCGACTATCGCAGGTTTGGTCGGCGAGGCCTGAAGCAGCAAAATTCATATGTACAGTATAATTTTGTTTACAGATGGGGTTGACAGGTAGGCTTTGCTATGGTTATTACTGTTCATTAGATATTGTTACGTGTTGTTTTATTATTCAAGGTTTTGTTTCTTCCTGTTGCTGATTTTAAGGCAAGGGTTTAACTTGTCAAATCATATTTTAACTTAATTTTAATGGCTGGAATAATAATACTCTTCCACTTATGATTTATCATTATTTAAAAATTATAATAATACTAAAAAAATTAACTAAAACAAAAATTTCATTAATAATGTATGACGAATGAATGAGATAATTTTTATGTCATAAGAAAGTAAAAAATGTTGGTAATTAGAGAGTTGAAAAAATCACGATAATGTTAAAATCTCAATATTTTGTTTACTGTACTCTTTTGTTGGCCGTGAGGAGATGAGATGAGATTGTCTTTATAATATCGTCCTTAAAATCTGCGGCGACGGTGGTAAGAACGGATGAAATCTTGATCGTACATCCGACACAGGTGAAAGTAACTCAACCGTACAACTTGTGGGAATTACCCTAAACTAAACCCAAAGTCTTTAAACTTTCACCTTCAAAAGGACGAAAACATTAAAAAGAAGTCCTCAGTTGGGTACACAGCACGAACGGGGCCTTCACGTCACGTCATAATATCTCCGTCGTTTGCATGCAAAAGAGGAAAAAACGAGCAGGAGGCTTGGCCGTCAAAACGGCGACGAAAAAGGGTCCAGACGTGGGACCGTTCATTTGTTTGATCACTTTCCACAAGCCATTTGCTGTTTGATGATTGGTCCCACCCTCACGTGTGCCTGGTTTATTAATTTAATTAATTAATCATTAATTTTCCCTTATTTTACTTGAGGTGAAACTTTGTTTGACTTGACTTTGGATTTGTATAATTTTTTATAATTTTTAGTTTTGGGATTTTAAATGTATATATTTTGTGTCTAGTGTTTTACAAAATTCAGTTATTTCAAACCAGAACCAGACCAAACCCAGCTGGGAAGTCAACTGTTGGAACAGTCAAGTCTTTCTTGTTTATGATTCCAAGCTGTCCCATTTTCTTACCTTATTTTTGTTTTTTTTTTTCCTTTCATTAAGATCCGAAGGTCTTGCTTCTTGAATCATACTGGTTAGAACATGCAATTATTTGGCACAAAACAGTATTCCTTACAATTGCACTTTGCATGGATGGAGTCATGATTAACATCAAAATAAACTGATAAAGCTTCAGCAAATTATAAGAAACCTACACAGACAAAATACTTGGACATCAACATGGTTATCAATGTTCGTTTGAACACAAAATACTTGGACAAGAAACCTATACAGACATCCCCTAACGGGAGCTAAAAAGTCTTTATACTGTTCTATGAATTGTTGAAAGATACATACATGGTTTTCAACATTGGCTCCGAATCATCCAAATATGCTCAAGTGACCTGTCTTGTCGGGCCCTTCTAGTCCATTTTCAGCAGTTCGCATGCCTGTGAGCCATGTCCTGGAAAACAGGTTGTTCGCAATCCAACAAGTTTAGAACATTGGGTTGCAATTTGGTTTTAGTTTGAGACTCATTGGTGGAAAAAGAAAGGGGAAAAGATTAAGATAGTTTGACTGACCTTCCAACAGTATCATTGCCTGAATCCATCCTTATTGTCAATCTTTTGGCTATCTTCATAAAAGCACTACAATACCAAAGAGAAAGATGCACGTAAATCAGAAATTTAGATGTTTTAAAGTTCATTATAGCTGTATCAGCAAGATAAAAAGACTGAAGAAGGTAAATGGAGTTCTTCAAATTGATACCTGAATGGTTCATCTCCAGTTTGTTTGACAGCACCTGTTGCATCTTGATACAGCAAATGGTCCAACATCTCTGATATTTCTATTCCAAACATGTTGGCCAACTGCCTGTATAGCTCTTCATAAGAACCAAGAACCGAGAGGTCAAGAGTCCGTCCCACATCCTGTGACTCCAAGAATACTTTGCAATGACCGGTATCCAGCCCAGGTTCTGTGGTTCGATAGTCCTGGTGCCACAAAAATTCAGCGGTAGATGATTTAGATGATTTCTCTGGAGAAAAGTGGTTCTCAAAAGCAGACCCAGAATTATCAGAAGAATCTTTTGTTTTGTCTGCATTGTCATCTAATGAACTCTTTGCATTAATAACTTGTGAGACAGATTCACTTGAACAGCTCCGAGAGAGCTGCTGCTCAGTAAGTATTGGCTGACCAAAGAGTAAAAACTGGTGTCTTTTTCTGTTATCAGACTTATGCTTCTGACTAGAATTCCCCATTGTTAACAAGCAAGATAGATTCTCATCACTGTTTGTGCACCTTGCCGTCATGATGCCATCAGAAATTCTAGACTGAGGATCAAACCGCTGAAAACTGGATAGAAACAGTCCTGACTGCAGTTTATGTTTATGATCGAGATCTGATAAAGATAATCCAAATTGTGCATGCCTGGTTCCCTGTATGCTTGCAGGAGCATTATCAGATAAACAATGCAAGGGGCTTCTGTGCCCAAGGGGATTGCCCGAAAATGATGGCACAGGAAATTGTCCATTAAGGGGAAAGTCAAGGTGTTGGGGGACCCGCAGCTTCTTTCTTGGTGTTGAGAAGGGTGAGAGGTGGATGGCAGGCATGTTTGATACCAATTCAACCAACCAGGGACTCACACGCTTAACATTTTGCAACAAATCTGGTTCATCCCATCTCACCTGCAATAGTGATTATAAGGTCAGTAGGGAGGGCTGCTAAAAGGAGAACCAAGAATGTTGTGGACCAAGAAAGCTTAGACATCCACTTTTTAGAACAAGTCTGGTCAATTTATTGTTCGTGGAACCAAATGAAAAATATAGAAACAATTTGATGCATGTTGATTTCAATAGTCAGAATACAGATTACATTTGTCTGACAGATTAAATCAGCAAATGGACCACCAATAACCAAATTGCTAAAGAAATTCAGGAATATCAATTAAATGGAGAAAAAGGCTACAACTGCGTGTTCCCTTGTAATAATTTCATGAATCACCAACAATCAAGTTAGCAAGTAAATTCCACAATGGTCACCCCAGTAGACACTTGCCTAATAAAGTAATGATTGAGTTGGCCTTCAGGGCCGAATCCAGTAAATATCGTATCATAAACAGAGTATTTGTGGTGACATAATTTTCAAAGGTGAAAAAGTATTGAATCCATCAGAACTATAGCCAAAGATGAACAAAGTTAGTTGCAGAAAAATTGAATGAGAGAGCTTATATAGCAAAACAGTTCCAGACTTGATGTGAATAGGAAGAGTTGAAAACATGGCATAAAGGAATCATTATAGTGCTGCAAAGAAGAGGTTGGAGAGCTAATTTGTTCCTGGGTAAAGCTCATTAATTCACCCAATCAATTCGAAAGACCCACTTTATACTGAAAGATACCAGGGTAGAGGGTACTTGATTCAAAACCACCAGATAAACATTGCTTGACAGGTGCTAATTAAGCAAAGAAATAAAACAAGATTTTACATAAGAATCAGGGAGAAATATAGCACCTGGAGAAGCCGCCATGGTGAATTAGGCCACCGGACAGGATCAGCAACTTGAACAGAAGATACAGTCCCCATGAACCAGCTAATCCTAGAAGAATCCTCAGTCTCAAAAGCCATCTTGAACCTCATCCCAGAACACCAAGTAATCCTCATTGCCGCCCTTACTGCAGATGCCTTAACACAAAACTCCGGTGTGCTTGCTCTAGGATAATAAATAATCTCAAATGGCTGGCCACCAGCAGCAATTGCAACTGCCTCCAAAACACCCTCTGGCCTCACTTTTCCCTTTCCTCTCAAATTCCCACCACAACCCAAATTCCCATTTCGCATTATCTTACTCTCATCCTCCCTCAGGAAAGCTGAAAACCCTCCATAAGGACTAACATCATTACCATTTCCAAGACCAGTATTCCAACCTGGGGCGCTAGACTCAGTTCCATTTCCAATTCCACGCTTTGCTCGCCTAATCCCAGCATAAAGATCACCATTTTCAGCTCTCAAGAACACAATTGAGTCCCCAGCAACAAGTTTTTTCTGGTTTACAAAAGTACTCCAGCCAGTAGTCAACAGATGTCTCTTAGGAGTCCCCCTGTAAATATGTCTAAACTTCCAAATCTCACCATGAACATCCTTGGCAATAACAGTTTGAACAGGAGGATCCACAGAGTAATCCAATCTTGGAAAAATGGTTTCAGCACAATATCTTGGAACAGAAAAACCACCCCCATTGTTTGCATCAGATTGAGTCAATGTCTTAGCAAAAGAAGCAGACTTTTCTACATTATCAGACCCATTAAAGCCACCACCCGAAACCGCATCGTCTTCAAAATAACGCTCACTGTTTGGCAATGGTATAAGCATGATCTTGGCATATACTTCATCAGTTTCAGCATCAGCCAAATATTTGACAGAAGCCACTCGACAAAGAACAAGAGCCGGGATTTGTGGAGGAGATGAGAAATCCACAAAAGAGAGAGAGTGTTCAGCATGGCCTTGAGGAAAGTAGAAGACTTTGGAGTTCACTGGTGGGATTTGAACCATGGATCCAGCACAGGCATGCCACAGCTGAGGATCCAAGTTCTTTTCTGATTCCTTCATTTCTTTGGGCTCCCTCTTTTGATCAGCCTTTGAAGTTGGGATCTTTTGGGATAAAAAAAAAAGAAACTTGTGAAATTCGAAATCTAGAACTTCTGAGTTAAATGCTGTGAACAACCCAGGAATTGGTTATAAATTTAACTTTGAGACATTAAAGAAAGAAGATGAAATGAAAAAGAACACAAAAAGTGAAACAGTTCATTAAATTTTAGGACATTAATTAAAAAATCTCTTACCTTTTTGTTAAAAAACCAAACAATTTGTGAAATAAAAAGAAAAAAACAACAACAACTCTTCTTATCATTAAATTTTAGAACATTAATTAAAAAATATCTTACCTTTTTGTTAAAAAAAAAACAAATTGTGAAATTAAAAAAAAAAAGAAACAACTTTTCTTATCACACTCTGTTGTCTTACGAAAAAAAAACATCCTTTTAATGCAACGCCTCCTTTTCCCACTGCCAAACGTTTCTTTATTTCTCTCTCGCGTGAAGATTAAACAGTATAAGAAAAAGACTGGCCAATGAGACAGAAAATCAAAGACAAAAAAAAACCCCACTGATAAAACTTTTTAAAAGACTGGCAAATGAGAGAAAAGATATGGAAATGAAACATTAATTTCTTGTCAGAAATCAGGTACGGAAATGACCACCATATCTCAATCGTAACTCGGGAGTCAAAACTCAAAGCTTTTTTTACTTTTTCTCTCAAGCACCTGCCTTTTTGTTCCTATGTCTTGAAACCGAACTGTCCCTCTAGATGACAGGAACAGAACAATAAAAGAAATTCCAGATCAAACAAAAAAGTTAAAACGTGATTGTGGCGCTAAAATCTCATGTGGTAATATAAAGTGAAGTAAGATATCGCGACAGAACATTTGCAGCAGTAAAGAGAAAGGAGAGATCCTGTTTTGTCACTTTAAGCACAGTACTCTGAAACAACCGAGACAAAACTAACTATGGTTGATTTCGCAATTAACTGTGGTTGAACGATAGTTCAGTTAGCCCGTTGGATTGGAACTGAATCCCTGATCTGTTCATGATTCAACTACAACACCACCACCAAAATGGTCGCGAAGGGATGTTTTATTGAAGTCATGAATATGGATTCGTTCAATCCAAATTTGGTTCGAAAATATGATTTATAAAGTATGTAAACAATGTAAATGGATGCAAATAATGAATGAAGAAAATAAGAAAATTACTTCATGGTTTGAACTAAAGAAGCAAGCATTAATATCATGATATAGAAAACTAACGTCATATAGGAATTTGAAGACACTAATCGATTCTTAAAAAGACCCACTTTTTACTTTTTAAATTAAATTTCTATGATAACACACATATTTGGTACAACAAACAATAAAAGACAAATTTAAGAGAAGAAAATAATGGTTAGAAAAATGCAAATGAGATGGCACCATCACCACAATTCCCTTTTTCAACAAAATATTTACTTTTAGTACATAATTATTTTCTAATAAGTTGCTCTTTAATTCAACAATAAGTATAGCTTGCAAATTCAATTTCTTTTTCATTTCCTTCCCTTTATTACTACATTTTCATTTTAGTAAAATTTTCTTTTTTGGTTTCTTTGCTATGATCAGAACATTGGAAAATGCTTCCTTCGTTCATCCTGCAAATAGAAAAAAAACACCATAGAATTCTGCTTTGGGGTTTGAAAACAAGTTAAAAAGAGAGTTGATTGTAACAAAATACATTTGCAGGATAACAAATTTCAAATATAGAAATCTTTGAAATGCAATACTGATAGCACTCTTTGAATTCCTTGTAAGATATAGTATTTGTCCTTGCTTTAAGATAAATACTTTCAATTCTACAAGCCTTCAATTGAAAGCTAAAGTTTTGGGTACAACCTTGAAAATAAAAACACAGCAAGAATGGGAAAATGATTGTCAAGTTCAGACAAAAGATTGAACAAAAAAGAACAAATTGAAACAACATCAAAACCAACAAGGGGACATGAAAACAAGAGGAAAACATGCCCTGGAAAAGGTAAAGAGAAGAAAATCAAGAGTGGTTGGTGAAAAATCAACATTGATACAGACAAACAAAGGTGCAACCGATCATATGCCAGTTATTAAATAAATACAATATGACCCTTCAAAATTACATTTTGTTGTGTGACCATACAAAAATGTAGGTCGGATTTTGAACCTGTTAATTCTTATCTTATGCTTACCCACTTTACCTTGCCTTTGCCGTTGCCCAACCAACCCCTTTCCTTATTCAGGTTACGCCGCTTCTGAGTTCTGACAGCTAAAGACCACCGGGGTTGCACAAAGTTGACCCACGGATAGCCTGGCCAAGCCTGTTTAGATCCACGTGGCTGGATCTGAAGGCACTGAGCCCATTATGATGGAAGACTTTGTTGGGCCTACCTAAGACTGTAAATGATGTGACATTACAAGGGGATGTGCGCCCCGTGGGCTAAGGAGACAGCCCAGGAATCTCTGTCGTTATGTCTGTCTTCAACTCAACAAACACCCGACCGAGCTTGTAATAATATATTTTGACTGATGAACGATGATTTTTTGGCACTAGATTGGTGAAATTTTGCTACGTGTAGGGTAGAGATCTTTCAACACAAGAGAAAGTTACGAGCTTACTTTTTACATTAATGCAGAAAAGAGGACAAAGCAGAGACTGACATGGCGATATGACAAAACTTGGTTCTTTGAAGAATGTTGCTTAGGCTTTCATATTTCGAAGTATAGCATGTATGCTGCCAAGACTGAAACATGTTCAATGAAACAGGGCTGATTTATTATGGACTTGAGATTTGGTTTCCCTATGAAGAGCTGGGCTTAGAAATTGGTTAGTCCATCTTGTGATCCTCACTTTTGGGCCTCTAGTTTCTGGTTTTTGATGCTTCCATGTAGCTGGTTTTATTTCACCAATCCTATGCCTCGGCTCACTATCACCTCATCTATTCCATGAAAAAAGATCAGAAAATTAATTAAAAAAAAATGAAACCAGAAACAAGCCAAACTTGTCCATTTCTTTTGGTTTACACTAAAAGGCCAAGACCAACTCACGAAAATATTAAGCTTTAAACTTTGAGAAATAACTCTTTTGTACCACCAGGAACAATGTTCGTTTGCTTTGCCGTAAAGCATTTTGGGTTTGGTAGGCACGGCTTTGGTCCAATTGGTGGCTGATTATCTTCCCTACTGAAAAGCAAAATGGGAGAACTATTCTGATTGTTCTGAAAGAATAGAAAAGACAATAAGAAAAATTGCATTTAAGAAGAATAAATGAATAGGGTGAGACCTGATACTGTCAAACATGTTAAGCACCTCTAAACCTAATATGAAAATCCACCCTCCATTCTCTACTTCAAATGAGATATTTTCTACCTATTCCTGCCTGTTCCTCCTGCTAAACATGTCATCATCTATGTTCCTACTTATTCCATCAATGTACACACTGAGAAATAAGGAAAAGAAAAAGACACAAAAATTTAATACAAGACATAGAACAAGGAAGCTCCCTACTTGAAGCTTTCTGAACTAGTAATGATCAATGCAGTTGCTATCCAAATAACATTTCTGGTGGGATTGACAACACAGATGGTGTCACAGTTGTCGGCAGCTTGGCTTTTCTTCTCATCTCTACCACCTTCTTATGAGAGTTGGAGTGCAATGATGGAACAAATGTAGGGCTTGCAGCAGGACGATACTCGGGAAGGAGGCGGCCAGACCTGTAGCGAACCCCACATGCATTACAAAGGGTCTTTGGTCCCATCGGCCCTTCTCTCCATTGTGGAGTTTTTGTAACTTCACAGTGCATACATTTCCTAACAACAGCCTGTTGGGAGGGGGATTTCTTGGTCTCACTGGAACCTGAAAGCAATGTCAGGTTCTTTTTCTTCTTCTGTCTCTTTTTGGCAGCTTTTTCCATAAGATGGCCTTCTGATTCAGAACCAACCAGAGAATTGGATCCTCCGGAGGTAGAGGAGTTGGAGGACATGAAAGGCAATGTGAATTGCAGGTTAAAGTTAGATGCTCGTCTACGCTTGCTTCGACCACGCTTCACCAGGAAACTTAGTTTAGGGTTAATAGGCGTGGGGTTTGCAGCTGAGCAAGAGCTACTGCTTTCAAGTACAGATACTGGACTGGAGGTCTGGAACTGGGTTGAACCTTTGACATCAGCAGACTCACTGTGTAGGGTAATGCTTCTGCTGGAGGATGCCTTGGTAGTGCTTAACCGCTGGTTTAGCTGAGAAGATCCATCACACTAGATACAAAAGGAGAAATAATTCAGTGAAAAGTCAGATACAAGATTGAGGAACATTTTAGTCCTATAAGATAAAGATAGAAAGAAAAAAGTGCGTCCCAAAGGATTATTTATTCATCTTTATGGTAGTCATATGAGAATTAAATTGACAATGGTAAAAGAGAAGATCACCATTTATTTTAGAATAATTATCAGTTACAACAATTGCACCTATCTCTTACAAAATTTATCATAAAAAGAGCCACTCAGCCATTGAACATCAACCAGAGATTCATTATCAATAGCATTATCAGGTGGTCCCATCCATTTATTGGCAAGGCAAACAAAGCACTAATTGGGCCTGCTTGCTTGCTTGGACTAAAAAGACGTGCCAAGGTAACAGCATGTGGTGCAATAGTGCACATAATATGCCCCGTGTTCTTAGTTTATCTGTAGCACAAAATACAATGCAGTCTCTTGGTTTTTGCAAAGTACAACATCTGATTATTGTCTCAGCCTCTTGAACCGTTTTCAATTGTGGCTCTTTGCCACACTAAATAACGTCTCTCGCCAATGCTTTGTTAAAGCATCCTTCACAGAAGAGTTTGGACAACAACGAACAGAATGCGCAAGCACTCTTAGGGGGTTGAGAAACATTGCATATCTTAGAAATAAAGTTACTTCCATAACATTGCTTTTTACTAAAGTATGAATGAAAGATCACCATATTGCTATAATGATTGCTTTCTAAAAAGCACAATCTGAAAGTGCAAATGCAGTCATTCGTACAACAAAGCATTAGGCATGTCAACATGCACAAGGTAAATTGTACACTCTAGTCCAAAATTAATAGACACCCTCAGAAAACTAATTCATAGACAGTAAAATGTTCGGGACAAAACACTGGTAGGCAAGGTAAAGTTTGAGTCCATAACATGAATTCTATGTAATATGTCTCCTAGTAAATAAGCTCTCCAGAAAGTCGAATGGATTGTTAATTCAATAAACAGAGACACATAAAGAGCTTGTATATCCAATTTCCAACCAATATTTTATAAGGTGTTATATAAAAATCAATGGACTATTACTTATATTGACTCTAAAAACTTTTAAATATAGAACACTACTTGGACCATGTGAAAAACAAAACCAGGAAAGAATTTCAATGATAAATTAACAACTATACACAAATCAAAATCACCCACTTACAAGTAACTTCTAAATTCATAAACATATATGTTAGTCATCACTAGTGTAAGGGAAAACAAAGGGAACTCACTGAAACAGAAAGGCTTTTCACCGAACTATCACTGAAAAAATCGCCACCAAAGCCAGAAGACAAGCCAGCCAAAACATTAGCAGGTGGAGGCTCTAAGTTTTGAAAGTTACAACAATCCCACTCTTCACCACCAGCACCACCGCCACCATTGTTCTCTTCCACGTCATCAAGAGGTAAATGAAAATCTTTGATAACATCTTCTCCACTACCACCATCATCAGTGCCTTCAATATTTTCCGATGGGAAATCCAAATACTTTATTACGTCATCAAAGAAATCATCATTGACCCCATTGAAGGTTTTCTCAAACCAAGGATTATTCATAATTTAATTTCTGATTTTTTGCTTTTCTTTAATTTTCTGTTCACAAAGTAGAAGAGAGAAGTTAAAGCATTAAACCCAAGTAGAAAAATCAATTAAAACGCTTACAAAATGGGGTTAGTAAAGAGTTATTATCCCATTTGGAAATTGCCTTATCTATACATCAGTAATATCTTGAGCAATAACTTACTTTTATCTTATAAAAAATCAAAATTTGAAGCAATTAAGGACTGTAAAGTAATATTTTAGACCAACAATAATACAAATTACAAAGTTTCCTATTTTGAGTGAATTTTATAAATGGAAAAAAAAGTCTCTTTCTAGGTTTGGAGAATCAGTTAAATCGTCATTTTAGCATATAAATTAATCAAAGAAAATACTGGTAATTAAAAATAAATAATAACACTAGTAATAACAGCTCAAAATAATGAAAAAAATTCAAACTTTTTTTTGTCAAGAGCTTGTTTGGATACATGGAAAATTAAAAAAGCAGCAAAAAGAAAGTTAAAAAACTGGTAAATAATTACAAAGACAAGAGTTGGTACCCATTTTTTACTTCATTTTCTGAGTAACTAAACAGAAAGCAAAAATAAAATGCAGAAGAGATGCAAATAAATGGTAACATTTAAAGGAAAAAACAGAATGCAAAGAGAGAAAGAGAGGACCTGGTTTTCAAGGGGAAGAATGAAGGAGAGGCATTGTTTGGATCAGAGGAAAATGAGAGAGAAAAATAAGAGACAAGATGAGAATCCTTTGAATCTCAAATTGTCTGAAAATGGGATTTTTTATGGATTTTGTGAATGAGAGAGTAAAAGTTAATGTTACAAGGCAGATATGAAGGTGGCTATGCAGTTTCCCTTATAATCACCGCTCATCTGTCATCAATGTTGAATGGAAAGTGGGGTTGATCTAAAAGGGCTTAAATTTATGTTAAAATTAAAAAAAAAAAGGGAAAAAAATTGAACAGATCACCGACGAGATGGAGTAGGATGAACGGAGCGTGAGAAATCTTTTGTCTTTTTGGTGTTGCAATTTGGGTCCCAATTTTTTAGTTGGAGCTTCCACATGCTGTGGTCCCTTTGGATTTTGATTTTCTGTTGTTCAATGTATTTGATTGATCATAATGGGGTTGGGCGCATAATTTTAGGAGCCTGTCTTGGTTTTTCAGCTTCTTTGACTAAGGAAATGCTTTTGCATTTTGAAGAACGTCATGTGTTTTTGTCATACGATTCAATCTGCTTGAATTGGAAATGGTGAGTGATAAAATTTTCACATTACCCATTAATCCTTTTCAACCTCGTATGAAATCTGGATAGGCATGAAACTGTTGCATGGTGATCAACATCCATCAGACAGACAGACAATAAAAGCAAGAGACTGTAACGTTTCTATCAAGTCACCAAATAAAGCTGGCGTTTAACACTTGATATGCCCATTTTTTTGGTCATACATCTTTATATTCCATCTTTCTGAAACTGACCTCATGCCAAATTGCCAATCCACTCATTACAAGCTAGGATTCAGCTTCAAGTCAGGTGGTTCTGAATTTCTCAAAATTTATGGGTAAATCATCACCTATACCTCATTACACTAGACCTTAACCACAATTTATATCCAAGTCTCAAACTCTAACTATTAGAACCTAAGAGGATCATCGGAGACAACCTTACCTCAGTTTTAATGACTTAATGCCGTCACTTCAAAGTTCGACCGCAATCTGCCAATTTGGTGCTAAAGTGTGTTTTTAAAGAAACATCCCACCAATCAAAGCACCTGAAATGAACTATAAAAATACATGCGATTGTCATGTTATGCAAAAACAAATCAAGCTTTTATCTAATCATAAGCCATCTCTACCGAAAATCTTGTAGCCGATGGTTGAGCTTCACATTTAAGCATTCAAGCAATCCCTATTCTTTTATCCACTTTATAATACTTCTTTGGGCTGTGATCCATATAGCCAACAGTCAGTAACATTCATATCTTCACTTTCAATGTTCTTCACTTTGCATTTACAAACAAAAACATGATAAAGAGTAAGACAAATGGCGTGGCCCACAAAAAGACATCCCAAAGCTTGATGCCACCTGAAAAAATGAACATGCTTCCCAATGTTTCCTGCAAAATTAAGCAGCATATTAAGGATGCCACTTTGATTGAAACAATTAAAACCTATTGCCACTTGCCACTAGACCTCACCGAATCACCATGTTAGATTCTAAAGTGGGCAGATATATCAAGCAAGCGGATCAATGATATGCACAAGTAAAAAATAAGGGCAAGTTTCAGCCAACTTATGTTAATTAACAGGATATTACAAGTTATAACATTATTATCTGATATTATTTATCAGTTGGAAAAGTAGAAATGCCTGCAAAGCATCTTGGAAAAATCATATCCGTAAGTTTTGAATGTATACCAACATACCGTATCAAACAGCTTCTCTAGAACTTGCTTTTGTTGCTTCGCAAAGATGCCTTGAGCATACTCATAGAGCTCCAAATAAAGGTTGTTAAGTGATTGTATCCGCTGAAGGACCATCTGAGGAACTTGGAGGCGAGCCTGTAAATTCAGATGTTAACAATAAACAGAGGAAGATTCCAACATTGATGTAGCAACAGCTGAACTCTCTTCTTTCTAAGATTGAAGCAACCATTCTGATCTTGTGCTTCTTTTCTATTTTTCTTTTTCTTCTCCTCACTTTTTTTATGAAGCTCTCTTTAATATTGATGTTTAAGGCCCAAAAAAAGACTACAGCATTTGATTGCGAATACATTTTCCAGTTAATTTGAATTCTTAAAATTTTCATACTTTTTGTACACATCATAGATTTACAAATGACAATCCAAAACATGTAGCCAACAATCAAGGCATCAAATATCTAATTCCTTTGACAATGTTTTGCACCCTAAAAGTTGCCTACAGCCCTCTCATAGCAAAAAGAAGGACCAATAGAAGGATACGACAGACAGCATGTCTATTAAGGCATGGTTTGCTCCGGCAAAAGTGTTCAACTACAAGTCATATAGTTAAACCAACCATGCTCTAGAAATAGATTACATACATGCATTTAATAATGGTGTGGAATTTTAATGTTCAGTATTTTAGAGTACCTCCTTTGTGAAGTTTGCTGGTGAGATTCTATTCAAAGAAGCGATACATCGCCATGATTGGGTCTTTCGCAAACTGGAAATGCAAACCTCATAAGTTTCCATAAGTTTTCCAACAGTCATCTGTTATGGTAGAAAAGACAATGTAAGTTCTCATTTTTTAATGAGGAAGAGATATCCCAGTAAGTCCATATAAAAAGTCAGATATCATACTACACCAAAAATGGCTTACTTTCTCTTGTTTTACTTCATTGTCATCTGATGATGATGTGGTTTCATTCCCTTTCTCATCTGAGGTGGGATTCTGTTATGCAGGCAAAAAAAGAGTCCTTAAGAGTGCTATTTTACTTGATATCCAGCTATTGCACATTCATTTGCTAAAATGCAGCACCTGATGATCATTACTATCCAGCTATGAATCTGCAAATGAAATACTCTGTTCTGCAGCACATGTAAGTGATTTAAGCAATGCGGTAAAAATATCTCCATTTCAATCATGTAAGTGATTTAAGCAATGTGCTAAAAATATCTTGATTTCAATCATGCTAGAGAAAGATAAGAAATCACAATGTGGCAAAATCACTTCAATGTAATACAATCAATATAAGACATCTAACAAGGTTTTACAAGGCCTTCTGCATTAGACAAGTTTTAGGGGAAAATTCATAAAATTCCATGCTAACCTGATTTATTAACAGTGGCTCCCTCAGCAATAGCGTTAGATTCTAGCAGCTGGGAAATCATCTGTGCCCAACCACATTGGCAAACATTGTTGCAGGTTCCTTACAGTCCTCAGTTAGACCAGCATATAACATACTGTCCAACCTCTTCTACAAGATTTAAAAGTATCTACCATAATTGCAACAATAACCAGAAAAAAAGGGTAAAAGAATCAGAAAAGCATTTATATGAACAGTTGTTTCAATATTCAAACCTATTTTAATTACCTTTGCAACTTGAAGTACATATTCACCAAGATTCTTGTACTTCTCTACACAATGGCAAACCTCATGTGATTCAGGTAAATAAGAGTTGTTTGTCAATCCTGCAATCTGTGAATTAAATTAGTAAACCAGCATTTTGGATAAGACCAGAGATAGAAATGCTGCAAAATGTGGATTAGTACCTGAAATGTTGCTCCATTATGGATAATTTCATGAGCTATGGGATCGTTGATGAAATCGAGTAATCGCATTGCAATGTCTTTCATGTTGTATGGGTCACTGCTCTTAACATTGTTGGTGCCCCTAGCTTTCCTAGCATCTCTCTGCTCATAAGAGTAAAAGTAAATCTAAATGTCTCGCACAAAATTACATCATCGAGGAAGACAGGTTAATAACATCCATATAGAAGTTACAGCACAACTTCTCTCTCTTGATCATTTCAGATTGTCCAAAATGAATGCAGATCTGGTAGGTTTTGATCATGGCAACCGAGAAAGAGAGGTGCAGATGATCTCAAAACAGCCAAAGTAATGCTATCTTAAAAGATAAATTAATAAGGAAATAAAACTAACAATTACCAAGAAAACTAAAATGCAAAAGAGAAAGGTTGTCTAGCAACACCTTTATTGTAGATGCCAAAAGGTTATCACAAAAATATTTCAGAGAAAACTTGGAAATCCTGGGATAGACAGTGACCTTCAATGAAGGCAGACAGAAAACTCTAATCCCTAATAAAGTGTAAAAAGAGTTGAACAAATAGAAGGGAAAAGTGTAAGATGGCAATAGAATAATAGTTCACGGAGAAGTAGAGAAAACATACCTGAGCATACACGTCCTCTCTCATCCATGGAACCAGATACTTCCAAGGCCATATCCAGTGTACTTACTCCATTAGCTTTAGCACGCAATCGTCCAGTCATTTGTGTGGCAGACATTAAGTTGGGATGCACTAAAAACCTAGCCACCACCTCCAAAGAAAACTCATAAGTGCTAAAGACACGGTCAACTGGATTCCCAAGTATTGTCACCACTGATGTTCTATCCCTGGAAAGTTTAGAGGTTATGCTATAGTCATCATGAGTAACCGATAACCTGCATTTTGCCTTGCTGCATTCAGGTGGAAAAAAAATTCAATTAAACCTCCTTAAAAGAGTAAAGGCAAAAGGAGAACTTGTCATTCAGCTTTAAATAAGAGCAAATTCGGATACCTAGGATCAAAGCGTAGCTTGTCATAAGAATGGGGGCATTCTAGAGAATTAGAATACAACTTCTTTAAGAAACTGCAAGCATAAAAAAAAGGAAACAAAAAGCAGAATTAAAAACAGTTAGCAAAAATGTTGGACATCTTATTGTTCAAATGTCTATCCTATATTAATGAAAATTACCGTGAAAATAGCTTCTTCCCCCTGTCCGAGGAACATGAAGGAAGAAAAGTAAACCCTTCAGCTTGTGTTTATCCTCTTTGACTTCATGATCAAGCGAAGTAAGTACCCATTTTCACCACATTTTCGCAATGCTCAAAATCAGTTACAGACAAGGAATAAACAATCACTGCCAGGGAAGTAACAGTACCTAATCCAAGAAGAATTAACAAAACTGAGCATTTTAGAGTAGGATCCATTCACTCAATTCCTACTCCAATCACTGCCAAGGAAAAAAAATATAGTAACAAAAAAAACTAATAATAAGAAATGAAGAAATAACAAATAAAAGCCGAAACAAAAACGAACCAGAAGTGAAAGAAGAGAAACAAAAAGCCGCAGCAACAATAAACCCTAAGCGAAGCCAGATAGACAAGAAACAGAAGGTGAGGAGAAGAGAATTTATGTTTTGAAAATGGAAAACAAAATTAAAAAAAAAAAAGAAACATTCAGAAATATCGGGCTACCTGTATCAACTAACGCGATCTCGTGCTCATAAATTCCCTTGAGCTGAGTCGGGACTTTGGCTACACATACACATACACAGAAATAAAACAAAATGATGTGAATTTTTTTTTTCTCGCTAGCCAAACAGGGTTTGGGAAAATTTTCCCGGAAAATTGGGGAGAAAACACTAAGATTTAAGGTTGCACTTTGTGTCCGAAAGAGAACACAGAATCAGGTGAGATAAGCGAAAACTGTGGAAAAGTGGAACAATGGAAGGTTCGAAACTACCTGTCCTAAGAGTGGCAAATTGGTAAAAATAAGTAACACTATATGCACGT